TTTGCCTTGGTGTTGTTGATGGAAAAGGAAGACAACCCAAGAAAATATGCACTACAGTTCAAGTTCGTGGTGTAAAAGTGGCTAGATGCAGATGGTATTGAGCTCAAGCGAACGACTGTGATGGCATTTCATAGCTGTTATCCACATTATAAAACGAACGTATTTATAATACAATTTAGCGCCAGAAATTTTCACAGGACACACTTGTTTTCAATCATACCTAACCATAAGATATGGTATTGTGTCTAAAATGAGCCATGGTGTTGTAGTCAGTCAGTGCTTTGTCTGACAAATCGAGTACAGCTTTTTAGAATAGACTAGTTACACAGTATTTTTACAAGTGCACGTGAATTGAATCAGCTATGTCATTTCTTCACTAGCCGCAGGCATCCAAAACATCACAAGCAAATCATTTGTCTTCGCGAAAATGTTGTCAACACCGCGGAGGCATTTTAACCGTTAGATCTGTTAAACTATGCGCATGCCTGCCCAACACAATCGCAGTAAACTCTGCTCACAAGCCAGATCTGCATCGTAAGTGGTACGTTATCAGATCATGTGCCAGTTAATAAACGCTTATTTCACGCGCATAAGGCGCGGGGAATTTTTTTTCCAAAATTGACCAGCTCGAACACGCCAAGGGGCTTCACAACCAAAACACCCTATAACGTGCTCTATATTGCTCAAGAAAATCGTGCAGTGTAAAGATCTCTTTCCGGAATTCAGTGAAGCGGCTGAGCGGCTGGCTTGAAAAATTGAAAAGTGCGCCTTATACGAGTGAGATTAGGATAGTATGATTTTACTGCCTAAGTCCAGTCTTACAGAAAACCTAAGAAGGTTAGTTATTTTGTTGCCTCAAGTTTGACTTCAACAAGTCATTAAACACGTGATGGAAGCATACGTGAACGACATGCTATTTTTGTGCTCCTTTCAATAGAGGTGAAACTCGACATTGGTCCGTTATTTATTTTAGAGTTGTTCTAAAACTCATTGTACTAGCCAGCCTACTATACTTGGGACCGAATCGAATAATTACTCGATCATTCGAATAAATCATTCGAATGCGAATGATTCAAAAAGTCGAATATTCGAAAATTTGAGATTTCGAATAAAATTCGAAAGTCGAATATTCGAAATTTTCAGTTTTCGAATATATTCGATAGTCGAATATTCGAGGGTCATTCATTCGATTATTCGATGTCCATCAAATATTCGAATATTCGTTGAGCACCGAATATTCGGAAAGATATGAATTGACTATTCGAAAATTCGAGAAGCTGCGATTAGTCGAAAATTCGATATGCATAGCGTATACGGGGTTTCTTAAAAGTAACTACACACCGTTTGATTGCTAATACCTCTCAAAGTCTTTTGCCAATTTCTGGGTAACATCCAGTAGGGATGGCTTCAGCTTATAAATACAGCAGAAAGCGAATCACCCATGTTTTTCTTGTTGTGTGTTATCACGGTAGGAAATCCCAGCATGTAGACCAATTGCAAAATAAGACGTCCAAAATATTGTCCCCAAAAAAGGTCTAAAATCTGTGCAGCAGTGTTTTTACGTATGCTAATTTTACTACGCACGAGTTTTCAAACTTTAATGGCAATCACTTTTTGAAAGGAGTTGAAAAACACTTGTTACGGTGTACCTGGCGTAAGTTTTGAAGAAAGCATTACGGTTGAGCGCAAATTCTACATGAAGTAAGTGTCTTTAGAAGTCCAATGCAATACTTTCGGCCCTTTTGATTTTCTTTCTTGGGGGAATGGCTCTTGATGTTTCGAAACCCGCTTCAATTTTACGGTAATTTTAAGACAGTGAAAAGTGATTGATAAATCGCCCCATCCTCTAAGTTGATGTCAGCCTACAAATCTACATACTGTTGACACCGCTGTATATCCAATCGCAACTCTCAGTGAGGGTATATAATCTTCTTTGAAGTACAAAAAATCTCTTCACAACCGTCACAGGAGTAGCTTCTAGTTCCCAAGTCTCTTCACGTCACGACTAGACCGTTTTTCCATCGTAAATTGTAACATAAGAAAGTGTTCATTCTTAACAATTACATAAAACAATTTATTCTTGGATGTTTTGGCCTTTCATAGGCAGTCTCAATGACGTAAATTATGCGATCAGTATTCGAAAATCGAATGATATTCGAAAATCAAAAATCATTCGAGAACCGAATAATATTCGAAATTCGAATAACGAATGATATTCGATATTCGAATATTATTCAATTCGAAATTTTAATTTTCGAATGATATTCGATAGTCGGATATTCGAAATTTCCGATTTTCGAATAATATTCGAAAGTCGAATATTCGAAATTTTCAATTTTCGAGTAATATTCGATAGTCGAATATTCGATAATTTCGATTTTCGAATATTATTCGATATTTGAATATTCGATATTTTCAATTTTCGAATACATTCGATATTCGAATATTCGAAAAAAATTTCGAATTTCCCCAAGTATACAGCCTACACTGGGACACTAGCCTAATACTTATACACTGGTCAGCTTAAGTGTATGAGTGTATCTAGTGTGAAGATAGTCTGTTGCATAGTTTATAATATACTTAAGAGAAAATGGTCAGAACTTAACCCAGCCATTTCAAACAAGCTGTATATCATCGGACTCGACTTAAAACGCTGATTTCAAATATAAGTTTTTTATTCGCCAGGGGACTATATGGAAGGAGTTATAAGTGATCAAATATGAGAAATTCATCGAGTTTCGACAAATATACTTCCTTTAAAGGCAGCCTGATGACGCGGAACTACAGTGGCTATGGTTATTTCAATTACAAGGAAGAAGCACATTCATCGAAAACTAAATAAGTGTTTTAGAAATCTATTTCGTGGAACATGCGGCACAGGACACTTGACAAATCGCACATTCAAACGCACATAACTTCTCCCAGGTAATCGCTTCACAGATAATAAACATATGTTTGTGATCAGCGTTATATGACGAGTCCGATGTATACAGCATATTTGGCATGGCTGGATTAAGTTCTGACCATTTCCTACTTAGTATAGTGTGCAGCGTATATACATAATATATAATGTAATCAGTCGATCTTGTCTTTCGTACACAGTGATTAGACAACCAGGATGAAGGAGAAGCAAGTTGCCATTCACTGATCACAACTGTTACAGCCTTATCGAGTTTCTATTTCTATCGAGTTCCTAGATTGAACGCCATCGGAGTTTAACGTTTGCATGGCGTTTTTTTGCGAGTCCACAACGGGGCCTATGTTTTCGCCACTGCTTGCCTACAATAAAAGATCTTAGAGCAATTTGCTCATGCGCCACAACGAACTTAGCGGGCTAACGATCAACAGGACAAACAACCTGGTAAACGAGGGAGTTCGTTTCGCGATAGCACACTTATGGGCCGATATGACGATTGAAAAGAAAAGAAAAAGACGTTTTTTCCTTGCCACAAAAATTGCGTTTTCAAGTATGCTGTTCAATTTTGACCGGTGAAGACCATTTTAGTAAACTGCTTCAAGATCTCTCATTGTATGCAGTATACTTTGAGAAATTCGAAATTTTTTTCGAATATTCGAATATCGAATAATATTCGAAATTCGAAATTTTCGAATATTCGACTATCGAATAATATTCGAAAATCGAAAATTTCGAATATTCGACTATCGAATATTATTCGAAAACCGAAAACTTCGAATATTCGACTATCGAATAATATTCGAAAATCAAAAATTTCGAATATTCGACTTTCGAATAATATTCGAATATCGAATATTATTCGATTATCGAATGTTATTCGAAAGTCGAATATTATTCGAATGATAGCTATGGGATATCTGAACGTGGCCAGTTTATGTGCATATGAGTTGCAAGTATTGAGATCGGAATTTGTAGTTCCTTTTTAATATGACTACTACTTCAACAATGAAATACTCTTCATTTCTTAATAAGTATGTGCATGCAAACTGTGCGACAAAAATTTTCAACCGTCGAAAACATAGAAATCTTCGTCTGAGATGACGGGTTCTTCCAAGTCTTCAGAATGCGTTTCCTCTGAGCTACTGCAACTTTCACTACTTTCTTGAGGGCATCCATAGCGTAAGTATTCGCGTTGGGTCCATGCTTTCGAAGCTCTAAAATTACAAATTAGACTGAAACAACCATACCGTGTCTCAGCTGCTGTTATCCTTATTACTATTCGCATTTATCATGAGGAGCAATCTCGCATTCTTCGCCGTCAGTTTACCTCGTCTCTTGTTTCCGTATATTATGCCGGCAGTGCTGAAACATGAAATAGCGAGGCGAGTTGCTGTCGAAGAGTTCAGAGAACATACCTGAAGAGACGTTCACTATCAACGGAGGTGCAAGGAGCCACTAAGTATTCTGAGGCAGAAGACGCTAACATTGGAAACTGAGTTTGATGGGATCGCCACCAGCAGATGGGGTCCGAATCGGGGCTGGGGCGGGCGTCTCCTCTGTTCAGTTGCATTGTGTATTGTTGCAACTCCATCTGAATCTACATACGTTCATAATGTCTAAAAACATTCTTTTACCTGCAAATCCTCCTCCTGCATCTGGGAACTTCTAGTAGGCGCTCTAGTAGGACTTTGCGTAGTAAGCAATGACCATACATCGGTGCTTTTCGGAGTGCTTGATCGTTCAGTGGCATCGTCATCAGACTCCATTGGGGTGAATGAATACACTGAAATTTCAATGAATATCTGTACAATTCAAATTTTTTGGCTCAAAAATAACTCACTCTTAGTCGCTAAAAAGCGGTCCATGGTTTCTTTCCATTCATCTCTTGTTAAAACTGTTTCGAGAAACGCGAACCTCGGATCGCAAAGAGATGCAAAACGTAATGGCTGGCTAAGGAAACACTTTGCAAAGTATTCTTTCGTCTTCTCCAATAGTTTTTCTCCGAATTGCAATGCTTCTCTCCGCGCTGCCGTCAAGTTCCTAAAATTTGCTTGTCTTTCTGTAGCATTTCATAAATCAATGCTTACTCTTCGGTTTTTGCGATCAGTAACTTGCCAACTGGAATGTACATAGAACAACATGAGGATTGAAAGCAGACCTATAATCGAGTGGCTGCTGCACAATATTATCGTATTCATGGTCTTACCTGACTGGTCATAGCTTGGTATGGTTGTAAAAACGTTCTCATTGCCTTTAAGATGCGAAGCTCTTTATCCTCAAGCGGGGATAAGTCAAATGATGTAATCAGCTTTTCAACTGCGGGCATCTGTGATGAAAAATTCAAAGAGATGATTATTTGTTATCAAGATATAAGACTCTGCGTGATCGCGAAGTTCGGTGAAATTGCGGCTACTGCTCACTTAAGATGCCGTAAAACCCAATCCAGTTGAACAATCCTCATACCTTTCATCACTTCAGATGGCTAACGTCTGATAGCAGAAAAGCGTTTGACAAGAGATAGGAAACTCAGAAAGCTTAATGACTGAGCAATGGTCGCAATCTCACCACTCTTCAGGATCAGCACAATCACATAGCACACTCACTGCATTCAAAAAGTCGCATAGCATGAAATAGGTGGAAGACCATCTCGTTGGAGAGTCGTTCATAGGGATCACGCACGGAAGGTTATCTTCGTTCAAAAACCTAAAGACTAAGAGTTGAATAGCTGCATAACTTCTCTGACGCCCTATGCACCTTTTAAATGCCTTCTTCATCTTCCCACTTTTATTCAACTTGGCAACAAGAGATTTTACTCTCTTTAGAGCGGATGCACAAACGTTGGAACTGAGAGATGCCGATACAGCTAAGTTGATGACATGCGCGCAACAATGGATGCTGAATAGTTGGTTAAAAACTAATACACTGATTGAAACTTATATGCTGCTAAGAATGACGCTCACTATGGGATGTCCAGATCCGAGGCTGCTTTGACCATAACCGTCGCACCATGGGCAACCATGAAGCATATGCTTTCCTTTGAGATACCGATATTCGAAAAGCTTTGGGAGATCTTGAGCTCGATTAGCTCACTGGTGTGGCTAAACAATACGATGAGTCGCAAAAGTCTCAATGAGTAGAATGATATACCTCTCCTCATCCAAGGGAATGCAGTCTAGGACGACATTGACTCTTTCGGAAAAGTTCTTGTTCAGTGAATGTCCCGTGATTGCTAGCATAGAACAAGAAGCATTCTTGGAAGTCCATGCATCAGTTGTTATTGCGACTCGAGAATCACCAGAGCAAAGCCTCCTATTTTCTTCGTCAATGTTGTCCACCTCTTTCTGCATAAGCTTCAAAAAGCGTCTTCTGGCTTGGTACAGCGTATGATGCATTCAGTAACTGTAAGAATTCTTTGAAAGATGGGAGCTCCGTTACATGTAACGGCAGGGATGCTTTAGCCAAAAATACGATCAAATTCTTGTCGATGTGCTCCTTGGTGTTCCTGCTTATCTTTCTCTTGAATCTCCTCAATCTTTGGCTAGTTTTTTGCTCGCTCGCTTGCTTCCATTTTGGCTTCTTTTGCAAGATTCTCCACTTCTGTTTTGTGCTTTCCTTCGCACATGTTCAAGTAAATTTGTTGTTGTTCTTGATTTTGGAAGACGGAAAGATTTTTCGCAAAAGTTGCAGGTGGCGGACTCGGTGTTGGTGTCAGCATCAATAGCCTTCTTATAGCAGTTCCAAACAGAGCTCATTGCTGAACAAACGATTCACCCATACTTTAGTGGAACGAATGCGTCGCTTTCCGAAGGTTGACTAGTGAGTTACAAAATACCTTCCTCGTCTGATCCTGTTGGCAGATCCTTGGATGGTGCTTTCCTTCGTAAAACAATATTATGGAGGTGTATCAGATTGATCAGATGCCACTAGTGGTAGATTGGACGATCTTGGGACCCAGTAAATAGCCGCACTGAAATAACAAAAAAGTTAGAATGATAGCGAGTAAACAATAGGTAACGAGTGGTAGGCAAACGTATTGACCTACCTTAGAGAATAAAGCGTTTTCTTCAGATATCAACAAAGTCCGAATATTCTTAAGATTAGCAAAATTTGGATATACCACAACGTGGCCGCACTGAAAAGTTGAGTTTTCATTATTGCTCGCACGAAAGGAGGATAGAATGATGTATACAACGAATGGGAGAATATTTCAATAACTACAGTACTAGGCAATTAAGAACGTGAAGAGCTACACGAAATTATCCGCATTATACGCTGCAATTGTGTTTCGCATAGCACACTCTGTCTCACAGGCACCAACCTGTGAAACGCGTGTCCGCTCAGCACTTTTGCGCGATGTACTATCGCACCATCCGCCGTAGCATTTTGAATCTGTCTGCATGCTTTCATTTCCTCAAATCTATATTTGGCAAAGTAAAGTACGCTCTTGTTGTAGCGCAAAGCTTTGGCAAAGTGAGCGCGAGCACCATATCGTAAGCCTCGGACTCTTTCTTCGCCAAACCGACTGTAAGGACTAAGTGAAGCCGCAACTGACGGTCGCGATAAGTACAGTGTGTATAATGCGGATGGCGCTCAAAGCAGTGAGACAATTGTGCATTCGACAAGCGATAATCGATGGAAAACAATATATCAGAATCTGTCAAAATCAGCATGGGTAGGTGAATGAGCCTCGACATTTCGGACCGCGCGGCACTGGTCCTCCCTATGCTGTTACATGTCATTGAAGGGCCAGTAGTCCGCTAACATGGTTTCAAATGGAGGAGTTCGCCCCAATCCGATAGCATGACTTCAAAGAAAGCTTTGACCGCGGACTTTTGATGAGCCTCGCCTCTTTTGAAAATAAGAAACCATCCTGCCAATAAAAATAACGCTAGTGTGGTCGACAAGGATAGAAGATAAGTCATAGGCCTTCGTCATACATTAGAACAAGATTGATCAAGTTCTTCGTAAAACGAAATGACATTCCACATTTCCATAGTGTCCATAAATTGGCTGACTTAAAATGAGGTTCTTACCTAAAAAGAGATATGTGAAATTGAAAAAAAAGAACCTCAAAAAGAGCTTTCACCTTGCTGCATCAATTCATGAAGATGACAGCACTAAGTCAAAACCCACCTTTCCTTTTGATTTTGTGCTGGCTAGACTTTAGCAGCGTTTTTTGTAAAATATAAAAGATGCTTCCTTATAAAGAGATTGTTAAGACGCCACTACGTGGCCGCTATGAGCAATACTGGCGAGACGATGGTAGTATTTAAGGTCGTCCTGAAGGGAAAAGGTAAAAGGGCAATGGATAAAATCTAGCAGGATTTAGTAAGCTACCCTTAAAAAGGCTTTTCTTCCTTGCAGATGACCGGGCTAGGTTAACCATGAGATTGACAAGTAGTCACTACGTGGATGCACTAAAAAAGCTGTGAATCATAGTTATGCAAAAACAGAATAAATATGTCAAAACAGATTCGTTTGATGCAATACCTTCCGAAGACAAAAGCGTTTGCTAAAACTCACCTTTGATCTGGTGCTGTTAGTCTTCAGTACCATTTGTCTTTGTGGGATATCACCTTCCTTATAAAGAGATTGGTTGGATGCCACTACGTGGCCGATTATGAGCAATTGGCAAGCAACAGTACGTACGGCTGCACTAAAGGAAAAAGCTTGTGAGGGATGCAAACAAAACATAGAATAGAACTCAATGCCCTAACCTAAAAACAAGCCTTCTCTCTTCGGAGATCATTAGGGTCGATTATAAGAGATTGGCAAGAAGCTACTACGTAGTCGCACTGAACAAAACGATGTGATTTTTACTGATGCAAAAATAGAATGGAAAAAAGGTAAAAATGAGCGAGAAGGAGTCACCTCCTAAAAGGAAGAGGGCGAAGTTCTTCCCCAGAGAAACAATCGATCGATGACAACGCTTGTTATCGCGACAAAAGGGATGGCGTGACATCACAAAACTGTGTTTAGATTAGCGCGCTGGGACCCTCCAAATACAACTACGAATGTGTTGACAACTCGCTGACTAGAAAAAGCGTATATCACTTTGTCGAAAGTATTCGAAGATCATCGAATATTCGAATATTCGATGTTCATCGAATACGCGAACAATTCGATAACTATCGAATGATCGAATCAATGACTCTCGAATATTCGACTATCGAATATTATTCGAAATTGAAGAATTTCGAATATTCTACTATCGAATATTATTCGAAATCTCACAATTTCGAATATTCGAATTTTCGAATCATTCGCATTCGAATGATTTATTCGAATAATCGAATAATCATTCGATTCGGTCCAAAGTATAGTATGCAGGCAGTGGCGGAACACATAGGCCTTTTGAGCTCCAAAAACATTAACAAATATGTGCTTCTTATCCTTCATTAGGAAATTTCTCTTATCTGCATCCCGCCCTTGCTCACAGATCGATATACATAAATCAGACCAGAGAGAAGAATGACGTGATCGAAAGTGTGGCGATTACAGGGCCAAGATTGGGAACTGCCCCCCTACGTTTTTCCCTCCCATGTCACAGTCTAGATCATCGTCTATGTGACCTGGTCCAAAGCATTGTGGAATTGACTCAACGCAGAAATGTCCATTTCCCATGCCGTGGCCCTGCAAAAGACAGTTTAGCTATCAAAAATAGCAAATCCCAACTCTTTTGTTCCATCTCTTGACTTTATTCAACAATGGCAAAGCATCTATTTCTCAAGAGACTTTTATCAGCATGTCATCAAGAACTCTAATGGGTTCATCATTACCTTTTATGCATGATAGAAGTGCGGAATTATCACCATCTTCTAAATCTCCAACAGGTCCACTCCACATATTGCAAAATTAGGATATTTCTCAACATTTTTTTATGGGGAAGTTTGACAAAGACCCTTTTAGTTATGCAAGAGTTGCTTTCCCTCAACATTGGACCTTTTATCATAACCTCTTTAATTCCTTCATTTTTCTCTCATTTGCATTATGTTCCCGTACCGACCTCTAGATCATCTCTATATTAGCCACAAGTTTATGCTTGTGATCATCTAGGTTTAGCTGACTAAAAGAGGGCTTCTTTGGCGGCTTTATCTTCGAAGGAAAATCAGGGTCAAACGCGTGCAAAATGTATAGAAGGCTCATCAGTTGAATTATATGGTGATGAATCATGTGCAAAACTACCATGAGCTGTAAGGTACCCCATTCAGCTAGTCTATGCCTTCCTTTTTAGCATCCTGCTCAGTGTGCCAATCGCTCGTTCTGTGATTTCATTTTCACATGGGTTGTGACCCTTCGTTACCGACTGTTCTATACCCATAATATCACGGATTTCCGACAAAGCACTGCTCACAAACTCCGGCCTTTGATCGAGTGTATAGCTTTAAGCCAGCGGCAACCTCCGCATACCGATCTCTCGGAGAATGGCCTCGCAACTGTTTCCCCCTTCTTATCCCCTATGCGATATGCTCCAACAAATTTCGAGAAGTGGTTGATCGCTACAGTTCGTATCTATTTCCCTCTTTCTGCCACCCCCAACTCCACTGAATCTATGCCAACCAACTCAAACGGCTTGTTTGTTGCTTTCTTGCAAGCTTTTGTCCACTTTGCTATGTTTTCTTGCATTTCGTTCCAGAAGAATTTTAATTTTCTGTACAACTTCTTAGCATTGAGGTTCCCTGTTGTTGCACCTGCATGCTTCATCCAATAGTTCCTTGTTCTTTATTTTTGGTACTACTTTTAGTGCTTTGCCCCCGATCACCATCATAAGCACTCCTTCGCTTATGAGGTAATTTGCAATATCCAGCGTCTGGTAGCACTTCTTCTTCCCTCCTACCCGGTTCGAGCCCTTCGACTATTCTCGTGTAGTCCCTCTCAGTTCCTCTAGCCATTATGACCTGGCTTGTGTTTGGAGCCGTGCAGACTATGAGACTCTGGCGGAGAGTGTGGTTCTTCTAAAAATACTTGTAAGAGGTAGGTGCCAGTTCTGACTACGATTTTAATAATTCATATACGAAAAAGTGGAACTTCTTTAGCGCAAAAACAAAAGCGAACGCTTCCACATGCTTTATATGATACCTGGCTTCAGCTTTGGTCAGTCCTCTCGAAGCGAAGTACACCGAAAGCAACAACTTATCAGCGCTTTCTGACAGAGTACTGCACCTAGATCTTTTGTGCACGCGTCCGTATATACAGGGTGTCCCAAAAATGTGAATACTGTTTGATTGTTAATAACTCCCTTGCTTTCATGTCTTTCGCCAAACTTGAGGCACCATTCATTAGAGAGAGGTTCAACTTAGATTTGTAGTATGAAGCAAATCACCGATCGCTCCTCGTTTCTGTAGGATTACGGTAGGAACTTTGACAAGGATTTTAGGCCACTGGAGGCCATATTCTCCTCGAAACAAAACCAAACAAGCCAAAAACTATTATACTATGGTAATGGAAGCCGCTGATTTCGAATATAAAATTTCCGCTCTACTGTGATACTTTTTTCCAAGGTTATCCCAGGTAAACCGTATAAATCCCAGCATCTGTCAGAAATGTGACTACACCGTCAAAAAAGCCAAAAACACTCGTAAAAAAGTTGTGTAGTGGAATCAGCGTGCGCGAAAACCCTAGTACACGATTTTTCATATTTTTTGAAAAAGGTTTTTGTCAAATGGCATATTTCACTATGGTCCCATGCTAGAAGTTCATACCGTAATCCTACAGTAACGAAGAGCGATCGGTAAACCTACAAATTTAAGTTGAACCTCGCCCTATTGAATGGTGCCTTAAGCTCGGCGAAAGACTTGAAAGCAAGGGTGTTATCAACAATCAAACAATGTTCACATTTTTTTGGAACACCCTGTATAATAAATAAATGCGTTCCTTCTCTTGCTGCTGTGATGTCCGGTTGAGCTAGTACTGATGCCGTACATATTTTTTGCTCCAACTTGGTAAATAACTCTTCTTGTTTGCTTGTCCACTTTCATGCATTTCTTGGGCTCGTTTGCATGCAAAGAGTGGTTTTGCTATCTGCAAAAAATTCAGAATGAATTTCGATAATAAGGTGCTATGCTCAAGGTACGGAGGTCCTTCAACTTTGTTGGAGTGGGGAGGGGGGTATCTAGCGACTTTTCTCACTTTGCCCGGGTCTGTGTGCACGCCATTTCCGTCAATTATGACCTAGAAATACTACTTGATGTTTCAAGATCTCCATTTCAGGTATTTAGCTTAAGAAACCTTTTCTTAGTGCATATAAAATGAGCTCTAAGACAGGGCCCGGCACAAGGTGGGCAAATGACAAGCTGGAAATCGTTTTGGGGCCAAAAAGCAAAGGGGATATCGTTTTTGCGGGATCCGGGGCGGAGCCCCGGAAGAAGATTCCAAGTGCAAGCAAAAGAAGGTCGAAACATGCTTACCTTATACATCTAATTCATCGGAAAATAGTTTTCATAAACCTCAACGCACAGCAGACTTCGCGCGCACTACGCCGCGTTGCCGCTAATTGCCGCGTGCGCGACGTCGCATGAGCGATGCCGTTGAACAGCATGATTACATGATCAGTTCTCAATGCAGGCGTAATGATATAGCACCAAATTACGTAAGCGAACAAAGAGAGGCTAGTAGAAACAAAGCATGAAATGTTATGAAAAACTTATGTGAATGGGAGGTGTAATAAGCATTTTTTCAAAAATTTCGCAAAACTGGTAAATGAAGATGTGAATTCAAATGGCTCGTTTGCAGCGCACAGATGACCATACAGTTTGAAACTTGGTAGTTATATGAGTACGGGCCTGCAGGGTTTATCTTAGAAGTTATATTGAAAAATTATGTGAATGAAGGTTGTGGCAAGCTTTTTTCTGAAAATTTCCCACTATCAAGAAAATGGAAAAATGGCTCGTTTGCAGCGCAGAGAAAACGAAATCGCGCGAGACCTGGTGTGTATACGCGCAGTAGGACTAAGGAACAATGTATGAAAAATCATGAAAAACTTATATGAATGAAGAGCGTGCTTAACTTTTATCCAAATTAGGTGGGCAATTGCCCACCTAATGCCCACCTGAGATGGGCAAAACTTTCAATTCACATAATTTTTTCAACATTTTTACATAAATCTGTTGTTCACCTAAAGTTTACTATATGGTGAGATTTTGGTCCCGAAACTCCTCCTCTTGTCCTTGTTAGAGCCCAAAATCGCATCAGCAGCCTAGCTTTCTAAGATGGAAAGCGCGCCCCAGTCAATCGATACGCGCGGGAACGGCGTCTCTCAGTCTTATAACTGCGTTCCTTTGATATTTTTTTCATTCCTTCATCATTTTCCTTGCTTATTCTTCTTTCTGTTTTCTATCTTGATACAGGTGAGGAGTAATTAGAGAAATTTGAGCATTTTGAGCGCTTAGCCCTGCTCTAAGACAGTGCAGTGCCTCTTTAGTATATCCTTGCGCCGAGAATGTCATATACACAAAACAACTTCCTCGTACCTTTTTGCTGGAACTTATTGTTAGCAAGACTGGTAGTCATTTCAAACGGCAAAACTCTAAATTTTAAAAGGCCTTCGCTTGTAGAGAATGCACTCTTTCGCTTTGCCTCTTTTGACATCCGAATTTGTCAGTAACCCGATATCATGTTAAGCTGAAAAAAACCGCTCACGCTTTGTAAGATAAGGTCGATTGTTGGAAAATATATTAACAAACATTCTATAAAAGAACCAAGAATTCTATTTTCTGAGGTGTAAAAGGTTTGACAGAGCTCAAAAGCGCATTTTTTGACCTGATACTAGTTTAATTGATAATTAGTGCAATTTTCATATTTTACTTCAAATTCGGATTTTCAAACAAAACCAGTTTAGCAAGAAACTGTTTGGATTATTTGAACGAGCGTTTTTCTAGTCTCTCATATTTGAACGTGCTTTCGTAGACCTTTGTTCAATAAAAGTGTTAAGCCTTCAAGGGCAGTGTTCCAAAAAAATCCATGCTTCAGCTTTTTCAATTTTTCGGACCCTTCTCGCCATGAGGAAACCCGTATCTGGCCTTTCAGCGCATGAAGATGGCGAACATGAGCTCCTTCTCCACCACTCGGAATTGCTCTCGAACTCGGAAAGGCTTCAGTCAGCTAAAACTTATTACACGTGTATTAGGGTGTCCCAAAAATTTTTACCGTTTTTACTGTTTTCCTTCAACTGATGTGCTTGAGCAATCACAGGACAAAGCAAGCTTTACAAGATGCCTTTGAAGAATCCGCCCAAATCGTATTTCACCGGTTGTTCCAAGTCAGTCAAAAACAAACTTTTCCTTCATAAATCGTATCTCCACCTTAAAATGTCTTAGAATTTGCCATTTATCCTAGCATATGCACAATACATCGCACATTTTCAATTGTACTATTTCGCATTTTTTTGGCCAGAAATAAAGAAAAAATTTGAATGGGGTAAAATGGCAAACTCCGCCTTTAGACATCCTGAGCTCCTACCGCGCACGTATTCATATAGTTCATACATGTAGAAGTATGGCTATGTATTTGTAAACTTTGAAGGTGCCGCAGTTCTCGAGAATTAGATCTTTAAGGTAAAAACCGTAAAAAATTATGGGACACCCTAATAAGTGACCTTGTAAAGGCTTTACATGAACATGAATGATATTTCAACAACTACTACCACTTTCAACAACAACAACTTTCAACAACTAAAATCGAAGTTTCCGACCAACTTTATTTCCGGAAAGGTGCGGTCTAGGAGCTCCAATACTTTCCGGTCACTGTATTATTTGACTTCTAAGTAAAATTATTATTTTCAAAGAGCTGCTAAATAACTAAACAGAAATAACCAGGAGTTGATCAAAATTACTCAACATTTGAGTTTGAAAGGACGGTCACTGTAAATAGATAGGAAAGCAAGAAGTAAAAGCTAAATCTTCGATGTAAATCCAAGAGATTTGAACTTGAGATCTACCATCACCATCAAAACAATTCACTTTTCAATAACTAAACAGGTACATCGAAAGCGACCTCGCCTTTCTCCTATTTGTGTTTGCTGAAACTTTCACAATCTGCGTTCATTCAAGGAATCCATATCGCATTGTTATAATTTTCACTGGTTTTAACTCAAAATGCTTCTTTTTTCGAGACGCAAAAATGTGAGAGCAGGTCTCTGACCTTAGGACACAAAGACAAAATGCGCTAATGATATAAGGCAAAACAATTTCTGAGGAAGCACTTCCAACACATTGTGAGATTTTGTCTTGTATGAGGACAATCTGCCAACTTTTCTATACTACTACTCTCAAACTGTCAGAGTTGAGATGTTTTTCTTTGAAAAGCAAGGAGTTAGTACGTTATTTAATACCGAACATCTAACGGCAGTAACACTCTGAAGCGGTTTCACGAATACGCGTGTAAAAAGAGTTTTCAAGCCAAAGGACTCATTAGAATTCATTCAATAATCATTGTGAAGTGTTCTGAACTGTGGGTCAGAGGCGTATGTCGCATACCCCCAAAGTCTCTTCAATTATGCTGGGCAAAATTGCCGCGCAATCAAAACGAATTTTGGAGGTCTTATTTTGAGACCCCAGTCGGACTGCAAGAAAAATATTCTTTGGTAGAGCATTCTTAATCTGAAGTGCAAGAAGCACACGCTCAAATTGACGGCCAATATTTGGGCATGTGTTTTTTTTAATGAAATTGCACTAGACATTGCATGGCCCATGACAAGCTTATGCGCTACTTTCATATTAATGATGGAAAACTCAAACATCAGACTTTTTTTTCAAACTTCAGGCATGTGCAGAAAGAAACTTGACTCGATTTCTTAACTATTAACTTAAAACTTCGCACACACTATGTGAATTTGAGATGAATGAAAATTATATATCAATGCATACACAGAATGTTATTGCAAGAAATCGCACAGACGTTTGACCAAAATACAATATGCTTGAGAAACGAAGTGTTGGAATATACTCCAGAGCTTAGGATCAGCAAAGTTTTACTTTTTTTGCAGATTTTGCATCTATTTTGTCCTTTGAAGTGGAGAGTTTGGCCATTTATTGCGTAGCGTGTCAATGTTCTATAGCACTTTAGATTTCAAGATAAGGCTGACGAGTCCTTTTTAAGATTCTTCTATAGCAGCCGGCTTTTTCTCTCTTTTTAATATAGGTCTCAGACAATTTACGGGAACTTTCCGAGGACTGTGGGGGAACTTTTGGCAGGTCACCTCGGAAAGTTCCCGTAAAGCCCTCGGGAAGTTTTGCAAATAAGCTCTCGGGAACTTCCCCAAAAACGGGAACTTTCCGAGGACTTCGTTACAGAACTTCCCGAGGGCTTCAGATGGACCTTTTTGTAGATAAACCTTTGTGACCTATACAGAACCTTTATCAGTAAACCCTCCTTCCTTCGAGCCGTACACCCACTTCAGCTGCTCAGGTCAAAAATACGTGAAACACAGATATCCTTCATCATTTATTGTTAGTGCACATATGGAGTACATTTGACGAAAGGCACCAAGAAAATCTTTTTAGCATGTTTCCAACAATAAATTACAACAATGCCTGTATGATGCGGATGGAGTACCATACTGAGATATGAAGTAGCATGTGCTGACGCAGGCGAGCGCAAATAGTGAGTTAGAGAAGAGGCATCATGTGATATGGCATCAAAAAAGAATGATAATCATGGGATGGACGCGTGAGACGTCAAGATCAAATCTCCTTCATGTGCAGCGCTTGTCTCCTCCATTCCGATTTCGTCATGCGTGCCTTGTCTTCTCTACTGGAGCCGACCTGCGTCGTTTTGTATTTCTGGAATAAATTATGTAAATGCGTAAGATAAAGTAACTAACCCTAACTAACTAACTAAGTAAACCTTTGTTGGCACAAGTTTCCCTTGGTGCAAACGATAATAACGTCTTCGCTGCAAAACTGAATTTAGAGGCAAAAATCAATGTTGTTGGGAAATTTACAGTGTTTCTGCGATGCAGATCCTGATTTTAGGAATAAACGGTTTTTAGCTTCAGCAGAAAGTCGAATCTCTTTTCGCGCTCTTCCTCGGATTTGCCCAAGGATATCTAAAAACTGGAGATATTTGAGTAAGTAGAAATTCCTTTCGAAACGTCAAAGCACCTACTCTGCGAACTTTTTATCGCATCTAATCTGTATCCCTGCAATTCCTCGCTGCCGAGATCAAGCGCATCCAAAATAATCTAAAAATCCGATTTACCTGAGAATCTTTTGCACAAGCACTGTAACATTGAGAGCGTTTACGATAGACTCAGGTAGATCTTGTAAATCCGGCTTGCGGGACACGTTAGAGGTGCGGTGTGCAAAGTTGCATATATCTGAGGGATACTACTGGGATACTATAGGCTACTACTTAGCAGTACCATAGCCAAAAGGTCACGCTATCTGCGTAATTATGTGATTGCACGCAAGGGACTGCGCCGTTGCACAAAGTGCAAAGATTATTGGATCTCCCTGAGGAAATCATGGATTTCCAATTTGGTCATTGGGACCTAAAAATGTTTAGCTAATTTTTGTTCCGAGGCTGAAAATTGGGAAATCAAAATAGCCCGATGGAAAATTTACTTCTTGGGATTTTTTATGTTAATGTTTATGTTATGTTGTGGCTATAAGCTAAGCATATAATGCTATTAGTGCTATAAGCTAAGCTTCCGCTGATCAATGAGCGTTTCCCAAAAAGGTAATTAGCGAACTGAGACATCGATACATGGGTGGATAGAATCGATACTAAAATGGTTACCTATCCTTCAGACAGTGAAAGACAGAAATGAAGCACCTTAAGCTTTACCTTATCAAGCTCTAAGCTTATCATTATGATGCAGGTAGTCTTGTTTGCAAAACAAGCAAAACAGGATTGTTTTGCTAACTTGCAAAACAGCTCTGCGGAAGTTCCCTCAAATTTAAATCCTCGGGAGGTTCTGCATTTTGCAGAACTTTCCGAGGATTTCCTCGGGAAGTTCCTAACTGTGTTGCTTTTGACGTCAAAGTTTTCGGGAAGTTCCCATTTTTACAGCTCCATTCACTTACGTGCTAAATGAAACCCTCGGGAAGTTTGGCAAATTGGCTTGCCCCTCGGGAAGTTCCCGTGATTTGTCTGAGGGTGTCAAACAAAATCGCAGATCTTGTCTCCTATTATGCGTTTGCACAGAAGCTTTAGTGTCTTTGTAATCTACTGAGTTTTCTCTCTTTTCCTTCGATTGCGTTTATCACAATGCTCATTGTCACAATAGTCTTATAATGATGAATCTCTACCTATCTTTGCTGATTTTTTAAGTAGATAAATTGAGATTGAACTCAAATTGAAGACTGAACATAAATTTGGATTTCAAAATCTATAAGTCCCCGAATGATTCAAACCAATTCCTTCCTATGGCGCACGCATGAACCTTACTTTTCCGTTGTAATCCGGGACATATTGTCCTCGATGAAAATCAAACTAATACCTTGATGGTGTAAATGGCATGACTCCATGGATATGCTGTTCAGAGCTAATTGTTCGATTGTTTGTTTCGTGGTCATCTACAGAAAGAAGTGACATCTGCAGAATGTATTGGCAGTCAAACTTTTCGACGTCGGTTAGTTAAGAAAAAAAATTGCAGAAAATTTTGCGGTATTGGATAGACACATCAACAGTTGACACCGTTTGATGTATGATGCAATCCATTTGCGAAATGAACAAGATCATGAATGATAGGCAAATTTATCAATTCAAATATATATGGGTCGATTTACGAGTACAATTTATTTCAGTTTCTTCAATGCCAGAAAGGGTTGGCTGTCGATAGTTACTCGCTAATCTGACCTTCTAATATTCAGGTCGTTGATATATCGGCACTTTATCCCGAAAAGGTCGTTATTAAAGAACCAGTGCGTCACCTCTGCTTCGCAGAGGCTCGCACTGGCGCTACTTTCTTATGCCTTACTCATTCCCGCATAATAATGTAATTGAAACTCAACGCGCTATGTAGGCTATCACGAATAATTCGTAAACAACTACTCATTCGTAGAGGTTTTCCATGTGAGATCGGTATTTTCGCGTGGATAAAATCTTTCCCAGAAGAACAGATGCAAATTTGGATACGTTTTTGGAATTTTTATGGGTTGGTAGTCGCCATAAGGATAGTAAACATAGTGCGCTACATCTTTGAGCAAAAATCTTCTCAGATGATTAGGTAAAATCTTGAAAAATTGACCGTTTACACAGCGAATGCTTTTTGGCGCTATTTTCGTAAAGTAGTAGACTTTTCATTACTTTTTTAGGCTAACGTCCATGGTTTGCACATTAGCTTGTCAAATGTATTCTAAACTTTGCAAAAAGTAGTACTTTCGGCCCAAATTTGCTGGCCAGAAGCTAAGTGGATCCGTTTGACGCGCCATTTTGAATGGATCCACTCAACGGATCCGCTCATGCTTTTGTATAGTGAGCTTTCACGTTGGTAGCGTGCGCTATGCAAAATTTGGGCTCAGGACGTTGGATGGAACACGCTCTACGAATTTCGTGACAGACAGATTTTCACACAGACACACAGACAGACACACAAAAAAACAGACGGCCTTAGCGCGTTATTATATTAAAGAATGCCACGGAAGAAATGAGCCCGTATCCTATGAGATTTTGTACATCATCAAAGACTTTTAGCTAAATTTGCAGGTTGACAAAGATGATTTACTAAATATAGATGATAAAAATTGGAATACGATAGTGTGTCGAAGGTGTGGAGCTGTAATATTTCCAGAGGATCGTGTGAAATACCTAGAAGGTAACTTATGACCTACGTTTGAGAAAGTGCTATCAAAAACCAAGGCTTTAAGATTACACAGTGGAGTTGCCAGAAATGGTTCCTGGAGGCAGAGGATCGATTGTAAAAGAGAAAATTTCATGGTGGTGGTATACAAAGAATGACAAAGATTTTGATACTATTGGATTTTTTTGAGACGTGATCGACAATAAGATGGTCAGCAATTGAGTGCAGCCTTTGCATATACTATCTGAGTTGACTTTAGTTTAGACATTACTATGCGGTGATTGTGAGTTCGGCCCAATAGGTTTGCGAACAATGGATGACAAAGAGTTTTGGATTGCCGTTGAAAGAGTTTGTTACGAAGATAGACCAAGGAAGGATCCGAAAGCACGACCGAAGAAAGCTAAGAAGGAGAAAAAATGAAAAATAATTATTGTACTCGTAAAAAGCGGAAGATGAAATGAACGCTGAAATTACCTCGCTGCAAGATTAGACTATTTTCATTTTTTTTGCGGAAAATGTGCTAATTTGTTACGAGATCAGCCTGCCTTTTCATCCTCTTTAACTGATTGTCGTCTGCAGTTGTCGGCATGTAAAGCAAAATATTCACTTCTTTCATTTATTTTATTTGAGGAATAGAAATTGTTTATGATTTTAAAGTAGGCGTGAACCTAAGGTACAGAATTTGAGAAATATGAGACTTTATGTCAATTTTTGTCAGTTTGTGCTAAGGCCTACCGACGGTATATTGGAAGTCAGTGAACGAAACATCAAATTTACTTGGAGACTCTCTAGTTGCTTAATGAGCGAGATCTAATACAGCTCAGACAAACCACCGGAACTTCCGCAGGACAAGCCAAATTTGCAAAAGTTCGCAGTATTTGGTTCACTATTGCAAAAAATGAGAACGTTGAAAATCGAAACTTCCGTGGAATTTTCATGCCAAACTGGTTGAAAACAGGAACTTCAGCAGAACCTTCTTCAAAATCCTGCGGAAATTCCGAAAAATGCCAGAGGCTCCGCAGCACTATGACCCGCAAGAACTTCCGCAGGACTTTGAATGTGTTGTCTTGTGATGTCGGCTCGTCAACAACCAGGGTGCATAATCGAACATGTTAGCTGTAGCGTAAGGCCCCGGTCAGACTTCACGCGACTTAATCGTCGCGACCAAATCGCCAAGATTTCCATTCATTTTCATTTCACATTCAAAAATTTCGGTCTGGAAAAGTATCACAACCGAATGCAAGTTGATCTGCATGGAATGATGTTGTAATAGTTGTCTCCTCGCGATTCAGTCGCAACGATCAAATCGCGCGAAATCTGCCCGGGGCCTAAAGGATAGAAGGTGGGTCTCACAGTCAATAGAGTGAGGTTCAAATCTCGCTTCGGTGTTCTCCTTTGCTGTTGCGGTTGACATTTTTCGGACGTTTACGCACTTCGCAGGACGTTTACGCGCTTCGCAGGTGATCCGGCGGAACTTCCGCAAGCGCACTGCGGAAGTTCCGGTCATTTGTTTGAGGCGTACTTTCTCGGTCGCTTCTCGGGCTTTTGGGTGCCAAGCTAAAAGGCTTGATCCTTTCTGTAATGACAAGGGAAGCGTCGAAGTGGCCTAATCTTTGATGCAACTGGCTTGACGGCTGAAAGGCGTGGTTTTGTGACCTAATTAAGGCCGTTCGCGCCCGCGACGCACTGTGCGTCTCTGTAGCGCGCGTGCTCTCTGATCACTATCTAGCCTTTAGTTCACGAAGCCCCTCCTTCCACCCGCCAAGTCCTTTGAATCAAAAGACATCTATATCACTACTCGTCTTTGATCACTAATTCTGTTCTGCTTTCCTTCTATGCAGAAAGCTTTCCGAAACAAGTAATAAGTGTTTGGAAGTCGAATTTGTCATGCTTTGAGCGGCACAAAATTGCTGCACAAAATGCTGTACAAAAACACCTGAAAGTAGGTGAACAAGCTTGTATCAAGTAAATAGACTAAAAGGAAGGGCACTGCCTGTGAAAATCTGCATAGGTGTTTTGGTGAATTGGTGGTTTCCGCTAATTTTATGCCACTTGAGGCTTAACAACTTCAGACTTTCAAACACTTAAACTTTGGAGAGTTTTTCACAGAAAAGGAAGACGTTAGAATCACTATGTAATGCTCTACAGGGTGTGGGAATGTGAAGAAATTTTTTTGCAATGTTTAGAAAGATTTGGAATACTAAGTGAAGGCAAGTGACTGCAATAACCGCTCTTTGCCGTTATGCAGCAGATTCGGCTGATACTCGCTGCCTCGTACACCATCTGTTCTACTCCATAGCGCAGAAATGTCGATATCTTAGACACTCTTCTCTCCCCCCCCCCTCAAAGTTCGTCTTAGCAAAAATTGGCCAAGATTCCTTGATCCCTTCTTTTCTTTTTTTTGGGCAAAGATAAAAAATTTTCCGAGTAAAAATGCGAAATTCGATAAATCGATGGGGGCAGTCGGTATGTCCCCAAGAATATGGATTATTAGCACACGCTCCACCTAATACATTACGCCTGCCATATCTGGTGTAGATCCATTACTCCTTCTATCTTTTTTGAGTGAAGATACAAAAGCGGCTAAGCCAAATATTATATAAGTATTGATACTGGAAATTTTGGATGCGGTGGCCCCGAAAATTAACCTAAAAGTATCGAAACTGTTCAATCGACTGAATTCATTAAGATGCTTATATAGAAGACTTTTGGAAAGATTATAGCCTAGAACTCAGTAGCTGCTGCTCAACTGTAGTTTTCAAATTTGTTTGAGAGAAAGAAAATTGAAAATTGTAAATTTGAATTTTGCTAGTTTTCGAAAAAACTCGAATTCAATCTAATCACTAAAAAGCGAGCGGTTTGTGTCAGTTTGTAGCTAAGATGGCAGCCGACACAATACCAAAAAAAGGCTCTCCATTACGAGATGGAGGAAAATAACAAAATCACTTGCGACGCTTACAACGCGTTATGAACACTTACAACCTGTTATATAGTACATATCCAGACGTATAACAGAATGCTCCAATAGTATCCAAAAGTATCAAGTCATCTTTAGTAGCGCATTTGTATGGACTTTCGCGGTCCTTCGAAAATTTATAGAAATATAAAATTGAGTGTTTGTTGGATAGTATGTTTTTTATAGAAACTTCTATGTGTGAACCGACTACCGCCACACTTTGCACACATATGTTTTTGACACTGGTCCACCCCGTAAGCTACTTTTCGCAGCAAAATTCCCATTCCTTTAGTTGTTGATTTATCGATGTTGAAGAAAAATGAACTGTTATCAATTATCATCAAAGCGCTTCCAATTTTTGTGTAAACAATAGCGGTAGAACTTTTTTTTTAACACGATGAAGGAAATGTGGTAAATCAGCGATGTCTCAGGAAGTATCTGCTCTGTACAAAATAATAACAAAAGAAGGCCGAACGCGGAAAAGTTGAAATCACCAATCTGCTCTTTGAGCCAGTTAAAGCCCGATGCGGGCAAAGCCGGGCATGCCGCTAGTATAATATATTGCAGATAGTTGACTTTCCCAGTCCAGCCGGGCCATTGTTCACCTGCACTGCGAGCCCCTCCCCCTTGAATGTTATAGCTGCGTACTCGGTTTCACACGGAACTGGATAGCCAAACCGTCAAGCGGTATACGCTCCCGAGTGAAATGGCAGGACTTACCTCTCTGCTGTTTTGCGCTTTACCTCCACCCGACCACCTAGCTTTGCCCTGCTTTCCTGCACAGAATACAACGTGCGAGAAAACCTTTAGGAATAGAGGGTTTCACTAACTCACGTAGAGTCACCGCATGCTGCCTAACCACCGTGTAAAATGAGATCTACCGTCCCCGTTCACTTGGCTGTGGTGAAATGTAGTGACTGCAAGCTTTCATTTTTCTAGGAGTCAGTAAACAAATCAAGAAATCGATGAAAGGACCCGACGAATTTTTATGAGTAGCCTAAAACCGTCTCCAGGGTGTAAAGCATCTGTGTGCAAAGTTTCAGCTCAATCGCTTCAGCCGTAGGCGTTTCTATAAAGCACATACCCTCCAAACATACAATTTTCGAGTTTTATATATAGAGAAGATATGGCTTCATTTGAGGATCAAGTCAAAGAATGACCGATACATCTCATTACTGTGGGACGATAGAAACTTCCGGCAAACAACGCCATTGTGGATGAGCCGCAGTTTCAAATGATCTCAATCATTTTTGATGAGCCGCAGTTTCAAATGATCTCATTCAATCTGAAAAATTTTTTGGGTTGTAGGGAAGGATCGTACGCATGTTGATTTTGCTTTTTACACGTTTTCGAGGCTTTTCAGATGGCATAACAACACTTCAGGAATATTCAATAGTTGTTACGATATATTTGGCATGATTTATGACAGAGGTATGGAGGTACGGTAACGCACTTTGATGAGCCTAATGCAAGTATCAAGTTCCCTGTTTGCTTTCTGCGGCAGTTTTGCTAATTGTAAGTTCAAAATCCTCTTCAAATCTCAGCGCCAACCTTTTGCCAGCCAGAGGTCGCAGAGGATGAGAAGACGGAAGAATGAGTCCTAGCAAGACGGGTGCGACACTGTTGACGACGCGAACTGTTTTGAGGCATTTAATGAGCTATTAATATGTCCAGTTCGGTTCCCTTCAATTTTGGAATAATATTGAAACAGATCATGTCGGCAGCTTGTGAAACACTCTACTGGCTGTTCCAAACATGATGATAACGATAATCTAAACCTTTATAATGAGCGCTAAACAGTGGGGTTCATTTAGTGCGATGCTATCAACTTCAGAAACCAGGGACATTCCAAAAAAGAAGCATTCCGCAACAAAGTTTACTGCGAACTCTTCGGAAGCAGAAAACAGCAGCACGAGAACAGCTTACAGCAGCACAAAAATGGAACAAGCTCTTTCCAAATTTGATTGGATCAATTTGAAGAATGTCGGTACCAAAAGAGCAAAGCCAGATTCACAACGAAGAGAGGACCGAAAAAGGCTTGCAGCTGGTCATTATTATATTTTGACTCTAACCTAGTATAAAACTACCCTTCATTTAGGAGCATCAGAGAAAGAAGAACCTGCTCACCCATACAGTAAGAAAATTTGGCTAGTTTAAATTACGTTAATTTGCTTGTTGTAGTTATCGATCAAGGAGAAAGTGCGTTGGCGAAAGTTGAGACGATACCAACTAGAAGTGTGAGTTTTGGGAAAACACGAAAAGACTCTTTAGAGATTAGTGCCTGTGTTATAGTGCGATCAGGTAGGATATGTGAAAGGTTAGCAGAAGCTGTTATACAAAAGAAACCAATGTTTTTGCATCACAGCTTGGTTAATCTATAAGCAGCTCCACAAGTCTTAAACTGATAGCGTCAATTTTGATTAGAAAAATCTACCTATATATCAGTAACTTTTCCTTGGTATTTATACTTCAAGAGTTACTGGAAACAGTAGAAATTTCCAATCGATCATGCACACGTCCAATCAAAGTATAGAACTTCGTTAGGCTGGCATTGTGAACGAGCCATTTGAAAGGGCCATTGACCCTATGGGTATTTCAAATGGTAATGTTCTCCGCTCAGAACCGAACAGACGAGCAACAACTTGTTTCTGATTAGGGATTTGCTGCTCACTCTGTTCGTGTTGCTTTAAAGGAGTGATATGTGCCTGTATGTGCCTGATGTGCCGAAAATAAACTTTAGCCAGCTCTGAAGCAAGACGGATGGCCGCTCAATGAGCGACTTTCATAGCGTGTGAATCTAACCTATCATAGCTCACGTGAAAATTTAACACGTTTCGGACCGGTGCTGCACATGGTGCAGCACGCTGCTTTGAAGGTTCTTTCTGACTTTTGCAGGAGGTTTTCTTTAAGTCCGAAGTTATTGAGTCAAAGGCCTAAGCTCTTACTTTTCAAATGACTCTGTAGAGCTGTGCCGCCGATATTTGTTTACGAGATATAAGGACATCGAACAGCAGTTGCAACGAAGTGCGGCAACGCGAACGACGTGTGCGACGTCGCAACTTCTCTTTGCTTCGAATTCAAAGAGAAAAACCGTAGTTTCAATAGTGACGAGTACAGTGTACAACATAGATACTTTTAGGTACTATTTGAAACTGAGTTCTTGCTCCTATCTTTCAAGAAAGCACAAAAGTCCCTCTCAAGCGACAAAATTCAAACGCTTCGAATTCAGCCAGAATTTTGGCTATGGAGCTTATCTGGCATGCTGATTACAGATGTAGTCCACAGTCTGCGAAATAAGGTACTTTTGCTGGCTAATGCCGAAAGTGCACTCTTTTTCGCTGCGCGCTTTCGCGGTCCGAAACGTGTTAACATGTTCTCACTTATTGTTCAGTATGCTTCGAAAAGTTTTCCAGCACTTATTAATTTTTCAAAACCTATAGTATTTCAGAGTAAAAAGCGGAAAATTTTTTCGACAATTTTATCAGCTCAATGCCTAAGTGTACAAAATGTAAGATTACCATTAATTCCATAACAACAAATGCTTTGCACACTTAAGGACAGACTCTTGCAAAACAGTCCTACCCCCCCCCCCACCATCTTTGTCTTGCTCCACCACTACTTTGTATCGCTACACATTGTGAACTTGATGGCTTCAAAAGAGTTGAGCAAGTAGCATAACATTCACCTATTGCAAAAAATTTTTTTACTTTATCTTGTCTAGTCAGTGTACTGCGTATTTTTGCACATGAAAAGCCAGTTGCTTTCAAAACTACTCCTCATAAACATAAATTTCTTCAAAAAAGAGAAACGCCTTACCACGCATTTGTTTCAAATTGTGGCGTAACTTTACTCAATCTGTCGCTAATTCAGGTTACATTTTTCCCAAATGAGAAGCGTCAACAGACACACGTAATTCTGCATAATAAATCCGATCGAAAAGTAATGTTCAAAATGAAGTCAACAAGACCTGGACTTTACAAGATGAAACCGGTATTAGGAGTCATCAATCCTGGCGAGAAGGTAAACAACTGTAATAAAAACATCGAAAAAATCACTGTTTTCGTTTGAAAAAAATTAGCAAAATTCTCTGTTTTGTTCAAGGGCTAGAGGGTAATATTGGCACCATTATCTGAGTTGTATTTTGATATTCCACCCATCCCATTGTAACGGAACCAGTGCGTCACCTCTGCTTCGCAGAGGTTCGCACTGACTCTACTATCTATCTGCCTTACTCATTCTCGTAAAATCATGGCACTGGAACTTACCGCGCTATGCCGACTACCATGAATAAAATGTAAACAACGACTCATTTAGAAAGTCTTTTCACGTGAGATCGGTGATTTCGCGTTGATGAAACTTTTCGCAGGAAGACAAACAAAAATTTGAACAGGTTTTTGGATTTGTCATGACTTGGTAGTCGCCATAAAGGTAATGATAACCGTGAGCTATATCTCTGTCTGAAAATCTTCTCAAATGCTTAGCTAGAACCTTGGCAAATTGACCGTTTACACAACCAATTCGTTTTGGCGCCGTTTTCGTTATGTAGTAAACTTTCGATTACTTTTCTGGCTAAACTCCATCGCTTGCACATTTGCTTACCAAACTCATCCACCTCTGCAAAAAGTGGTGATACGGACCGAATTTGCGGTACAGAAGCCAGGTGGACCCGTTTGGCGCGCAATTTCTGAGAGATCCACTCAACGAATCTACTCGTGCTTTTGTATGTTGGACTCTCATGAAGGTAGCCTCACATGTCCGTAAAATCGTAGGCGCTTCTCTAATAATTCTTGACGATCGGAGCGACCTTCATCGCATATGCACTTCTAGTGTCGTTCGAGACATGATCTAGCGTGGTCACTCCAGCGGCCCACCGCAGCATTCTCGTTTCCACTACACCACTTTTGGTTTAGCTTTGCGCGTACACAGCCAGCATTCGTCTTATAAGGGCACTTGGATGAATTGTTGTACATATCTGGGAATTGATTTTCTAAGTATTATTTTGAAGAGTACTCCTGTAAGCTTTTTACCTTGAACCAATTGCGTCGTTTTTACTGAGTATCTTTTTGTGAAGGCATCCGTTTGCGGAGATAAAACTTTCAAATATTTGAACGTGGTAGTCTTCTTGATCGCGCCCCCAAATTTGATGATTTCAGGGATCTATGCACCAAGCTTTATGTACTCCGTCTTCACTGTTTGAGCCTCAAACATCATGCTCCAAGTGTGTTTCCTCTTCTGCACATTGTCTTCTAGCTCTTTCCTGCTATAAGCGTCATGTCATCTGCGTACAATAGGGCCCATGAAACCTGACATAAGAAGTTTCTAACTATCGAATCCACGAACGTGATGAAGAGGAGGGGCGATAGTAATAAACCTTGATGAATGCCTGTCAATCTGAAACATGTTTGGTAGTCTTGCTGCCGTCTGTGTGGTTTCTGACATCTTTGGATCCACCGTACGTCCTCGGCATCAGTGTTTTCGTAGTGACCATCAACGATGTTGTACGGCAGCTTATCGCCGTCTCCACATCGAGAAATGCTGGTGCAGCTTGCACTGCTTTTCCATGCTTCTTCCATCATTATCTTGGCAGCGTGGATGGCATCTTTTGTAATGCAACCTTACACGAATTTTCACTGGTTAGGGACTAGCTCCATGACGCTCGGAGTCGGGCTTCTAGAATTTTTTTTCGAAGATCTCCAAGGCGTGGCAATAAGTAGATAGGCCGGCGCGTTCAGCAGTCAGCTACGTCGCCTTCGTTCTTATTGGTTACGCTGCTGTCGCTTGGCATCTCCTTGGCTTTTGTTCAACTGAGAAGTCGTTTTAGCTGTGACTCCAGCTGACCACATACTCTCAGAATTAATGTCGTCGAGGTTTGCTTCTGATTCCGACTTTTGCCACATTCTGTTCATCTTTTTCTTCTTGATCAGAACGTCGTCCCACTAAATTCCTCTGTCAATTCTTGCTATTTCTAAATTCCATTAGACCTGTTGCTGTCTAATGGAACTTGCTTTTCCGATCCTTCTGAGATATTCTTGCTTGTATTCTAACTTGGTTAAGGTGTCTCATGGTTACTTTGACGTGATCGTCAATTTCGGCTTCCACCATTCAAAGCGTGTTACTTAATCTGTTATTGTCCTTAGTTGCTTGTCGGCTGTAATATTCAGATTCAGAATCAGCGTCAGTATTGTAGTATGCAGTTTTCTCCAAGTACCTTTGCTGTTCTCCACATACTTGAGCTCGTTTTCCCGTACAGCCCAAAAGTCTATTGCATGTAGTAAACTCCACCAAGCAACTCCTATGAAGCTTGACTATTGTTTAACGGCACCTTAGTGCAGCTATAACAAGATATCGATTTGGATGCTAATCGTTCTGTAGGCGTGATAAAGGTGTAAGCCCTCATGAAAAGAACAGCAATACTTCATATGCGAGCATATTCAAAAGAATGATTAACTGCGGTGCAACCGCGGCTTCCGTGCTCGTTCGCGTAGCGGAGCCAACGTTGCTGCATCGCCGCGCAATCTTTGATGCGGCCACTATCAAAAATCAATGATGACCTCTTTCAAATTTTGCTTAGCAAATGGGTAAAATAAAACCATTCATGTTTTTTTCTAGCATGTATGTTCATAAACAATCAAAATTTTTGAGCTAAATAGATTGAGGTGAATCAGTAAGTTTATCAGTTTTTTAAAAGATTAAGCAGTTCCTAGAGAGAGAAAAAATAGTTTTTTTTGTTATTCCGGCTGTAATCAGCTGTTATCAATCCTTTCATAGGCACCCAAATTTGTGCTGCATAGAGTCGCGCTCTCGACCGCGGCACCACGTCAACTGCTGTGTCTCTTGAGTTACTCACGAGCAACTTACGGGCTGTTCTCTACTTCTCCGTCTTAGTACACCATTTACGGCGGTTGACCTTCTGACCTCCTTGACTCAAGGCAGTGCTGCATCGCAGCAATTGACCGGCGGTTAACTGCCACTTCAGATGGCCTTTCCAAAACTTAAAATAGTTGGCGGTCGTCATTCAAAGTGACAGATGTGAAATTTGGGTTTATGAAAGATCCTGATTTGAAGGGGGTTTACTACGAGCCATCTGTGTTTTCAATATTCTGCTAACGTACATGATGAGATGATTCGCCTTCTTGAAGAAGTAAGTGTTTGCCAGTATCAAGTGCGCTGTGGCAAACATTGAATACGTTCTTTTAGGTTGTTATGTTTTTTTATCCGTGATTATCATGGCATCTGCTTGCATCATTTCACTACTTTCCTATATACCGTTAAAATCTGCATCTATAAGTAGCAATTCGCCGCGCGGTGCAGTCATCGCTTTGCTTCCAGAATTCATCTTTCTCCATCTCTCTGCGCTCTATTTGTGGTACATAGGCAAATACGCCTCCGAGAATTTTTTTTTCGATATCATCCTAATGTCATTAGTCTATTCTTATTCGATCCACGGCTGTAATTTTACTTCGTAATGCTTCCGGGACCACTAAACCAACGCCGCTGTTGTTGCACACTGTTTTGTAGAAGCTTGACCCGTCTCCCATGTCTCGTGACTTCGCCCCTTAATTGTGTCTCCTGCGGCAGGCGATGTCAACTCTTCGACTCGTGAGAAGATCAGCCGGTGTCCTGCAGTAAGCAATTCTACATTGATGGTGGCTAGATGTAATGCTGAGAACTTGGATACTCACCTATAGTGTGCTAACTTCTTTAGCCGCTCACCCTGCTGAAACAGTATTTGCTTATTTTTTTGCTCGTCGGCTCGAATGCGCGTCGCCTTTGGGGAACGCCCTCTTACGCCCTAGCTTTTATTGGGGTCGTCTAATGAGAACTCAAAAAGCACTTAATGCGACGGACTGTCTTGTTTAGCCGGCTTATCGATTTCCCTTGCACGAGCAGCCCCTATAATGATGGCAGAGTTTTCCCAAAAAAATTAGGCACGCCGCGTAATCGATCTCGTGATACATAGACAAACGCCTGACCTTTCGGTCAATTCTGTCCATCGGCCAACTCTGTCTCGTCCTCATACCCTGATAGCTAAGCATGATGGATGACAGGACATTGACATATCACCTGAGGATTTCACTGCTCCACTACCCCTTTGGGGCTCTTAGAGATACACCCTTATTTTCAAAGTTTCCTATGTTTTCATAAACTCGATTAAAACGTGGTAAAATTGTATTAAGGATCTATTAAAACATTTCCAGAATGTATATCTAGTTTATTGGAAGATAGACGAATTTAAAAATAAGGAGTGATCCCCTAAATATTATCCAAAAAATCAGAAACATTGAAAAACTCAACTTGGAACATCCTGGCATCTGTTATGCTCACGTGTCAGGGCACAAGAACATTTATAGAATGTTTAGACAAACAAGAAAACCGATATCTAGAGCGGAGAGATATGTCGCAAATTTTATCAGCTCCCCTCAGTTTTCTATTGAGAATGCACGCGCATGCGGGCATAAGTGCTGGAAAGACTGATATTCAGCACAATTCTATTATATTTCCAGTATTCGATTCGGCTAGTTTATCTGGGCATCAAGATTGGCTACAGAATTCCGTTAAACGACAGGTAAGTAGATCCAGTAATACACTAAATTAATTTTTCCTTTTGAGGATCACTATTGTACTTGCGGCAGTTTCACGCAAAGGCGACGATAAGAACATGTTCAAAGTTAGCAACTTTTTTTCCAAGTATAACAGATCAAAACGAATTTTTTTTGTTTAATTGAAACTTTTTATTTTTGTCTGGCATTGCTCCTGCTGCAAGGAAATTTTCATAATGGTAGCCCAGCAGCTTTTTACCAGCACACATTGTAGAACTAAAGCTGTTGATTTTGAACGCTAAGCTCTGAAAGAGGAAAAATAACATTTTGGACAACAATAACATAAATTCCTTTGACTTTTGTTTCTTCTAGACATTACGTTTGCCAATAGTTATTACAACTTTCCTATTATTTGTCGTCGAATGCAGTCGTCCTTATAAAGGTCACGCCTACTTACAAAGGTGCAGAACGGTGTGATTCTTAACCATAGGACAGATGAATTCAACATACACTGATAAAACTGAAAGACTTTACGACGAACAGAAATGCTCTGCTGGAGCTAACAGGTCTACCAAGTGGTCGCTGTTTGACATCGAAAGCAATACTCCGATTATGTACATCAAAGCCGCCGAAGCCGAGGACATACTCAGGCGGCAGAGCCACACACGAAGGTCCATGTAATGAGGGGTTGCTGCCCCTCCAGCACCGCAAGGAACGCTTACATTTGGACCGATACCTTGGATCAAGGAAACGAATTGTGCAGGCACGATAAAGATGTTTGAGTAAAGTTGCTAGACCTAAAACATACCTGCTGAAGTATGGAAGATGATGGGACAGCATGGAATGGCATACCTTTCATCACTCTTCAGCCACATCATCATCGACGGGCAGGTGCGGCGAATTTGTTTTACGATTGTCACACTTCCCATCTGGAAGAACAAGGGCGACGTCAGCGATTGCTTAACATATCGACCGATACGCTGTGCGACACGATGAAGACCCTAGAGCGAGTTCCAATTGCCGCACCCATGGACGCTCCTCTACGTCGAGGTAGCAAGCGGATTGAGGCAGGAGCTCGAACAGGCAATTGTGATATGTAAGATGCGATTAGCATATGGTTGCGATTGAATGTAGAGGAGACCGAGTACTTGGAATGCAGACAGCAAACCGATGGCACAATCAATATTAGTGGCCATTCGCTGAAGAAGGTCACCATGTTCAAATACGTGGGTTCCCGAGCGACGTCAAACTAAACAATTACTGATGGTGCTAAAACGAACGCGCTGTTGCTGAGTGGGGACAAGTCACAGCAGTACTCTGCGGCCCTCGAATTTCAATCATCTCAGTTCAAGAGTATGGCGGACTGTGATAGGCCAGTCGTCTTGTTTTTTATCGTTGCATTCCTCCCGCTATTCCGGGTCTGCTGCTCTTGTGAGTTTTCTCCACTCTTTTCGGTCTAAAGCTTGCTTTTCAGTTATTTCAAGCTCTCTTATATATTTTGGCTCTGTCTAGCCATCGCATCTTGGGTCTTCCTCGTGGCCTCTTTCCTGGTACGCTTTCTGTCATGGCCAGTCTAGTTATGTGTCTTTATCTCTCCGGCTCACTTGTCCATACCATCGTAAGAGTCGTTCTTGCATCTTCTCGACGACTGGGGCAACCCTCATGCTTCGTATTGTGTCGTTCGTGATGTGGTCCAGCTTGGTAACTCCTACGGTCCACCTCGGCAGCGTCTCCATTACGCCGATCTTTCTCTCTTCGTTGGGAGTACACGGCCAGCATTCGCTTTCATAGAGCGCCGTCTGTCGAATCACTGTTCGGTATATTCAACGACTTGAGGTTTCGTGACATCCGTCTATCACACATGACTCCCGTCATGCTTCTCCATTTCATCCAAGCTGCATTCACTCTACTGGTTATCTCGTTAGACTGCCATCTGCGGAGATACGACTTCCCAAGTACTTGAAGGAGGTAGCCTTCTTGATTTGCGTGTCTCCGATCTAGTTGCTTCAGCTGTTTGAGCTCCTATCTCATACTCTGTCTTCGTTGCATTCAGCTTCAATCCGTGCAGCTCTAAATGATCTCTCCACTTCTGCCCTTCCTTCTGTAGTTCTTGCCAGCTTCTCGCTAGTAGCACTACATCATCCGCATGAGCGCCCACGGTGCTTGCCGTATGAAGTCTTCAACGATCGCAATTATCACGGTGATGAACAGCAGCGGTGAGCGTACCGAACCTTGATGTACGCCAGCGTGTATCGTGAATTCTTCTAATGTTCCCGCAGCTGTCTGGACATGGCTTCTGGCCTCTTTGTAGATCATTTGTATCCACTGTACATAGTCCTCTGGTACTATGTGCTTAAGCAGTGCCCACCATATTATTTCGTGCAAAACTTTGTCGAATGCCTTCTCGAGATCTAGGAATGCGTCATGTAGTTCACACTGTTCTTCTTTCTCTGCTTCGTTCAATCATTATTCTGGCTGTATGGATGGCGTCCGTCGTACTATATCCCTTCACGAATACACGTTGGTTGGAAACTAGATAATGTTTCGAAGTCCCGCTTCTAGTATTCTTTCGAATATCTTCAATGTATGGCTCGGTATGTCTGTCTATGTAGAGCAGTCTGCCATATCCCCCTTGTTCTTCCACACTGATATCGTTGCGCTCTTATAGCAATCGTCGGGCATCTTCTTGCATTCTACGCCACTCAATTTCAGCCTGGCCGCACTCTTTCCAGAATTCGTTGAGGATGTCATCTGGGCCTGTTGCTTTGCTATTCTTCGTCTTCGTTATAGCACTATGGACTTCCTCCTCTGTGATCTTCGTTACCGATCCTTGTACAGGTTCAGCTACTATGATAGATGGCTTTTCGTGACTTGTAGATGACACTGTTTCAAAGTGTGTTCGCCATCGCGCGCCTATCTCTTCTGGTCTTCTCAGGTTTCTTCCGCAGACATCCTTTATATGGTAGTGTTCCCTAACTTACGAGGCTTTTGCTCTTTTTTTTGCTATCAGGTATATACTTCGCTCGCCTTCACGAGTTCACAGCTTCTTGTAGAGTTCTGCCATATAAGCTTCCTTCGCCCTCTGACGCTCTTCTTTGCTGCACGCTTTGCACTCAGATCTTTTTACGCACATCTTCTCCTCCTGATTTCTGCCATACCTTATATCTTCTTATTCTTAATCACTTCTTGTACGGTGCCATTCCACTACTGTACCACCAAGTTTCCTTTTTGAGCTTCGGCCTTCCCAGTCTCGTGCGTCCTAGTAGATTACTCGCCACCTGATGGAAGTTGTTCTTCAGATGCATCGAGTGGTCTAGTTCTTTCATTTTTGGAAGGGCTGACTCCATTGCTGCTTTTGCTTAAAGATTGTTCTTGAGCTTCCACCATTTGACGCTTTCTACCGTGTCCTTGCTCTTCTTCTTTTACTGATGGGGATGTTCAGATCTAGAAGCAGTGGCCTGTGTTGAGGGACGCAGTCTTTGCCGGAGATGACTTTGCTTTCCCTCACATACTTGAGCTCACTCTGTCGCACCGTCCAGAAGTTTATCTGCAAACTGCGGTATCCGCTGGCATAGCGACTAGATGTTTGGTCTTCTTGATGAAGTACGTATTCGCTATTGCCAAGCTATGAGAAATTGCGAAATTCAGAATGCGCTCTCCTTCGTCGTTACGTGACCGTATCTGTGGTTTCCGTGACACTTCTGAAGGCCACTTCATTATTCTCCTACATGCCCGTTGAGATCTGCGCCAAGCAGTAGTGACTCTTCTTGAGGTATCGCGCTCATGTGGTCGTCGAACTTTTGCCAAAACTCTTCTTTCTCAGCTTCTTCGCAAGCTGCTTGTTGCGCATATGCTGTTACTACACGAAGCCTCTTCTTTCCGTCATCTACTCCTATACTCATCAGACGGTCGCTTATCCGATCTACCCCAGTTATCCTATCTCTGCTTCGGATACCACTATCCCGACACCATTTCTGTTACTGGTTTTGTACAGAAGCTTGAAGCCGTCGCCAATGTCTCTTGCCTTTTCTCCTTTCCATTTGGTTTCTTGAAGGCAGCAATGTCTACTTTTCGTTTTCTTAGGAGATCTGCTACTTCCCGATGTCGAGCTGTGAGAGATCTAACGTTAAGGGTAGCTAGACGTAGCTTAACTGAAAACTTGTATCCTTGCCTATGGTGAACTAGCTTCTTTAGCCTCCCCGCTCACCCTGTTGAGACGGCAGCCTTAGCATACTGGTCACACTCCTCGGGCCCAAGTGCGCGACGCCTCCGGGCAACGCCCTAGCTTTTACTCGTTGTTTTGGATGAAACATAAAAGAGCATTTAATGCGACGTAGTTTCTTCTTCAACCTGCTTGTCGCGTGCTTTTGGATGAGCAGCCTGGCGCTGAATTCGTGGGGCAAGAGCTTTTCCTAAGAAATTAGGCACACCGCGGAATAATCGAACGCGCAACCTTCCTCACCGTAGTCAAGGCACTAACTTCTCGGCCAACTCAGCCCCCCCCCCCCCGCCCAGTTGCCTAGTACGGAGCCGAATTTTGGCCAACAACTAGGACGAGCAGATCTTAAGCGATGGAGACGCGAATGTTAAGGTGGATACTCGGCTTATGCGAAAAAATACGTCACGAGCGCCGATGTGCAACACGTTTTTGGAGTTGCGCTGTAGCGAATAAGCTGCAAGGTACCAGATTACGATGATATGGTCACATTTCACGAAAAGAAGATCAATAGTAAAAACAGCACTTCGTCTATATCCACAGGGAAAAAACATGCATCCGGCCGAAGTAAGCTGGTTGAAAAGCATTCGAAGGAGCTGCACGTTGCAATACTCGCACCACAAGAAGCAGCTGACCGAGTCAAATAAAGACAAAAATGCAAACTGACGACACTATCCCTGAGGGGCAATGGCGAAGCTAAAGAAGAAGAAGACTGAAGAAATTGGAAAACTTACTAAATTACAAAAAAGATAAAGCTGTTACGAATCCAGCGTAGCGATTCAGATATTCGACAATGCTTCCAGAGTTTAATTAATCCAAAATGTTTTGTTAACGGATAAGCGGATAGCTGCTTTTTGCACTCCACTAACTGCATTCTAAGAAAGTAGCTAAGCTTTTTGCGAGACCGCTTTTTAGTTTTTATTTGCCAAGGAATCAGCATTTCATCTGACAAGGGAAGGTTACTTAGTGACCGTGGCCGCTCGTAATGAGACACATATCAGATTACGTCTTAAAGCGATGATTTCAAATATGCTTTCGCTATCTGCTTGCGATTATTTAAAATAAATTATAAATATCCGCACGACTCTTATAGACTACATTACATAAACAGCGCACATTTTTATGAGAAAAACGTTCGTAACTTATTTCAGACAATTGTTTAGCAGGTAAGAAAGCAGATTTGAAATCAGCATTTTGAGACGTCTAGCGGCATGTTACTACATTGCATAGTTACGGTATCAAGTATACTTACATTGTGAGAGTCTATAAGAGTCGTGCGGATATTTATAATTTATTTTAATAATCGCAAGCAGATAGCGAAAGCAGATTTGAAATCAGCATTTTGAGACGTCTAGCGGCATGTTACTCATTGCATAGTTACGGTCATCAAGTATACTTACATTGTGAGAGTAATAAGAGTAAGAAAAAAATCAACTATCTCGCAAGGATTTATGGGAGGTTTTCTTGATTCGTACTTGTAGAGAGGGCCACTGAGCCGACGATAACTCGGAAAGCTCCAGAAAGAGGAACTGAAAGTGCGAAAATTTATATGTAAGCAAACGAGTCGTTTGTGTCGACGTTCTGATTAGAGAGTGGAAATTGCAACTCACGTGCTAAAATCACAAGTATTTCTCCGTCGTCAAGGTTTGTGAATCTGTAACCTATAATTGACTTATCTCGAGTTTACAACAAAAGCTCTACTAACATCGGATATCAATTTTGTTTTATCGTCATGAATGTCGAACAATTCCCAGCAAGCAGCCGAATCTACAACATTTTATAGTTTGCCCGGTTTACGTACCACAGTTGAACGTATCAGGACTCTTCACAGATGCTCTGGGGTCAGACTGGACTTGGAAAAAAAAGCTGACTATTAAACTAGTCTAAAAACCAAGAATATCTTTTTTTGCAGGATTCGGGGGTGAGCTCCAAAAATATCGGCAAACATGTCAGTTTTACACGTTAAATAGGTTCTTTCGCAAGCGCGCGAAATTCAAGCGCAACACCAACCAGACAAATGGCCTCGCTTACAGTGCACAACCAACCACATAACTCCGAATTTGAGCTGTGCATATACAATATTGCTGCAAAATACATCATGTACCCGCAAATTCCATACAGTAAAGACATATCCAGCTGCAACAAATGCAGAATTTCTTTCTCTTTCCAACTGCTATATTTCCAGTGTGATTTAGTGAGATGGTGCTGAGATAATCGCTAAAAATTACAACCCATTTTCACCACGTCCATAATTCGCCAAAAACGAGTTTGGGTTGTGCAGTGGCGATGCGCTCAGCTACCGAATACGCTTTTCAGCTCGAGAAAAATAAGGATAAATTATAAAGAAATGCCAAAAAAGAAGAAAAATCCGTTGCGCTTAGGTCTGAGAAGAAGCACATTCTTCAGATTAACACGTTGAAGACAGCGTGCATTTTCAGCTGTCTACCTTGTAGGACAATGTCTTCTACAATAAGTTGAGTATTTTTAGCTAAAATCAAGCAGGCCGTCAACTGCAGTATCCCTACAGTGATTCTGAGAAGCAGCCAAACGCGGAAGTAATCCCTAGGAATAATGCATGAGAGAACTTCTAAAACCACAGTCATTGCATGACCCACCATGTGGGTCACATTGTCGTCAATGTGTTAAGACGCGCAGAACTTACAAAACCTCGATTTGAAACTCCGTTTTATACCTTGTGTTGGCTAGATGAAGCGATATCCGGCTATAACCTGCTCTCGTATCTGGGCCTTATTCCACGCAAGAAACAGCTCATTGATTTTACGGTACAAAAATCAAACTCTTCACCTGTTTTGAAGCCAGCGCGTTTTTTTTGAAAAAGAGCAATTCTGATACACATATTACACATATCGGTGATTTGAAGGCAATGTCCAGGCAGATTCGCACCCTGAGAGATATTGCTATGGTGGGGTTCTTGGTCATCCCACTGACCCTCCAGGCGCAGTCCGGCTGGTTGATGTTTCCCCTGGGCCGAGAAAACAGCCCTTGAACAAGCGCGCACAACCCCAATCGGGCGCGCTCGGACGACTTCGCTTACCGTTCGGCGCGGGAGCCCACGACCGCTCTCCTGCATTGTGCATGCTATGCAGAGCAAAAATTATAGGCAGCAGGGTCTTCGTGCCAGGGGCTCTCGAATTTCCACTGAAATTCCTATCCGAGCTGCCTTTCGAAATTGGCTAAACGCCACGAAAAAGGCCTTTTCACCCTTTTCAAAGTTCAGATTCGGGATCTACGGGTCGAAAAGGCCCAAAACATGCAAAAAGGTGGAAATGCAAAATCTGCCGGGACACTGCCTTTGAGGTTATCAGTACACATGACCAGAGTTGAGAAAGAGGTCAGGCACAAGTCATTCGAAAACACCCCCCCCCCTCCCATGAAAGCCCTCAAACGACCCCTTCTTCCTCCTCTTAACCTCCGGACCTCAAAGTGTGACATTCTGGAGGACACCAGCTTTTTCTAGAGAGTTTTCAGATTTCTGAGAGCTGTACGCCAGATTTTCGTGACTGCACTTTACAATCACACATAATTTGACGGCTGATTTTGATCTAAATGGGCATATTGAAAGGGCCATAATTTTCTTATGGGTGGGGCGTTCGGCTCCAAATTTCCAGTGTAGCAAGAAGAAACCATGTGTTCAATACTCATACCAGCAATGGAGCGCTTTCTGGATTTTGAAGGCAAGTTAAGGGGGTGCGGCACACCCCCTTATAAGCTGCGGCAGCCGCAGCTTTTAAGAGGGTGTGCCGCACCCCATTAACTATATCAAAAAAACATTTTTAGCGGACAGTATTTATATGAATCGATAGCCTAAACCTTGTAGATTCCATAGGACTGTTTGGAGCCTGATTCGTCTTCTTAGCTCTGAGCAATATTTGGTGAAAGCACAGCGATCGAAAGCAAAAAATGGGAAAAACGAGATTTTGGTTGGCTTCTAATTCCACAGTTTGCAGGTCTTCTGAAGCGGGATTCCTGAGGTGGACAAAGAAGGAGTAGTGCTTTGTCTTGAGTGCAAAAACGGATAGCTAATTCACCTTTGAAACAAAGTTAACCATGTTGGAATTTGACCATTTCATTTAGGGGTAGCCTAGTATCTTGAATCTTCAGAATTCGCTCACACTTTGTCTACAGGGGTTAATTGACATGCTAATTATGGATATGATACAAATATCATGTTATCACTATTATCAGATTATCCAACTACGACCCCCTCCCCTTTTGACTCCTCAATACGACCCCCAGGTGTGGCGTGCCGCACCCCACGCTTGACCCTGCACATGACCAAAATATTGTTGATTGGCAGCCGCTTATGATGAAGAAATAAATAAAGCGATTTAGCTCAACGTCAATTAGATCAACCTCTTTCACTACACCTAATATGTATCATCCGTAGCACTAACGTATTACTGAAACTCACCGCAAAATCTTTATACAAAGCACACAATCGAAAAATTCAAAAAATAAAAATAAATAAACAAGACAAGCATACCTAGCGCAAAACGGCTGCATTTGAAGCTGCATTTACATTTGCATGCCACATTTTAGGCGAAGGACATAGAGGAATTTGCTTTACTTATTGTCAGCTGCTTTACTTATTGCTTATCTTGTTGACTTAGTTTTAAGAAAGATTACTGGAAACAAATGACACAAACAGTTCCTTCTTTTGTTATGCAAAAACTTTATGCAATGTGTTTTAAGAGCGTGGTACTGGCTATCACCTATATTATAAGGTCTTGCTTTCGGTAAGCTTTCCAAGATGACGATGCTTGAGTGATAGAATTGTTCTAAATCTATCTCCTCAAAACTTTGCTTGATGGGAAAGTGCTGTAAGGTGCTCTTGTGGGTCCCATCCACTTTCAATGTCAATCAAAATTATCAAGATATAAGAAATTTTTCTTTTGCAAGAATGCAGCGACACAACTTTATTTGTTTATCAGTAGTATGAATGACCTTTTCTGCTTTGAAATAAAATCAAGTTGTAATGAACAACGCCAATGATGCATATCAATGAGTACATTCAGGGGGAGACTGAGGGAGAAATGCGAAAGAGGAGACTATATGTTCTTTACAGAGGTGTAAATGATAAGAAAGACCTGGATGAAGAAGATGTAGGTTTAAAAGCATGAAAAATCTTGTTGTCAATGTTTCTGTCGCATGATTGAGGTGTTTTCTTTTTTCAGAAGAAGAAATCTGCAGAAAAAGCAGCACCAAAAGTACATTTGCATTTGTAAGTTTGTTTCTTGAAGTATTGTCATTCGCTCCTTCTAGGGAATGGACTCTGAGGATCAAAAGGCTTGTGTGAGCGGTTACGACGAGGGCTATAAAGCTGCTCTTACAGAGGTTATTTCATCACACATTAGATCTTGGTCGTTACCATATACGGGATAATAATTCAACTTTAGAATATGGGAGGCTCCAAGGAATATATGGGAGCATCGAAGGCATTAGAGCACTTACAGAAAACGAAAAACATTGTGGGTTCAAGCTTCTATGCAACCCTTTCTTGAGCAGCTCATACTTTAGACCAGGGCATTCCTCTCGCGATTGCAGCCGCGCAATAGGCAATACTCGGCAATTGTTCATAATCCATCATAGCTCATTATAATCACACAAAATGTTGGGCACTCTGTCAGTTCACAAAAGTTACACACACTATGCTAGTCTATGGGTGTCGAATATAAAGACACTGAATTTTACACTCCAAATCGCCATATCGCTGCGACTGGAATCGTTCATGGCCATTTGAGTTTAGGGTAATAGGGTAATAGGGTTTTAGAGGTCCTGAAAATAATGTCGTGTCACATACCACCGCGGCAGGTTGAACAAACAAAAGTGCATAGGATAACATCTGGTATAGCAAAGCAAGCCTCACAAGATATGGTTCAATCCGCGAAGACTTTTTTCCTTGCGAAGTTCGAAAATAAGCCATAAGATTTGCATACTCAAAAAGTTGCATCTCCGTCCATAAATTTCAACAGACCTCAGTTTGCTCAGGCAATATCTCCACATTAAACATTTATGTGCACAGTTGGCGAAAACTTTATTGATAGAATACGTTAAACAAAAACAGGTCATAATCACAGATACGCGTATTCTAGGTTTCTTGTGACAAATTCTATATCCTTCTGAGAAGCATCTTCAAAAAGCTGAGCACATCTGGTTGTACTTCCAAAGGTTTGTAATATAAAATGAGCTATCCAGGAGAAACTCAGGACTGCTTTGGCAAAAGCATGTCAAAATCTCATTTTCTCGATTACTGAATCGTGGAATCGCAAAACTTTGCCTGAAAGTTTGATGTGGAGATTGTGCGCGTAAAAAAGTTAGAGATTTCAAAATTTTTTGGACGAAGACATGATTTATTACAGGCATTCGAACCCTTTCAAAAATTGGCTTCAAACCTTACGCAAACAAACTTGGTGCAAATGTTTGAGCTTCATCTTGTAGTGCTTGCTTTACTTTATAAAAATTACCCCAGTCACTGTTCTAATGTATACACTGCCGCGATGTTAAATTATAAAAATGGGACATCACTAACGGGACACCCTAATATTTTTAGCCACGCAATTTGATTTAAACACAAATTTATAGCTTCAGTGGAGCAAGTATGAAACAATTGGCGCTATGCTGTTTGCTTCTTCATTATTATCTTTTCGCTTGCAGGGTAAACAACGGGCATTTCAACAGGGATTCACTGAAGGTTACGAAAAAGCAAGAGCTTTGCTAAAATCTACTGAAAGGATGAGTAAGGAAAGTGCAAGGAAAATATCAAAGGAAAAAGCAAAGCCTTCCAAAGAGTCGGTGAAGGCGAAACCGAAAGAGGGTAAAAAAGAGTCTAAGGAAGTATTAAAAGTGAAAGGGCCATCAAAAGAAAGCGCAAAGGTTCCATCGAAAGAGGCACCAAAGGCGCCTTCTAAAGAAAAAGCTAAAGCTCCATCAAAAGAAGAAGATAAGTTGGCATTTGAAGAAAAAGCAAAGCTAATGAAAAAAGAGCCGGTGCCTCCTTCATTGTTTTCTGCAAGAGAACCAGAACCGTTTATGTTGAAGATGGAAAAGCTTTCAGATGGTAGAAATGTAACTGCAGTAACTCCAGGTGGTACAGATGCGTCACTAGGCGATCAGCTAAGAAAGCAGGAATTCCTTCATATAAGCCCTGGCGGAAAGGTAATAGAGTACTCTCTGTTATGTAAAATCTACCGCTTCAATTTTTACGCTATATTCGTTTTTTTCAGCGACAAATCGTTATAATAATGTATCGAGACCAACATCTTCCCGAAAACCTCATCTCAAGGAGTGGTGATGAAGACGATGAAGAAGGCTCGATAGAGCCTAGCTAGATATTCTAGCTTACAAAAGCCACTCAAGTAGACCTTATCATCCTTATCCTTTATTACACGAGATGGTGAAAAATAACTGAATCCGATCACAGTAAAACATTTAAATCAAAGCAGTTTACTATCTGTTACACATTATGGCGTTATAAGCAGTTCGAGCACATGCAAGCTTTCCGCATTCCAAACCTAAACTTTTGAATCGTGCTCAAAATTTTGAGTCTTGTAATAACATATTTCAAATGCAATTACTTCAAGTCATAAAAATCGATATCTAAAAGCAATTATTATATCTACAGGAAAAATCTTATAGAACCCGAACCTTGAGGGAAATTTTGAGATTATTGACAAGAACGAACAGAAAAAAGCGACAAGTATTATCTGACTCTGTACAGTATAGTTTAGTCTGAATGAAGATGAATATCTCAACCGCAAGTGTACCAAGTGCGCTGCCGTTTGTACATCAACTTAGAGAAAATACTGAAACCGCTTTCCAAGCGCGATCCCTCGTGTCTATCGCCTGCACGCTGTTGACCAGCATCTTCTCACAAGGAGAGGACACTTAGTCGAAAGCACCAATCCAGATGAGACACATATCATCTTAAAGCGCTTAAAACGCTGATTCCAAATCTGTAGTACATAGCAGCAGAGTGGTTTTGTAGAAGGAGTTATGAGGGGTGTTTCCCTTTGGGGTTGAGGCGCCCTCCAGCAGGTCTCCCTTACCCTACTGGTACCAACTGGTAGCAACTCGCTAGTGGTAAATAATTTGAATGAAGATTACATTAAGGATTATAATACTCGTATTACTTTGATTTTTTAACATTTCCAATTTCAATAGCATCAATATCATCCAAAATTTCAGGCTTTAGGGCTCTAGAGCCATTTAAAAGCTCAAGAATTGAGATAAAGTTGCATGCGAAGGGAATTAAAAACTTGATACTCTCTTTATCAAGCAAGGCACTTACCACTAGGCCACTTGCCACCAGTTGGTACTCCTCTACAGTGCTCATTGAGAAGGGGAGACCTGCTGGAAAACGCCTCAGTTCCAGAAGAAACACCCCTCATAACTCCTACAAAACCGCTCCGCTGCTAAAAATAGATTTGGAATTAGCGTTTTAAGCGCTTTAAGATGATATGTGTCTCATCTGGATTGGTGCTTTCGACTAAGTATCCTCTCCTTTTCAGTAAAAAAGATCAAATAATCACCATCATTTTTAGTGGTTCAATTACGATTTCGAAAAAGCTTCCAAAATCAAAGTTCAGTAACTGATGCTCACTAGGGGAAAACCCAAAATCGAAATCGCCTTTGCGTATGGAATGTGCACCAATCTAAAGAGCATCAAACATACAAAACCGCCTTCGTTTTTTGCCAAGCGCCTCTATACACTGACCAGGGAAACGGACCTCCACGTTTGGTCGGAGTGGCCTTTTTATATGGAATTAATACGATCTCAAAGAGCATCGAACGCTGATTCCAAATCTGCCTTCGACATCTGCCGAGCGCCTCTAAACGCCGAGTTGTGAGCGTTTTTTGGGTTAAAAATATTGACTTAATTAAAACAAAATTCGTCAGAATTGCTCAAATTATCCAATGTTGATTACCAGAGCACTCCGTTTGAAGAATACCTTCTGTGCAAAACACTCATATTACATGCTGCTCTATCTAAGCGCTGAAAAGTCCGTCACAGTCAATTTTATTTAAATTTTATGTTCATTTTTCTCTCCCAAAAACATTCGTAACTCAACATGCAGAGATGCTCGGCAGATAATGATATCAGATTCGAAATCAGCGTTTAACGCTCTTCAAAATGATGTAACTCTTTTGGAAAGGCCACTTCGACCAATCGGACCTCCCTCTGAGGTATGAGTGTTTTTTTGGAGCGGAAAATAATATCAAAATCTAGGTAAAATTAATGGTATGGTCTTTCCAGCGTCAAAATAAGAAAGTGTAAGTTAAGTACGACCACATTGATCAAATGGTTTCATGCATAAAATCCTTTGTTGTCCGAAGCTTGGCCATTTGCGCAATCTTGAACAAATATGTTCTAGTTGCGCGTTCAATTGAGAAGAAAAATGCTCATAACTCGGCGTCTAAAGGCGTTTGGCAGATAACAAAGGCGGTTTTCGGATCAGCGTTTGATGCTCTTCAGACTGTTTTTTATTTGGAAAGCCGCCTTCGAGTTCGGGTCCTCCCCTCGTCAGATCAAGGCCAAATTCCGCAAAGACTTTCGAGGTTGCTTCAATAAACGGTGATATTCAGCTTCACACCAATGTCACTTGAATGAACAATCGAATATTGCCTTCGGATTTTCTGCGTTTGAAGTTCTTTCTGGCTGGCGCATAACAGAGAAAAAGATTTTTTGCCATGTTCACATAAGTTGGAACAGTTACTTTGTATCCCTTTCAGTTAAAACACACTCCTAAGCGTTGGTTTTCTGTGAGATAAACGAATGCATCTCATGCGGAGTTTCCAGCGATGAGGTACTTGATAGTTCATATCCAACTGCTACGTTGCTCTTGCAGCTGAAGGATAAATAATTTGGCTTCGGCTACAGTACTTGTCCAATAATTACTTGAAAACAAATCAGAGTAAGCTTCATTCTACTTCCCCAATCAATATAGCTTCTGAGCACTAATAAGATACTGTTCCATACTTCCATAATAGTGTTTATCGCTACCATGGCTTCTCCAAAAAGTAAAGTGCGGTTCATAATTATACGAACACCCAAAATTTTGTAAGTTTTTGGACTTTTTGAGAGAATCTCAAAAAGCCGTTGGTACCACGCGATAGAACACAGCCGAAAACGGTATATGATCCATAAGAATGGAAATCCATGTCAATTGTAGGAGTGTTTTTGCGCTTTATGCGAATTTTTAGCGGTTCATAATTATACGAACACCTCAAACAAAGGTCCATTTTCCATTCAAGATTGCAATCATTTGAGTCCAAATTTTTTGTAGAGTTACAGTTACAAAGTCTGACATATCTGCTGCACACTGAACCCAGTGCAGTTCAAAAAGATGACCGTTACTTTTTTCAGAAGGCTCTAAATGTTTTTGGAATGATTGCGCCCCAAAAACATACGTTCTTCCGTGGTTTACGCGCTCTAATCGGCTTCTAACAAAGCTATGAGATAAAATAAGCTCTTTCGATAGGTATTTTGTTTGACGCTTGGAAAATCTTTGCGTTTTCGTGCCGTTTTTCAACCAAGTTCCAACCTTACTTTAGAGTTAGCACGATTTCGAGCCTCAAAACTCAGCTTCTGAAGCCGTACAATGAAGTAAGCATATAGTATGTAGAAGTTCACAAGACTGAATATTTGGCTAGAAAAATCAGCAGCGTTGAGCGTTCGTTTTGGCCACGCAGACGTCATTTCACCAAAAACACTGTTTTTACTATTGCAATCACACCTTTGATTTTTTACTATTGCAATCACACCTTTATTTGATTTGTAACTCCACAGCCTTAAGATCAGTTCTACAAAAAACCCAAAAACTTTGACACAGAAGCATCATCATGCAAACAATGCAGCTGCTTCATATCAAATATTTGCGCAAGAAAGAAGCTGAGTTTTGAGGCTCGAAATCGTGCTAACTCTGTGGTAAGGTTGGAACTTGGTTGAAAAACGGCACGAAAACGCAAAGATTTTCCAAGCGTCAAACGAAATACCTATCGAAAAAGCTTATTCTATCTCAGAGCTTTGGTAGAAGCTAATTAGAGCGCGTAATCCACACAAAAAAACGAATGTTTTTAGAGCGCAACCACTCCAAAAGCATTTAGAGCCTTCTGAAAAAAGTAACGGTCCTCTTTTTGAACTGCACTGGGTTCAGTGTGTAGCAGATATGTCAGACTTTGTTACTGTTACTCTACAAAAAATCTGGACTCAAACGATTGCAATCTTGAATGAAAAATGGACCTTTGTTTGAGGTGTTCGTATAATTATGAACCGCTAAAAATTCGCACTAGGCGCAAAAACACTCCTAAGATTGACATCCATTTCCATTCTTAAGGATCATATACCGTTTTCGGCTGTGCTCTTTCGCGTGGTAGCAACGGCTTTTTGAGATTCTCCCAAAAAGTCCAAAAACTTACAAAATTTTGGGTGTTCGTATAATTATGGACCGCACTTTAGTTGGTTTATCAGCTGTGTACTGAAAGAGAACTTCACGAAGAAGCTTTTCATTTTTGCATTAGGTCTTGTGGCTTGACCAGTCGCTTTCGCTAGTGCTAAAGCTGTTAATACGAGTATTTCTAACCAGATCGTTGCTGGGATTCCGCTTTGATTGTCTCACCGTTTCTTGACTGCTTTGCCATCCTCTTTTCACTAGCTTTTTATGTAAAAGAAAGCGCAGCCACTAACTTGCAAGATAGCGGAAGAAAAAAAGGACCGATTATTCAGTCGAAGCGGAACACCAGTGAGAAAGTTGCAGAAGCGAAAATAGAAAGCGTGAATATTAGGTTATGGAATAAGCCCTGTCCCATTTTTTGCTTCAGTTTTTTTCTCAGCAGCATTGACTTCATTCAAATTAGACTATATATGAATTTGAAAGCTCTAAGTTTGCTGTGCAGATACATACACGTCATCCCTGACTAAGCAGAAATTGAGAAAATTTTGACATCGAGACAGAAAATTAGAAGAGGTAAAAAATCCATTATCGACATCTTTTTTCTCCCTAAATTTCCCCGTTTTTCATCAGTAAAATTTATTCGACAGGCTTGACAACAAACGAAACAACCTATTGGACTCTTATGTTTGTGATGTCACTGTTTGTATCATTAATTCGTTAACCGCACAGGCTGCTCAAACGCTCATGCCGCGCGACGCGGCTAAATCGTCGCGAGAGCACGATTTATACAATGGCAAGCGTTTTACCTCGCGGCGTGTGCTCCGTAGTGATGACGAGTCCGTGCGGTCAACGAATGAGCTATACTTGTTTCCTTTCTTCCACCGACTTCTCAGGTGATTTTTTAAAAGTCGGCGACTGTTCGTCGCCTCACGTACCTAAACTGTGTGGTCCCCAAACTTTGCAATTTTGAGTTATTAATGTATGAATTTGACGGTTTTGTAGCCATAAACCCTCCAATCTGTCTTCTCTGGGTTATGCGTCTATCGTCCTCATCGTCGAGGAAACATCAAAAAGAAGACTTTTCTGACTCGTAAATGAAGCACTGCAGAAGCTTTAGCATTTGTTTCTTAGGTCTCCGACAGAAAGGAGCGATTTGATCGTCGCGATTCTAGAGCGTAGGTGCGATAGGGGGAGCAGGGTCCCGTCCAGGTGAAGGGGGTTTTGGCTATTTCTGACCTAGAAAAGTGAAGGGAATAAATGGGCCTTGAGGTGAATGCTGACGCAAGCTTACATGTCTAGCGGAGCGGGAGTGAAAAGAAGGAAAATAAGTGATACAGAGGTGTAATATAAGGATTTCCTCAATACTTAGGCTTTGAAAGGTCATTCAACATTGACTCAAAAGCTTTATGTTTCACCAGTCGACAAACCATTCGAAATCTTGAAGCATACAGAATCGACGTAGACCGTCTCTTTCTTTCCAGCTCTCCTGTGAATTCAGATATAAAAAACCATATCTATCAGCATTAGCTGATTTTATGCAATTACTTGTCGCTCCAATTTTGAAGGAAAGAGGAAAACTAGGAAAAAAGAGACGGTCTAAGTTTACTGGCAAAGTCTTGCTATGTAATAGGGTTAGATAACTGGGCATTTTCAATCACTCTTTGCATAAAAATTCCCTCACATAAACACACATGTTTTTAGCTAAAATGCCTTTGAGTAGAGGGGAAAAAAAGAGACGGTCTACGTCGAGTCCGTTTTCGTGAACTTTCTAACGATTTATAGGTTGTTGTGTAAAAGAAACTTGTGCCTTTTTAAAAATGAGGTGAAGATATTCACTTCTAATTTGCTCCACCCCGCTCCGGCTTTCTATGGGTCGCCGGAGCAAGACTTTTTTTGGACTGAGAAAGCTTTGTGCGCCAACAATCTGTATACCATTCGATAGCTAAAAACACGAGGAATCGACGTAAACCGTCGCCTCTCTTTTCCTAGTCTTTCTGTGAATTGAGATAGCAGCCAATTCTGGGTAATTATCTTTTCAAGCCAAGAAGGTCTTTTTCAAACTTTTTATATATGATTCGAAAGTTGAGAAACGAGAATCTAACTGCTCTTTCGATTGTTGCTATTCTCTCTAGTAAAAGGAGATATGGTACGATTCTTGTCTTTAAACATGCATCCATCACCAGCTAGTCCAGATTTTCTACTCTTGCTCAACTCTTTCTTGCGAACGTGTATATTCATTGATACAATGTTATTCATCCAAAGAATGAGACATGCTTTTGATTTTTGATTATGCTTCGTTATCAGTTCCACTTTGAGTGCGCAGAATCTCCCAAGCATGCATTTTCAGCAAACGCTGTTGCCTCGATACTCTCTTGCGTCTTGATGTCTAAACAGAAGAGCGGCTAGCGTTCCCTTTTCAAACGAAAAGTGCCGTTGTAGCAGCTGTTTGACTCTGCCGTTATGACTTGATTATAGTCTCAAGCTCAGGTGAAAAGGTCAGCCAGATGCCGGCCCTAAAGTGAAGAGGATCTGAGAAATTTCTCCATCTATCGCATCTATGCGATAGAGCCTCCGTAACACCAAACTGCATAATGTGCAAAACGGCTGGAAGATCACATGTCCAAAGGGGTTATCTGCCTTATGACATGTAAATCATGAGGGCATGATGTTTAGGCCATTCCTCTTTCAAGGAAGCAGATTAATCAACTGCGGATATCGACCAATACGCTAATCACCTTCAAAACGTGCGCAAATTGGTTTCTGTGCATAGCACCTTCTCATACTGCATCTACTCTGCTGTGGCGAGCAATTACCTATACAGAATACCATTCTCCACTTGCAACTTCCGAAAAGTTGCGGCAGACGAGCACTCCTATAAAAAGTGTTAAATTACTGGAAGGCGGCAAGGCAGGACTGCACGTTTGTCATTGTTGAACTCTGCAACATTACTTTGTTGTCTATTCTAATCAACATGATTTCGCGGGCAACGTTTGGACAACATAAATAAGTCTTTCTTTTAGAAAAGGCTCATTTTCCATCTCAAGCCAGCAGTAGACGGTTGTTAAAATTTCATGTGAGTGGTGAAACTTCTTCTACACCAGATGTTGTAGCTTCAATTCGTTGCTGTGTCTGAATAGATTATTTGTCTCGCCTATCAAAAACATACTGAATGCTGAAAACTGCTACAACTCTCTACAGAGCTAATGACCCGTAGTAAACCCCTGTTCAGCGCAACTTTGGGGGCGGGCTTACGTCGAACGTAGTACGACTCAGTCGGGCATTCAGTGAGCTATCGATCTGGATACGGATCGCCTCTTGTACATGATAACCATGTGCGTTTTTGAGAAGCCAACCCGATCAAATTTGGTCAAACGGCTAAGTCACTGGGATTTCGAGAGTGCGGCTAACGTTGAGACCTTCCAATGTAGCATTTTTGCTGCAATGCTGGGCAGTCTTTCACAACGACCACCATCGAAAAATCGATGATGGTCATTATTAGAGATATCGCGTAGCAAACGAGGATTAAAAAACAATTCCACAACATTTTTGCATGCAAACCGCAAAAAATCACTATTTTTCAAAACTAGACGGAAGATAAATTTCCATTTTTTGCATTCAGAGCGGTTTTCTAGAAAATCAAGCAAGAATTGCAAGAAAAAACAAAAAAGCCTTTTTTCTAATTCCTCGTCGCGATCAGCTAATTATCGATCTTTTCTCATTAAGATTCCAAAATTTTGCGCGCGTTCTTGCCCCGCAATAATACTTTAACTAACTTGTCCCGTGAGTTACTCACGAGCAACTTACGAGAAATTTGTTTAATTCTCCTCTTTTGCACACTATCTCTCTCGGTTCAACCTAAAATTCAAACTCGGACAAGAAGCATTCTGTTAAACTGAGTGTGACATTTGACCAGAAAGTATTCTGATTGTTCAACTGACTATCTTAAATCACGGGAAGATGTTCGGGATTAGGTTCACCCTAGGAAGTTCTTTGAATAATTCAACTCAGGTCATCTGACAAGGAAAGCTACCTAACTTAGCTCGGCTTTCTGACCAGGAACACCTATAGTCTGGATCAGCTTCAAACGCTGATTCCAAATATGCTATTCCGGTATTCCTAGCTGCCACGCACCATTCCAAAGCGAGTAATGGGCTTTTTTCTGCGCAAAATTGGCATACTCATCGACTCACGGACATCACGTCATCATCATTTAAGGTGCTAATACACCTACGTTAAGCTTTTTTCAGTGAGAAAATATTGGATTTGTACTACTTCGATACCTCAGCACCTTTTTCTCGCAGATTTTTGTCTACAGGCAGTCTTCTCATGTTCGGTAGTATGCCAATTTTGCGTAAGGAAAAGCCCATAACTTGCTTCGGAGTGGTGTGTGGCAGCTAGGGAATAGCATATTTGGAACCAGCGTTTGAAGCTGATTCAGAATATTGCCTTTTACCAAAAGGCCGAGCTAAGTTAGGTAACTTTCCTTATGAGATGAATGGGGATTTACTACGGGTCAATGTCAAGTGGATAAACATCTACTCCAATAGCATTTACGCCTCTTATCAATCCACAATCCTTCCACGTTGTAGTAGTAGTGCGAAGAAGCCAAAAGTGTTGTAGCAAACATAGTAAGTGTCCTGCAGTAATATTATGGTTACACCGTCGCAGACAACCCGCCGCAAGAACTCAAGTTTATGTTCGTTCGTTTTGTTCAAGTTTATACACTTGAAAATAACCGCATCAGGCAAAGTTCATGTAATAGTCCGATTGGTTGTGGCGGGCACTCAGCCCAATCAGAAATTCAATGCGTGGCTTACAAACTCATTGATATTTGTAATTTTGACACTGCTTGATATGCAAGTATCACGCTGCTGTGCCAAAATGAAACCAGATTATTTTATAGAAGGCATTTTTCAGGCCAGGGCATGATGAGAAGAACTACAGGATTGTTGACAATTAGCCTTTCGCAGTTTATTGTGCTGGTTCACGCAGGTATAGTACTAAAAAGTCAAACTAAACTTGAATAGTGTCACGAGAACTTTGTCGAATATGAAGCAGTGGCTATATTCATAACGAACACAGTGAGTAGCTGTCCAAAAGTGGATTTCGTTGTTGAATACGGCTACGGGCTGCAAATTTCCTATCTGTCCTAAATGTTTGGAAGTACACTATTTGGCGGATTTCCTACTTTAATCGCTCGACTTCTATGATTTCCGCAAAGAGTTCGAAATTAAATTTTTTTGGTCTTAAGGTGAAAGTGATCAAAGAACGTAAATTGATTGCAGATTGCATGACGCACTCGCACACAGTCTCCTCGGTAGAAAAGCCAAAAATGCGTGCGGTTAGTGGCCTCAGTAGCTCAAAAAATTTACAAAAGCAGTAATAAAGATTGCTCTACTCTTTGAAATGCAAAAGCTCGGATACGCTTCAAAGCCACCAGTAACGTAGGTCTTTGGAGCTGACAGCGTTAAGGTTCTAAAGAAACCAGTGGACCATAGCAGACAGAATATATACAATCATGGCAGTGGCGTACCGGGAGGAGGGGAGGTCGCAAAATTTTTGAAAGTCAATTACATGCATTATAAAGACGTGCAGGTGACTTGTTTTTACTCGCAAGTTTTAACTTATATTTTTTTCGGGTTTATGGGCCAAAATTATCGGACTGCATTCAAAAAAAATTTTGTCAGCTCCCCTCCCTCCCCCCCCCCCCCACCAACTCTAGAGCAAAAATTATAGTGGTAGTATTCGAGCAATCGTTATTTAAATTCCCCACAAAAATTGTTGCTATTCAAGTGAAATAACTGTACATGTAGTTTCATACTTTATACATTTGCCAGACGTCGGAACATTCGAAAAGCTGTGCTTGCGACCTTTCCAGTTCGGATCTGGTAGGCAAACGGTTAGTTTCTCAACTATAGTAATGAAACAAATTACCTGCAATTAATGCTTTTTTTTCTTTGTCAGACGAAGTGTAGCTAACTAGAAAGCAAAGAATATGTAACGAAAATTGTCTCACGTACTTACTCGACAGTCGAAGGGCACCTCCGGCGGGCAAATGGGTCTGCCATTTCGCGCTCTAAAGCGCTCCGGAGCCCTGCCATTTCACCCATTTTGGTGCTCCGGGGCTCTGCCAAATCTGGCGCACCTCCAGAGCAAAGATTTTTCCCGGGCTCGCAAATCTCTGCTCCGGAGGTGCGCCAGATTTGGAGGAGCCCTCAGAGCACCAAAATGTGTGAGATGGGAGGGTTCTGGATAGCTACGGATCGCGAAGTGACAGACTCGCGCCATTCGCTCGTCAGAGGTATCCCTTCGACTGTCTAAGTACATCATTGTTTGTGTGCGATCTTGGGTCGTTTCTAACCTTACAAGAGGTGCTGTGCAAGAATGCTGATTCTTGACCAGCTGTCCTATAATCTCCATCAGTTTATTCATCACTTTTCGTTCTTTATTTCCCACTCGCAAGCTTTTTTCTGAACAAGCGCTTTAGCAGGTCATACATATGTGATGCTTTTGCTTTTTTTTGTCTCAAACGCGTTACGTGGATGGGTAAAAATTTTATACTTGTCCTTTTAATATGGTATGTCTGTTTTGCAGAATCCAAGTTCGTTGGAAGCTAATTTGAGACCCTAGATTGGATACTTTCAGATAATGTGACTTTTTTGTTGCATCGGCTAAGTCTCTTCTATCTTAGTAATTGAATCTATCACATTTCAGTCGATTGTGTTGTGAATCATGGGCTCTCCCCCCTCCCCCAAACATGTAGAAAGTGAAATTCTCACTTTGTATAGCAGTGCCCTAAGTGGTATCATTCTACACCGAGTCATCTTGAACTAAAATGAACTTCACTGTTTGAAATAAATGTTTTGCATATCACATGGCATGAAATAACGTGAATCTTTTTTCACTGTTTCGTTACAGACCAGCTTTACACACTGACAAAATCGATTATCATAGGTCATGGTCATTTTTCTAAGTCCCTCACAATATCAATTTTTTGTTACTTATAACCATGAATTAAAAACATTGCAAAACATCCAATTTCACAGAAGTATAGTTCTCAAGCCCTCTTTTTGTATCCTCTGGCTCTCAAAAATGAAACATATACAGGCCTCGTAAAATCCAATTGTCCACGCGTCGCTTTGAACACCAACGCGCGACGCGGCTGGAAACGTTTGGTCCCGAAGCGCTACAGGCTTTTTGCGAGCGACAACTCAGATAATCGCCGGGGGCAGGCGGCCATGCGAATTTTGAGCAAGCGCGCACCGGAAAAATAGTTCGTTGATTTTTTGCGGCCCGCTTGCGGAAATTTGGAAGAAAGTTGGCGAAATCAAAGACGAATGCTTGAAGAACAATCGCGGTTTCTTTATGGATTAGCTGCGGCGCAGTGGCCGCATTCTCGCGGACTTTCCGAGAAAATATGCAAAAATTTCGAGGGCCGCACGGTCCTTTGTGGAGGACCGCGCAACCCTCAGGTACTTTCCGCTGAGAGAAAGTACCTCAAACTTGAGTAATTAAACCAACGCTGAAACCTCTGCCACACAGAGTCTTACCGGCGCTCGACGTACGCCCGAAAATGCCTTAAAAGAGTTCGAGCGCTTGCTGAAAGTTTGGTCAGCGCTCACTGAAAGAAATTATTTGCCGAGCGCTTGCAAAAAATGCTGTATTGCTGCCCTCTGGCAGAATATGCGACCGTAAAGGAAGTGCCGCCCGCTGAAGGTTTTGCCACGCCCCAAAATTCTGCTGACCGCCTGCAGAAAAGCGCGAGTTTGCGGACCGCCTGCCCCCGGCGATTATCTGAGAATGAGCGCGCACCATTTCCGCACATATTTTTTTAAACTTTTGAAGGGAGCTTTCGCTAAGATATAACTTGCATTGACGAGAACAACATGAAAGTCAATGAAAGTTTTCTTGGAATATAGTGACGCCGACAGTCGTTCTCGACGACCGCCGCTTACAGTCGATGTTAATGACAAGCTCACAAGTCCGTAATTATTACGCGTACGCATCGGCCCTGCGATACGACCTGGGCGTTTTGCCAACCCTCGATCGACGACTTCTGTGGGAGCGCGGGCTTTTGCATTTTTTAAACCTTTTTAGATATTTTCGTGCTGTTTTTTCCTTTTTCTCTGTCTACACGTACTTGATTGGTTTTCCCCTTATCTCACAATTGATTTGTAAACGATATGAACCAGTTTTGTGTCATTTTTGCTATCCGCTCATTTAATTCAGGATAATGTGAATAATGGTGAAAAGGGAGTAAAGTTGACACTGCTTTGGAGAGGCGTCATGGATTTTCATGTCAATGGCCGTCTTCCGTAGACTTTGGATTTGGCTTTATACTTAGTATAGGATAAAGTACTAAAAATCAGATACATACAATGTAGTGAGTAAAAAAACAATAATACAATTTGAACATTTCATTTCCAACACTAGTAATGCGTGAAAGGCGAGAAAAGAACAAATAAGGATGTGAAACATTCAAGAATGCGAATCAGGCGTCATATGGGCGCCATTGATCGAGAGTTGGCAAAATGCCCTGCCATACGCCCGCGAACGTGGCGCACGGGACTTGCGGCGCATGCATGCAAATCGAGGACTGCAGAAAAGGGAGTAGATTTTTGACATCGACTGTACGCTATACTTGGGTAATTCGAAAATTTTTCATAGAATGAATGAATATCGAATAAATTCGAAAACGAAAAATCTCGAATAAACGAATATCGAATAAATTTGAGGTTTAAAAATTCTCGAATGAATGAATTTCGAATAAATTCGGAAAATCAAAAATATCGAATGAATGAATATCGAATATATTCGAACATTGGAAGTCAAATTTCGAATAAATATTCGAATGATTCATGGAATAACTAGAGCAACCGTATTTCAAACTTGCCGATATATCTGGCTAAAGCCGATCCATTCATAATCAGCACCCTTGTATCCCCTATACCAACTCCTAGCTCAAAATTTTCCAAAAATCGCTGAAATCGATAAAATAGACTTCGGTTTTAATCAGCATCCTCATTTACTCCCCTATACCAACTCCCAACCTCGTAGCTCGAGATTTTCCAAAAATCGACAAAATCGATAAAGTAAATCTTTATTCATAATCAGTGCCCTCACTTAACCCCCTGTACCAACTCCCAGCCCCGCAGCTCAAACTTCTCCAAAATTCGATGAAGTTGGTCGGTTGGCAACTAGTTCTACAGGGTGTCCGTAAAGTATGTATACACTGTTTGATCGTTAATATCTCCTTTCCCAAGAAGTCTTTTGCCTTGCTTCAGGTACCACTTTGTAGAGCTGGCTTCAACTTAGACTTGCGGTATAGAACGAATCACCCATCTCTCTTCATTACTGTAGGATTACGGTAGAAACTTGAAACATATGGTGCCAATGTGGAAAAAAGCTGCCGTTACAAAATTTTTCAAAAAATGTGGAAACTTGTGTAATAGAGTTTTTATAGACGCTGAGTTCAATACTCAACTATTTACAAGATTGCGAAGCTTTCCAAACGGTGTAACCGCACTTTTTAGGAACATTGAAAAAATGGCCGCTACCTCTTACCTGGCATAACTCTTCAATGAAGCGTCATAATAAGTTGGGAACTTTACAGTTAGAATCAGCAACTCTAATTAGCCTAGTGTAAAAGTTTTCAGGCTGTTTTGTTTCCTTTCTGAGGCAAAATATGGCCATTCATGGCTCAAAACCCCCTTTGAAGTTTCCACCGTAATCCTACAGTAATGAAGAAAGATGGGTGATTCGTTCTATACTGCAAATCTAAGTTGAAGCCAGCTCTACAAAATGTTTCCTGAACCAAGGCAAGAGACTTCTTGGGAAAAGAGATATTTACGACCAAACAGTGTATACATACTTTACGGACACCCTGTATACATCAGCAAGAAGTATTTTACCCATTATTGGACGATCTAAAAAAGCAGTCGATATAAATTTTGATCAAAACTTATTCTAGAAGTACAGAATGCAGGGCATTTATCTTTTTAGTAAGTTGTACACGCTAAACATTTGTGGTAAGCTGGCGTTATATTTGAAGGCATCTCACTGGCAAATGAGTACGGCAGTCTAAACCGTCTGATCCTCCACTAAAACTGCGATGTCCTTTACTCAAAATACACCAATTCGCAAAAAATTTCTGAGGTAGCGAATTAAGGCAGTTGTGCAATATAACTTATGCGAGCAAGAGTGCTCACTAGTGTGGACTTTGCGTACCACAAGCATGAGCAATGCAAAGAAAGAAAAACAGGCATTTCAAAACACTTTCAATAAATGAACTCGGAACATGAGCTTGAATTTGATAGCTTCTTTGATCAACTAAAATCCACATATGATTTTTTTACTGTCGCAAGCAGTCGAAAGAATGCGACTCTCCGTACAGTTCAGAGGTCATAACAGTTGCAAAAGATGCATCACCTAGTTTTGCGAAAAAAAAATTGCGGACGAAGTGAGCTTGACAATACTCAGCAGATGGCTCTGCAACAAAGTCGAATAATCTGAATAGGGGGTTCATTCGAATACGAATTTGAATAAACATTCGAATAAAACATTCGAATAAAATCTATTCGGAACCCCGTTTTTTGATTATTCGAGTTTTCGAATAATATTCGAATCCTCGTTTTTTGATTATTCGAGTTTTCGAATTTTATTCGAAACCGTGTTTTTTGATTATTCGAGTTTCGAATTTTATTCGAAAACCCGTTTCTTCAATTATTCGAGTTTCGAATATTATTCGAAAATGGAAGAACTCCGAATATCGAATTTCGAATACGAATATATTCGAATGTTTTATTCGAATGATCGAATTTCTATTCGATTCGGACCCAAGTATACAATACCACCCGTAATTTGCGAAAAAAAATGGCGGCGGCACTTAACTTACGCGGCGCCGCCATTTTTTTTTCACAAATTACGGGTAGTATTGTACTGTACGCTGGTGTTCAAGGCACGGCGCGGGCAATTAGGTTTCACGGCGCGTAAAAGCTGCAAAATATCCGTCCGCTCAAAGTCGAGAGATTATCATAAATCACAATCTTCTGATAGTGTTCACTTTAGGGAATACACTGTGAAGTGAAGTATCAGATGTTAACAACGAAAAAGAAACAAGCTCTCGACTTATGCCTGGCGTCGTCTCCATTCGATGTTTTGAATTATACAAAAGGCTATCCCACCAAATGCACCTACGGTTTGTTGCTTATGAAGAGTCCTTGTGATAGAGCTTCGTGTTTACACCAAGCGCGACACTTAGCTACATCTACTAATGAAACGTTGCTAAGAAGTTTCGGGCTAAACACAAAATCAAATCGCTCGAAATCTAACAGAATGCAGCTTGGAATTTACTTTGACTAGTGGGTACAGTTCTCACTTGCAAAACATATTTACTTTTTCAAAATTGCTTTCACTCAAAGACGAACTAGAAGCGCGAGTTGTGCTAGTCACTGCTCAACAGAAAGGTCTGTGTTGAGACTTCAAAAACTGCTGAATAATGAAAAAAAAGATTTCATGGTCGTTTCAATACCGGGAGTTATAATCGTTAAATTTAATGACCTTTTCCTTACGTTGTAGTGAATGCAATTCATAGCAACTTCGATTGAAACTTTTCACTTTTTTGCTGCATCTCTCTGATGGTTTTTAACCATCAGAGAGATGCAGCGTTAAGTGTATGCATAACGAATGCAAGAAAAGAGACTAATTGGTGAAAATTCAAATATGAAAAGACTTGTGGGAGCCTAATAATGATTCCATGTTAAACCATGCTTTTGCTTTTGGATTTATGTCAATGAATTTTGCGATGTGTCGTACTCCTTGTTTAGCTGTATGTTTTTTTCTTTTCCACTAAAAAAGAAAAACGCGATGATATAAAGAGTGATCAAAAAGCGATTAGTATTTCTTATCGCAACTCCTTTAAATGGCGTAATGCTAGCACAACAACCGACTTTCATTTTACTCAATTCCTTAATATCTGTATTGTTAACGTCAAGTCGCTTATGCAGTTGAAAAGATAGTTCAACATTTAGAAGCTTTAAAAACTGGTACTTGTTATCACTTTGACTCACTTGACATTTGAGGATGGTCATAGTGAAAACAAAGATTAAAATGTTGATGAACGGTGAATGCAAGAACGAACTGAAGCAAGTAAGCAGAGAGAGAAAGTTGAGTTGATAACAGAAACACGTTTTTTGGCAAGAGAGTAGCAGCAAAAGATTCAAACTTGCAAGAAAATCGAGTCCCTATATCATGCGTCTGCACACTTATCACTTGCGCTATACGTCCACTTCTTTTCCAGGTGGAGATATGAATTTATGATGCGCAGGGCCACACGCAGGGTCCGGCACGCGTTGGTTTGGAGGATTTTTAGGAACGAAGTCCCTTATGAATTCGGAAAATTTACGAAGTCCCTTTTGAAGTAAAAGTCGGAAGGGAAATCCTTGTTCAGTCAACATAACAAAACATAACGATAAAAAAGCGAAAAAAAATGAGTTTTGAGGTACCTATTATAACAGAAAGCAAAAAAAGGAGAGCATTCTGAGTCGATTCAATTCCTGAGTATGGTGCCATTTTTATGTTCAAAACGTTGAAAACCTCTTAGGCCAACCAAATCTGTGGCCTCAACAATCCGGCGATGCATGAGCGCGATATCCATCAATGCTTTGGTTTACACTATTTTTGGCTCAAAAAAAATAGAGGAGAAGCAGTAGTTTGATTCGCTCTTTTCGCTATATGATAGATTTTGGAGCGTTCTCTTCGTCCACATTGAAAAGGTCTAAAACTTATGTGAGCTTTCCGAAATTTATGCTCCGAATCAACCTTGTTGGTTTGGTGTTGTTTTAGGAACCAACATATTCGGGAACGGGTATAAGGACACATAAGTTTTCGAAGCTTTTTACATAATATAGTTTGGAGTAATATTGTATAGACATAGCTCAAATGGTGTCAAGTGATTGCTTGTGCGCTGTAAACAAGCCATTTGTTTGTTTGAGCCTTGCGTTTGAAATTCGCGCGCTTGCGAAAGAACACGTTCAACTTGTAAAACCTGACATGTTTGTCGTTTTTTTTTCGGTGCTTCGTCTAGGCCCTTATAAAAACGATATCTCCGTTGCTCTGACCTCAAAAACGAGGTCCATTTTGCCCCGAACCATCTGTGCCGGGCCCTGGCCCCACGGTAGGCTAGAACTGTACAGGGTGCGGCAAAAGTCTGGGAGCCTAACGTTGCAGTATTGCAATTACAAAGGTACTGGTGGTTTTGATTTCAATTTTATGTCAGATGATGCTGCGGTCATCCTCTACAAAATACACTTTATTTGAATGGAAATGGCTGCCATATGTTTTTATAAGAATGGAAATTACCAAACTAGTACTTTTGCAAAGCGAAAAAACCAGAATTTTTAGTATTTACAATTTTTGCTGTAGCTAGAGATGCTGTCAATATTTTACAAAACTTCAATGCACACAACACAGAAGAGGCTTTGCGCTATTGTATCCTGGTCTTGCTTTTCCCAGGAGCTGTTCTTGCATAAAGAAAATAAAAGTTTGCGAATGTTACCTACGTGCCAGTAAAAATCTGTCTTCAGAACAAATTTAAAAGCATAGAATGCTCAACAGGCACTGGGACCAAGGCCGTATTTTTTGTATACGTCTTCTAAATCAGAATCTATTGAAACTCGGCCATGGGAACACTTTTTATACTTTTTAAACGACAATTCTAAGTTTTTATTTGCGCAGTTGTAGCCAAAATTCCGGTATGCGACGTACACATGCTTCTAATTTAAAATCCAATATTTTTATTCCTAAGCAATGCAAAAAATCTTTTGGAAGTATGTTGTAGACAAAAGTTTGCTCTATCATGCTGCGCATTTGCCAAAGTAAAAGAAGCAGTTATTGTGAAGGCGTGGGGCGAAATCCATTACGACTACCTGCGTGCCATGACAGGTGGATTTGCCAAGATTTTGTAGGGTTGCGTGGAAGTCAAAAGAGGCAATTTCGAGATTCAAGAACTAAGCTGTATCAATGGTTCGAATTATGTGTGCGCCAAATTTCTCGTTTCTAGGTGCTTCCCTTCCCATTTTATATGAAAAAGTACTAGGCTCCCAGACTTTTGCCGCACCCTGTAGAAAACCAGCCTTCCATGGAGCGTTCAAGGATACGAGACTTGCTGGGGTTAACCACTTCGAAATTCGACCATTCCCTTGTGAGCACAGCAAAAGCCGAGTTCAAGCTTTTTATAGTAAAGTGATCCTATGGAAACCGTATGGTGAGGTTGCGGCTCGGTTGAAAATAACACCAGGTGTACAGGGTTTTTCTGAGCCTCAAACAGCACATCTATCGAGAAGACTTACTCTATCTTAACGTCTTCGTAATATTAAAAGCCTCTATCTTAACGTCTTCGTAATATTAAAAGCTCGAAACCTTAGTAATACTGGATTTTAATAGAATGGGTTAAGACGCATTTTGGGGAGAAAACAAACTTTTATTTTTTCTAAAACTGTATTAGGTATAAGGCGCGCAATTTTTTCATACTTCAAGGCTGCAGCTCCCCCAAAAGTCCTAACGTTGAAAACTGTAGCGCTTGGAAAAAGAATCTTGCTTTGGGTATTTGTAAAATAATGAGCCGTCAAGATTGGATTCGATGTCGAACGCCTTTTCAAGATGAACAGCAAAATTTGCTCTTGTTGCGTTTTCTTAGCCCTCATTTCCGCTGAATAGTCAAATCTCATGATAAAAAATGGTATGACAGTAAATCGCATTTGGCATTGCCTCTGAAAAAAAATCAGCATACATGCAAGAACTTGGAAAACTAGCAGATTTACTTCTAGACTTGCTTATAAATTAGTAGCTTGCCTATGAAACTTTGAGTTTTTGTTATTTGAAATTTATGCTACCTATCAATTGTTCGCACTTCTGCTACCATAATAAACTCAGTTTTTATGATGTTCTTCGAGTAGTTGCTGATATGCCATGTCTTGTAAAATCAGTGCTGTAGATATCGCTTTTGCCAATGTAAAGACAAGTCATGTTAATGACAACTTTTATGCAAAATACATTATTTTAGTGAGAACGAATAAATGCAATGATGATGAGTATTCGCTGTTGGACCAGTGCCTCAAAATTAAGAACAGAGCAAGTTTTTCTGAAGACGCTTGTGGAGAAGATTACCAGCTCTACACAATAGAAAGTCGTTTGGAACACAAATGGATAACCGGTAAGCAGCATTGATGCAGCGATTGGTGTTTATGGTAGAATATGATTGTATGAGTGAAATAAAATATCCCCCCTCTTATTAGCCAAGAAACTCAGGAAGTTGACTGGGGGAGTTGGTCTAACAGAGGGATACTTCCGGAGCGCAAATGGCGGGGGTCTGCCACTTCGTGCTCCGGAGCCTTGCCCTTTTACCCATTTTGGTGCTCCGGGCTCCTTCAAATCTGACGCACCCGGAGCAGAGATTTGCGAGCCCCGGGGAGGGGTCCCATTTTCTGTGACGTCACAAGAAGGCGAATGGGACCCCTCCCCGAGGCTCGCAAAGCTCTGCTCCGGAGTTGCGCCAGGGAGCCCTGGCGCACCAAAATGGGTGAAATGGCAGGGCTCCGGAGCACGAGTGGCAAACCCCCGCTAAGCATAGTCCGGGGCCCTCCCATTTTCGCTCCGGAGGTGTCCGTTCGACTGTCCGAGAACTACATGTAGCTCCCACGTTCACCTTTTTTTAACGTGCGTACCACTTTCGAGATTTCCAATCAAAAAAAAGAGCAAGACTATGAGATTCTGAATTTTTAAAGACAATTATCATATATTTAATCTTCGTTCTACTCTTATTCATCTCAGAACTACAGCTATAAACTTACAGTCATGCTATGATGTATAGTAAATTAGCTGCCGCGCCGTATTCTCTCGAAATCGTCGTTAAAACATTCACGACAAGGCCGATTTTCCGATTACTGCCGTTTCGGATCAGAGGCTTTTCGCTTTGTCAAACTTACGACCCACCCGTGGGTCGTTTTGTCCGAAATGGTAGTCTTTTTGAAAGAAATTCAAAACATGTCTCTGAGAATATCCCCACAAAGGTTATCGAAGGCGCTGATTACCAAAATAAGATTTATTTCAGTTTTTGGCAGTATACGGTGTTACGGCAGTCATTCTGTACGAATCCAACATCACGGATTCTCGTGAAAAATTGTCTTTTGGGGTTATTTCACATGCTGATCACGATTATAGTGTCCACTTTGTTCACCACTTTCCCATAGTGGGACTACGGTAGCAGTACGGTAGAATTTTCGTAAGAATCAAGAACCTCATGTAAGAAGGCGGTATCAAAATTTGAGACTTTCATTTTCGCAATCAGCATGCTAAAAAACCTATATATGCAAAGTTTGAGCATACTGGGATAAACAATGCGAAAAATCAATAAAATCAATAAAATCGACAATTTTTCATGGGCTGACATTAGTCTCGTGCTCTCCCTGTATTCCTCGTGTATATAAACTTGAATCGTCAAAAACAGCATTACTCTGAGAGGAATTTGAGCTAAAGTCTGTGCCTTACCTTTACCTACAGTATACCTACCGTAACATTACATTACAGAATCCCGAACTCGGACCACCCCGGCTAGAGCTTCGCCAAGGTGTCCCCAATCACGTGCCAGAACCCCGTAGAATTCCATCGCATACTGGCAAAGTTAGAGCCTCAGGAATCTTACGACCCACCGGTGGGTCGTATTGTGCTTAACTTGGTTAAGCAAACAACGGGAAAGTGGCTTGTCCGAACGAGTCACATACTGCACACGAGACGCATTTGAAGTAAAAGATGGCGCCTTCCCACCACCAAATCGCACAGCGCAACCAACGCAGTATCCATTGTGCGGTGATTACCAAAATGCAAGTGCGCAGTATGGCAAAAACCTCGAACAACACCTTTCTTCGGCCCCGGCGTGTTAAGCAGTCGCGAATTCATTACGGAGTAAAGCTAATGACGGCATATTTAGATAAATCTATAGTGTTTATTTTGGTATACTAATACTGAGTCAGAAAAGTTCTACATGTATTTGCAAGATTGTTTTTTCTTTTCTTAGGTTACTGTAATATATCTGACTCTCGTAATCTATAATATATATGAGCGCGTGAAGGCTGGTAGGTCTTGGGTATACCTTGTTCACGGAACTCGCAGTCTGGATGTTTTGCCTCTATATTACAAAGCTTGATTGACTTCATAACTTATTTATGCAGATGTTATACACTATTGTTAATCTCAATCGTCGATAACTCGAAACTCAGCCGCGTAAAGTGAGAAATTTGATGAAAATCAGCGAAATACTATCAATTGCAAAGATGCAAGACTCTTTCACTGTAAATTCTGTAAATTAGCACTCAACGAAGGGGAAATGAGGTTCCTGAGAATGAGGTTGTTCTTGAGAAAGTTATGCTATCTGTAAGAGCACCTCACTGATAACAAGTCCTGCAACATTACGAGCTTTTGGCCAGTGAAGGATTTGATATTTTTACTGTGAACAAGCTTGAAGTGACGAGCTTGACCATGGGATGTATGATTTAGGTGATTAGTGATCAAGCATTCTTGCAGCAGTGTCAGTCACAGTTAACCTATCGTTTAGGGTCCTTGTGTTAAAGGCGGCGTCCAGGCAAGTCTCAACACATGGGGATCTCACGTGGATAGTAATTTTGGGACCCTAACTAAGCCACTGCGCAACCCGCAGCTCAGGTAGTGCTTTAATGGCTGAGATATTCCCCTCGAAACTAGACCCCGCGATCGTATTTCACATGGATTCATGACGCAAAGCGTGGATCCTGACGCGAAACTGCCATGAATCCATGCGAATACGATCGCGGGGTCCAGTTTCGAGAGGAATATCTCAGCCGTTAGAGCACACCTGCGCTGCCGTTTGGGCAGTGCCTTAGTTAGGGCCCCAAAAGTACTTTCCATGTAAAATCCCCATAGGTCAAGATCTGCCTGGACGCTGCCTTTAAGCATAGAAACTATAGAAAGCTCATAGTCGCATAGTGCTCATTCAAGATGTGAATTTGATTGCTTGAAGATTAGTCGCCTCTCTCAAGTGGAGAAAGCGAAATATCCAGGATTGTAGCAGGAGTATTACCGGATGCAGCTGAAAGGGTGCTTCATAGCAGACGCTCAGGCGTGGTCCTTCATCATTGGCTCAAACAACTACTAAACTCTTCTCCATAAAGGGAATGAGATGCTCTGGTCAACAAGCTACATCAAAGTTTGCTGTCTGACAAAGAGTTGGGCTGATATCGGAAAATCAACCGACGTATTGACAAAGCTGCTAGCTACGTTTTCATAATCTCTTATCCGCTCATTTAGTTCCCCAATCATCTTTAGTTCTCCAATCATCTCACCACGATAAGATCTTATACGGATTCCAAATCTTGAATTGTTTGCAGTCACATCACGTAAGCGAGATGAGGCCGGCTCATTCAAGAGGTTTAAGTATAAACATGATCAAAACATTTTTTCTCTACCTACGCAAGCGTGATTTAGAATACAATTACGCTTCTTAGAACTTGTGGGATATCGTCTAATACTACCTAGTCATAGAGCTAAGCTAGAGAAACAAATCCCATTGCCTTCGTTAGCATCTCATTTGTTCCTTTTGTCATGAATAACGGGCGCAAATAACAGTTATTGGCACGTTCGATGAGATGAAAACTGAGCGAAGAAAGCGTCGCAATTGACATGAGGGAATGCGCGCCCCTATGCCACTCACGGCCACCGTGCGCGAACCGCCCGCGCAGCCAGCCCTGTACAGTAAGTTTCGACCCGCTTTAGGCGGAAATTGAACTGGCGGGAGTCCCCCTCGCAACAGCTCGCGCCGTTTCCTATCGTGCTGAGAACCCATGTCTGCGTCTCTTCAATCTCCTTACTCTTTGCTTGGCAAAATGCCAGCGCTATGCGCTCGCGAAGCCTCTAGCGATGCGCATGCGCTGCTCCACGTGGAATGTCTCGCCTAATCCGGGATGAAACTGACTGTAGGAATAGATGGCGCCGCTTCAACGTTCACTGCAATATGTGGCTAAAAGGCGCTCATGAGAACATCTCTTTGAAACCGGCGAAGCGCAGCATCACTTTCGCACGCTGATGTGTTGAAAGTCAAGATTCTTGGCTAGCCCATCTTGCGCGAGTAGTAGATATAAAATTCATTTATAGTTAAACATGAGGTTGTATCTAAATAGTCTTCATTATAAGGGAGCATTTGCATGTGAAGCATTATAGAATGGTCAAAATACTTGAAAGTGATAAGTTATATATATGATATCTGTTATGAGCGTGTGTGTATGTGTGTTTGTGTGTTGTATGTGTATGTATGTATCTTGTCTTACAGGAACGTGCGGGCCATTTTGACCGAGTGGACGGGGTTTCCAACGGAGGGGCGGGTCGGCCAAAAGGGATGGTCGGCCGCCAACGAACCTCATTGCACTTTGACCGAACTCAATCGAGCGATTGGGCGCGGCAATGCACTATATAGAAGGTGCTGGGTTCGGTTTGTAGATGCTCTCCTTGTAGACGTCCCTGGCGGCAGGGACCATGTCAGAGTGCAAAAATGGAGTCTTCCCGGCTGAGCGGCCGGTTTAATTATCCAACTTTTACAAAAAAATTTGGGCATAGTTTCTTTTTGTATGTATGTGTGTGTGTTTGTGTGTTTCTAATAGACAAGACATCAAATGTTCCCCTCATTTAGGTGAGAGTGATGCACAGCTGATAAACAACAAGAAAAAAAGGTGATGAGATAAGACTTTCTTTTTTAGAGACCAAAAATAATTAGCATGCATGCAAAGCGAGCTAGTGAGTGTAAAACATAGAACAAGTCAAGGAACGAAATATTTTTTGGTTGAAGTTTTGAGTCATATCAAAGTCAAATAAACTCATCTCATTAGATTATTACAAAATTAGCAGTCTTTGATAATTTTGAGCAAGTTTGCCAGAGTTCCAAAAGTTGTTATGTATTTCGAACAATCAGCAATATGACATCTGTAACCACTCTCTAGGTTATGTATGGCTTGCGCGTTTTTGTGTGCAGTGTGCTTCTTCAATTAAAATTTAGGCAAACATCCAACATCCAAATCGTTAATATCCCAACGCATGGTCCAATGTATATTATAGGCACATATTCACATGATTGCATGCACTCGCTAGCAGGAAACGAGCTGGCTGAATGGCAAGCCCTCCTCCATTGATCTTAAAGACAGTGGCTCGGCAAATCTCAACCTAGTAAAATTCGCGTTTACCTGGGGTTTTTCAATACGCTGATCCCGAAAATCCACTTTTGAAAGCTTGAAAACGGCGAAAATGAGCGTTTTTAATGCCCCTCTTTTTGATATTGGACGAGTGGAGCATAGCAGACTGCGCATCTTACCGACCAATCCGACTGATGAGCCACACTCTAAAAATCTTCGAGAGGGTAATCGAAACACGCCTTCGAGATATCATAGAGTTGTCACCAAATCAGTGCGGATTCGTGAAAGGAATAGGTACAACTAACGCAATCCACTCCGCTCGGATTGTGATGGAGAAATACAGAGAGAAGCAGAAGGATTTGCATGCAGCCTTCCTGGACCTAGAGAAAGCCTTCGATAAGGTGCCCCATGAAGTCATATGGTGGGCCTTACGGAAACACAGGGTGCCAGAGGAGTACGTTCAGTGGATAAAGTTGATCTACCACAACGCGTCAAGCCACGTGCAAACAGTTGCAGGGCAATCGAAAGAATTCGAAATCAAGGTTGGAGTACACCAAGGTTCAGTTCTCTCTCCCTTGCTCTTCATCACGGTGATGAACGCCGTGATGGAACCACTCAGACGTGAACCCCCTTGGACACTTCTCTACGCAGATGATGTGGTCTTGATAGCAAGTACCAGAAAGGAGCTACAAGACGAGGTGCAAAACTGGAAAAACAGGCTAGAGTTGTATGGCCTGAAGCTCAACACCAGGAAGACAGAATATATGGAAGTGGGGAAACAAACTCCAGGTACCATAAGCATCGATGGTGAAGAGCTAAAGAAGACAACGTCATACAGATACCTAGGCAGTCACATCTCAGCGGAGGGAGGCCTACAAGAGGAGGTCGCAGGCAGGATGAACACAGCGTAGATGAAATGGAGAGCCTTAACAGGAGTTCTGTGCGACAGACGGATGCCAGTGCAACTCAAGTCCCAACTGTACCGGACCGTTATCCGCCCAGCAGCACTGTATGGCAGTGAATGCTGGCCGTGTACGCGAAACGAGGAGCGCAAGCTCAGTGTCATGGAAACAAGGATGCTACGATGGACCTTAGGAGTCACACTGAAGGATCACATCTGCAATGACACCATACGAGCGCGAATGAAAGTAGCTCCAATTGCCCAGAAAATGCAGGAAAAGAGGTTACGATGGTATGGGCATGTGCACAGAAGGGATGAAAGCCACATCACCAAGTTGGCCCTGGCTGTGGAGGCACAAGGCAAAAGGCCCAGAGGTAGACCCAAGATGAGGTGGATGGACAGAATCAAGGCCGACCTGCGAGAACTTGGTATAAACGAAGACCTTGCCTCAGATAGGATGACATGGAGACATCTGACAAGAAAAGCAGACCCTGCTTAAGCGGGACACATGCGAGGATAAAAAAACGAGTGGAGCAAGGCCGATGACGCTAAATCGTGGCAGGACCCAATGGTTATGGCGTTGCGGCGGGCAGCCTCCAATGGTGAGAAGGAAATTGCCAACTCGTCCAGATGCGTGTAAGATTGGTCTGCGCGTATAAGTTCGAGAGCGATTTTCTCGGCAGGAAAGCATGCTGTGCAACCGGGATTGCATTGTTTTCATAGTTGGACGATAAGGAACCTACCGCGTTAAAATCCCGAGTTGTTAGATTTTGCCGATCCACAGCCTTTAAACTCCTCCCATGTGCTCAGATATTAGTTATAGTCGAATAGATTTTCCTCTTAATATGGTGTGCTTGCACATAAGGTGAGATGCGGTAAAATTTGCGTGTGAAGAAGTAGCCATGCCAGTACTGCCGGCACTTTGGCCAGCGATTGGCCGGCGTCACAGTCGGAACTATATGTTTACGCGCATATTTTACTGCATTTCACCTTCTGTGCAAGCATACTATATTGAGCGGGAAATCTACTCAACTGTACCTAATCCTATCCGCTCCGCTGATCTTGAAAATGCAGCTTGAGAAGCACGAGAATGAAAAAGGGCCTTCCGAATTTGACTTTGGACTTTAAAAAAGAGCTTGCCAAGGGTGGAGGCGTAGAGTCGTTGTGGCACGACTGCGTGCGATATTCATTTTGCTTGTAGTTTGAAATCAGGGGTGAAGGGATTGGGGCCAGAGGTGGGATATAAATCGCTTCGTAGACCCCTTTTCCGTTTTGCAATTCAGTGATGAATGGTAATGGACCTATCACAACAATGAGAGAAGTCTTTACTCCCACCCGCCCCTCGCCCTTATCACGCTTGCCCTTGATTAATATTAGGTCATTCCGAAAGTAATTTCGCTTTTTTCAAACGGACGCCACATGTGGTGGAATAAGGTTTTCTGAGAGATCTTGGTAGCGTTCGATGCAGAATTTCATTCCCTTTCTAAACATCATAAAATCATTGTAACCCAATCAATGAGCTCTCGGAAATCCTCAAAATCTGCGTCCAGTACTTTTTGCTATACTCAACTTTAGCTGTTTTCCAAAATCTTCATATCAATCCTCTAAAGGAGCTCAATTAGCGAATGGATAGAGCAGATCCTACGGGCCCCAAAACAATTTTTTTCTCCTTCACATAGCTCCTCAAAATCTTTTAATAGAGTTTTGATGATGCTACCAATTTCCATTCTTGGTCAACTCAAACATCGTAAAACATCAAACTCTTAACAGCTCGACTGTCATTCGATAGAGCTTGTTCTCGTCTTTCTAATGGATGTTTTTTGTTTCCCTTTCGTGGAGCTTTCGCGTACAAAACTATCATAATTCATATTTTCGAACGCGCTCCGGGCTGTACCCGGGAAAATCGAAATTAGATATTTCGATTCCGTAAACTTGCATGCTTTGTAAAATTAGTGTTAAATCATAATACCATCTTGGACTTCAAATTCCGAAGATTTGTTAATGTTTGATGCGAATGTGGCTAACGTAAGCTTGTCAAAATTCGATGGTTTTGATAATAAACCTTTTGAAAAAGTTATAGCGAGATATAAAAACGAGAAAAAAGCTACGCCATATCCTATGAGGTTTGCTCTATCGAATCGTTACTTTACTCCTTCGGAAGATTGATAAAAATATAGAAAAATTGTGAAACTTGAGCATCTCAAAAGTACAGACTTTCGTAATTTTTCAAAAGCACATTGATTGCTCTGCAATAATTTTCCAACCTTTAGAAAGAGGACGGAATTTTGCATCGAAGGCTGTCAAGAGCTCTTAGATATCTTTGTTCTACCCCACGTGGCGTCCGTTTGAAAAAAGCGAAATAACTTTCGGAATGGCCTAATATTTTGTACCATCTTTGGCTTTAATAGGAATTAAAAGTTGTTTGGTAAAAGAGATTAAGTTGTGTTAACGAGCAAGCGAATATTTCTGGATTGAAATGTAACGCACAAATGGATTTGATCTTTATTACCATTTAAATAGAATCAAAGTAATTAAGGAAAGCCAACCGTAAGAAGTAGCAACCTGTCATTTAGCACTAATGACTCTTTTGAAAACGAATAAATAATACTATTCACGAATATTTCATTTGCAGTTTTTGCGCAGCGAAATTACTTCGAAATCTGGATCGGAAACAATGCAGAAACAACCTTTTTGAGACCTCGTTTCAGAAAAGGTGAGCTACGCTTAGCTTGATTTCCTCAAAGTATTGTATGATGGCTTTGCTCGAAAGCATTCAATTACGCAAGACTGAGTCATTTCAACAACATATTGACCGAAGAGACTAACCCTAAAATCCATAAAGCATCTGCCAGATTTTTGCGTTCGAATGCACCTCAAAAAAGAAAGGAACGATTTGATTATGGATGTGCTTAACGTAAAGGTCGTAAACTCTTAAGTTTGAAGTGAACCAAAGAAGAGGAATTCGTGAAAACTCCTCCTCCCTGCTCTCCCATCCCCCATCCCCTGCCTCCAGAAGGAAATACTGGGACCACCACAGATATGTACAGGGTCTCCCATAAATGCACACTGTTTGATTTTTAACCCATTGACGACGATGTGGACCACCGGTGGCCTACGCGCTTTTTGCTGCCAGAAACGATGTGGACCCCCGGTGGCCCACACCTCTCGCAAAGTCGTATTATTTGCAGGTCTAGTAACCTCGAGTCATTTGTAGCTTAATATGTGAGACTGCACACTAAGCCCCATTAGCGACGGCATCCTTACTGGTAACTTTCCAGTAAAACATTTTCTAGCCTAGCAAAGTGTAGATATATGTTCTATTGACTAACATGTAATCAACAAAAACAAAAGAGACAGGGAAACAAGCAGAAATAACTGTAAATGAACAGGTTCTAATTTTGCAGTTCGTCAGTTAGCCTGTTTAGTGTGCACTAGGCATATCAAGTTACGAATGACTCGACGATATTTTTTCTACATATGAATATTTTTTCCAATTTTTTGTGTTCTTAGGAGCTATAGGCCCTGTCGTTCAAGAAAATATCAATGGTTGTTTACAAAACAATGTTGCATTTCGTAAATAAGCACGAAACCTTCCCATGCTGAAAGAGTTGTGCAAAATCGCGTCGTCCCACATCGTCGCCGCGCAAAATTAGGCGTCGTCGTCAATGGGTTAATAACTCTCTTGCTTTCATGTTTTGCTGATTGAGAAATTATTTTGTAGAGCGAGGTTTATCTTAAATTTGTAAGGAGAGAATCAATCACTCTTTATTACTGTAGAAATACGTTATTAACTTTCACCATGCAACGAAATTGTTGAGTAGGTCTTTTGATGAAAAAAAATTCCAAAAGTGCGGAAATTTGTGTAGCAAGGTTTTTGGACGTGCTGTTTTCACTTCACAATTTCTTACCAGTTGTTTCAGCTTTTTTAGTGATGTATTCACATTTCTGACGAAGATTGGAAAAACAGCTGTCACCTCAAGCCTGAAAAAACTCATGAAAGAAGCATTGCAAATGCAAGATTCATAGCTGAAATCAGCGACTTCGGTTAGCCCAGTACAAGAAGCTTGTGACTTGTTTTATTTTCTTTTTGACGAAACACAGCTTTTATTGGCCTAAAATCTTCCTCGAAATTCGGAGATTGATTCTGAAGTGAATCTAAGTTGAACCTCGATCTATAGAGTGGTGCCTGAAGCCCGCAAAGACGTTGAAGCCAGAGATTGTTAACAAACAAACAGTGTGCTAAATTTTGGGGATAAAAACGCAAAACTTTTGAGAAGCATTTCAAAAAGGGTTTCCCTCTCGAAAATGCAATATTTTTTTTGCTCCATATGGAAGCTTTTGAATGGATTTTCAGGTTTGAAAACAAGAGATGTGAAGAAGTTGAGAATCAAGCTAAGAGTAAGTACCGAAACGTTGGATTTCATTCCTAGAGGAACCGCTTTTTACGAGTCTCCGAAAAGAAAGTTACCACATCTTTGCGCAAGACCTGCACGCATGTTCCTAAAGAGTAAGTGATTACCGTAAAGACAGTTTATAAGCGCTAATGTATTTACATTCCAGCAGTACAAGAGATACGACATATTGTTGAAGAGATAGGGCTTCCAACTGAATTCGCGAATCATTCAAATGTGAACGATACAAATCGTCCCTATTTCCATATGGCTGTAATGATACCTGTTAGAGGAACAAAATACCTTGCCAAGGTTGAAGAACTTCATGAAGCTTGCAACGTAAGTGTTTAAACCTATGAAATTTGCAGTAGTTTTTACACGTAATTTCTGATTAATGATTGAATAGTGGCATTGCTTTTATGCATACTGATCGCTTTTGGCTTGCTTGATGAACCACTCCTCATACTACTACTTTTCGAATTTCACGGGACTGTTTTTTTTACTATAAGCTGTGGTAGTTTACATACCACAGCACCGGAGTGCCGCTTTTCAAAGCTGCGCTTTTAACGTAATAAAGCGCCGTAAGTGCATTGTTATAACTGCTTTCATATTTATCCCACAAAAATCGTGTTCACACAGTTGTCATCGGTGTCCCTTGAGAGCTATTCGCCGATGTGTTTAAAAGTTTGAAAATCTCAATTTTTAGTGAATTACACGAATTCATTGAATTCTAAATTTTTTTGGTCCCTTCTTTTGCGGGAAATCGGAAACAAATTTGAGATTTTTAGGTTTTTAAACACATCATTGGATAGCTTGCGAAGAGCTTATTTTAAATATGTTGTTTAGAAATTTGTACGGTTACTTTGAAGATCGTTATCAGCTTATCAATGCAAAAAAAGGACCAAAAAGATTTAGAACGTGTAATTCAGTAAAAAGTTTCAAACTTTTAAACACATCGGCGGACAGCTCAAGGGACATTGATGACAACTGTGTAAACAAGATTTTTGTAGGATAATTATGAAAGCAGTTATAACAATGCGGCACTTCCGACGCAAAAAGGCGTTTATTGGGCCCTGTGGCACATGAAAAAATTGACTTTTTCAGATATTGAATATACTGTCAGATAGACCAATAGTGCTGAGTCCAGATATAACAAGGAAAATCAAAAAGAATAGTTTTGTGGAAAGTTATTCGAATGCGGCTCTTTCGACGCAATATCTCCTTTATTGCGCCGTGGGGCACAAAAAATTGTGAATTTTTTAATTTTCAAACATACTATCGGATGCATCAGACAGCGCTGGTTCCAAATATGTTAACCAGAGCTCGATAGGAGTAACCTGAAAGAAGTTATAGCAATGCGGCACTTCCGGCGCTTTATTACGTTTGAAACGCAGCTTTGAAAAGCGGCACTGCCGGTGCTGTAATGGCACCTTCCCATGTATGACAAAAGTTATGGATGTGCTCCACGAAGCATTCCGCGATGCCACTTGCAGTTCAATCAAGAGGCTAAGCCATGTGCGACTTACATCAATCAATTCTTTAGCTTTTCACTAGCTTAAGGTCGGCCAAATACCTGCATATAATTAATGTCGACGTCTTCAAACAAAGTGACAACCTGTTCTTCTTTAGAACAGCGCAGAAACTAACCACGTGAAAACTGTTGATCTACTATATTTTAGGTACTTCCATCTGGTTACGTGGCTTCTATGCGAGACTTTCGGGACGCTCAAGCATTTGCTGCACTTCGTGCAAACGTGAGGAATTTACGGAGTAGAAACTCTGCTCATTTTTAAAATCTTCTTCTCGTATTATACTTAGTATCTTCAACGCTTGTTATCATGTAATGAAGTTGTCAATAGCACTTTTGACTAAAAACGAGAGTTGCAAAACTTAGTTATGTGTAGATGCTTCGTCGCATTAAAGTTGCTCAATCGTCAATTCAAAAGAGAAGCGCAGCATCTTGTGTGTTCGGGTTCTACTCAATAGATTTTAGTAGCTGCGTATACCAGAATTTTTTAGTTTCCCAGTGGGCTGTATAGAACCACCGTTGCTCTACGCCCAAATGCAACATATAGGAAAAATGCTACATGTAAAGGAAGCACGTACTATAAGCAGTTGAGGATAGATTTCTTGTACCATGGTCCAGACAACACGACTTCGGTCAGTTCATTCTTAACAAATGCATGAAGATCACCACTTCATCAAAAATGATGCAAAATCATAGAAACAACCTAGAATAGACTTCGCAAAAGCCTAACTTTACAATAACAACTACATTAACAACGATTGCGAATCGCTGCGACGCAACCTTCGCTCGGTTCATTCTTGAGCTGGCTAAGGCCCGTATGCACGTACATCCCCGCGGGGAGGGGAAGGAATCTGAGAAGGGAAGCGTCATATCTCGCTAGTCTACATATCTTTCTCCTTCTTTCTCTATCTTGCTTTTGAAGGTTCTCATACACTGATACTTGCGCATAACGGATGCCAGGTTACTGCCATACAAGATTAGATATTCAGTATTTCTTCTGATCCCCTGGGGATCCCCATGGGATCACCTCACATTTTCAAAGTCATTTATCTTCCTGAAAACTGAATGAAAACGCTGCAAAATTGTACGGAAGATATACTACGATATTGCTGAACATGTTTTCGACAGAAGAAATGGAATCTGAAGATTTTGATTTTTTCGATAATCCCTGGCTCGCGAGCAGCGGTTCATCGAAGATTTTGATATCTTGAGATTTCACTCATTTCTACCATAAACATGTTTTGCAGCGCTGTAGTATATCCTCAGTACAAATTTAGAGAATTTTCATTGATTTTCAAGAAGATAAAAGACCTTGAAAATGTGAGGTGATCCCCTGGGGATCCCCAGGGGATCAGAAGAAATACTGAATATCTAATCTTGTATGGCAGTAATCTGGCATCCGTTATGCGCGGGTATCAGTGTATGAGAACCTTCAAAAGCAAGATAAAGAAAGAAGAAGAAAGATATATAGACTACCGAGATATGGAACTTCCCCTCTCAGATCCCCTCCCCTCCCCGCGGGGATGTACGTGCATACGGGCCTAAGTCGCACTTCCAAAAAAATTCGCTACTCGCAAGGTTTAGGAGGATACAAGAGCTGGTTACGAAACGAACCTTTCTTATTTTTGTAGACGTAAGCCCTCTCTGTGTCATACTAAAAAGGTATGCTGCATGGATGTTGAAAATGGGACAAAAGACTAAAAAGTAGAGTGCCTTTCAAAAATTACAAAGTCACTGTTGTTTGAGATGATGGCAATGCCGATACAAAATGTTGCATTCCGTGGTATCATGCGATACCGAAGCAAAATGAACACCAGAAATTTGCGTGGGGTATCATCTGAGAGAGCAAAGCGAGCTCTATAAGAAGATTGTGCAGCATTTGACCAAGTTCGATTTGAACGAAATTTGAAGCCAAAATTTAGAGAGCCAATATCTCGAAGGAAATATACTTTTTCCCAAAAGAATCCTGCAGACCCCAATTTGCTCAATAATACTGCTCTGCACATCAGGCATTTATATGCACAATTTCTGTATTTTGCCATGGCTGGAGGTTTCCAGGTTTTTTTTCAAAGTGATGCTGGGCTGAGGTATCAATAATCCGCTTTTCCAGAAGTGAAAGGTGCTATTTGGGCGGACGGCGCATGCCTGCTCTCGAGCGCGATTGGCTCGAGACACCGTACCCATCTCGGCGGCAATTGGATCACTGGCTCCAGCAGCCACTTTCGCGATCCTCCCAAACAGCACTTTTCACGTCCGGAAAAGCAAGTTATTGATATCTTCAAAAGCTGCACAGCACAGTTTCAAATTCAGCTCATTCAAGGGAGTCAATAACGAGAATCTCTCAAAGTGGTCATTCTGCCGAGCCGCTGCCTTTGAAGGCACTGTCCGGACGGGGGTTTAGAATTTCACTGCCATGCGAAAGTGGCCCGCTTCAGATAGACCACCGCGTAAGTACGAGGTTCTAGAGTTCGACCTAAAGGAAGAAAAGATCGGGAAGTGGAGAAACTTACGCCTCATCTTTAAATTCCTGCTATGCGGCAGCGTACGCATGAAGCAACAGTCAAAATCGTAGGGTCCCGCAGAGACTCTGCCTCAGCCTTAGCGGGGACCGTCGAATTCCAAATTTTAAGGCTTTGAAAACGCGTGTTCTCGCCGTTTTCGCACTTCTAATGTGGTTTCGGATTCACCGCTGCGGATAACTCCCGGTAAGAGGATTTTCTAAAGATCGAGTTTTTGCCCGAACACTGCCTTTAAAGGCAGTGGATCAGCAGAATGGACCTCTATCAGATTTTAGTAGTGTTAGGTAGTACACCCCACGAATACACCGTAGCCCCAATCCCACCCTCCATTCTATACTCCCTGTAATGGAGATTCAAAATTCCACAGCTCCGCCCATTTCTATTGAGGGGTGTACTGTGGGCGTCATTGGTGGAGTTCTAGAGCGCTTTCTCAGGACTTAGAGCATGAGTTGGAGGGTGGGGTTGGGGCTACGGTGTATTCGGGAGTCTACTACCTACTACCAAAATCTTGTAGAGGTCCATTCTGCTGATCCATTGCCTTTGAGCGCTATATTCCGTCTCAGTCCCAGTCAGGCCCAAAACTGACATGGAGGAGTCGGCTCGTCAGGTCGCAAAGGTTTTCATCACGTCTGCCGCTTGCTCGTCTGCTATCTCTTCTACCCTTTCAATTCTCTACAACGCGCGCATGCATCGCAGACCGCTGAGATTTTCTTTGAGTTCCACCTAAATCGAGCTTGACGCGATTGCTTAAAAAACACTTCGTAGAGCTTGCTTTGCTCCATCAAATAATACCCCAGCCACTTTTTTGGTGTTCAACCTGCTTCGATATCACATGACACCCTCCTTTGATTTCACATGGTAACCCAAAATGCGATATTCTTTTCTTACCAACCTAATATAACACTTTAGGTTGAAGACAGAAACTGGGTACAGCGTTGTCAGAATGAGAGTCAATTTCACAACCTTGAATTCTTTTACTACTCTATCCTGACCACAAGTTATGCTTGGAAATAGTACGCGAACTGAAGGTCGAGGTTGATGATGAGAGTTATCGCCGGCTGGAAAAGAGGAAAAAAAAACCCCAATCTGCATAGGAAATTTGAAATGGCATCTAAAAAATGAGGCATTGCTTTTCTCACAGTCACTCAGAGGTGGTCACAACGATACAACTGAATCTCGTCAAACGATATTACCTTCAGTCTTTCCTTTGACTTTCAATTTTTCCAGTGACCCCGAAAATCCTTGAAGAGCGCGGAAATAGACTAAACGAGCACTAGCTTTTCAGGAATACTTTGTCTTGAACTTGAGACTGGAACAGGTTCCGCCAAAGATGGAGACGCAGAGTCGTTGCGAGACCTTTACATTGGTAACATCGCGCATGCGCCTCCATCTCTGGGAGAGAAGTTGGAGACTCATTCAAGCGCATAAAAAACTGGTTTGCGCGTTTGGATCTGACGGCAGTTTTGTGAAAGAGGGGCTTTGCGTCGAATTTGTTCCCCTTTCATTATTGGATGCTAACAACCTATCGTATCGCAATTCCTAAAACGTTCAGTGCCAAATTAGGCCATTGCCCTTGATAAAACGAACTGTTCAGAGAGTCTATCTCATAGCAGGAAGATAGGAAAGAGATAGTTTAGTTTGAAGTCTTAATTTCTGACCGCTGCAATCATAGAGTTAAGAGAACTTTTCTTGAAATGTACAATGCATCGATCATTGATTCTCCAAAAGCTACAATCACAACTCTTTTTCTGAAAGGTCTTCTGTAAAAGCGATATTAGAAAAGAAACGCTTTGAAATGAACAGTGATTAAAACTCATTTCCAATAAAGAAATCAGCATTATCAAGTTCCTATTACAGCAAACTCCTCACGAACACTGGAAAGACAAGTATCCCTCCGCTAAATGTGCGGATTTACCAAGAACTACGGCGGCGATGGAATTTACCTATATGGACATTCCGGCGATGGCTCGCCGTAATTTGGTTTGCTCGTACGGTAAGTAAAATTTGAGGCGTTTTGTTCCAGAGAATTCTATATGTATCGTTCTCTTCATGATTACTGCAATTCCTGCCTTCACATCTCTGGCCTGCACTCACGCAGCTAACATCTTGACAAAATATTTCAGAAAATTTGAATCTGCAATAAATGAATAAATATTCAGATAAATTCAAAAATCAAAATTTTGAATAAACGAACATTGAATAATATTCGAAAATTTAGTATTGTACTAGCAGGCATACCCGGCTCGCCCGGCACCAGGTACACTTCGGTAAAAAAAAAGCCGAAGTTGTAATCCTCAAGAAGAGGAATACAACTTCGGCTCTTTAGTTGTACCGTTTCATTTACCCTTAGACGGTTTGGTTAAACAAGTCTTAGGCTTTCTCCGGAACTCATCAATAAGGAAGGAAGCTCGACTGGATCTGTTCAGCTCCTTATTTGTCCCACCCACCTGCCCTGACCGCTGCTGGCCGCCAGATTTTTGAGTTTCGTTTTGCCCTTTTTTTGGATTTTGTAATTTCCAACTTTTTGGATTTTATATTTTCCAATTTCTTTGCATTTTTCAATAGAATGGCATGCAACAAATAAATACTCTGCCATACTACAGCATGCAATTATGTTAGCGCCCTGGGATGCACTACTTTAGCTATGCTCCCTTCGGGCGCATATATGTACAGGTTCCCCGGACTCCCGACCTCGAACACGCCATGTACAGCTGAACATGAAAACAGGGAGTTTCCAGGTCTACTCCTACTGTTCGCAGAGGCTGTCCTTGCGCTTTGTTGATTGTGATGGCGAGTGCAGGCCTGACCGGAAACTGCAGTCGCTTAAAGTCAAAGGGCACATCGGAGGGGACCAAAGGGATTCTTGGAATATGAACGACTTCACCTTTGAACGTCCCCACCAATATGGGCGCTACTAGAACGTTTGGCATGAGATTTCTGATGCAAAACCTTGTACCATTGCACACCTTCGGAGGGCTGATGTTACGAAGGAGCATAATTGGCAAACCAACCTTCAGATCAAGTCTGTGAGGTGGTATCCCATTGGGTTCGAGTGAATTCAAGAACTCAGTGGGGAAGTAAACAGCTTGTTTACGCTGAACCATCGTATCAACGGATGTGTACGTTGACACCAGTCCAGGTATGTAGGCTGCTTAAAATCTGAACATTCATAAAATTTTTACTCATTGGGTCAGGAATTGCTCGCTCGCAAATCCACTCCCCATTGCTGAAGTTGGTGGCAATGTTTGGGAAAACCTTTTGGATCAGTCCTCCCACCGATTGAACCATATTGCAGAAGTCTGGAGGAAAGGTAATTCAGCCAGAACTCGGTTTAACCAAAATTCTGCCTTCGCGAGAAGCAACAGCAGTTGCGCAAAGCTTTGAGCAATCTTATTGCCAAGGAGGAGGATCGCATGTTCAATCTGCCGTTATGCCTTGGGGTCAGCCAGATGCCGGCCATAAAGTGAAGGGGGGGGGGGGTCAGAGAAATTTCTTTACCTATCGCATCGTTGATCGGAATAGTGCAAAGCATGTGCAGTCGCGCAAGAAAGAAAACTCGACGAAGAAAAAACATCATACATTTCATGCTTAACTTGGCCCTTACTACTCTAACAAGTTTGCTCTTGATTGTTCCTAATTGACAATGAGAAGGCAATAACTTTCAGGAAATCCTCCTAATTTTCCTCCTGTCAAACTGGAAGACATTTGCAACAAGTATGCTTACTGGGATGAAGAGAAACAAAGTTGCGTTTGTTATGACGAGGATTCTGACGGGAGAGTAAAATACCCAGAAAAATATGGTCATTATCCGGAGGTGAGAAAATTCTTGGTAGCGTCTTCTTGTTAATTGCTTGAATATGCTTTATCGAAGGGAGCGATCTGCTTTGACTGTCAAGATGCGGTACATAAAAGATCCATAGTATTCATTCTCGACGGTACCGGAACCGTGAGAGCGAAAGGATGGTATCAGGTGATATGTCGTCTAAAATTTCAAAATATTAGGTGGTCCCGAAAGTTCTTTCGCACCAAACTCAAAAATTCGCAACTTCTGATTTTCAGAACCGATTTGATTGCTTTTATTTTTGTATGAAAGAGTAGATCATGCTCTTTATAACAGCACCTTAGCTGCTTACAGTGGTCATCTGATGTAGATAGGAGCGATAGAAGAAAATAAGTCAAAATTCGAGTTTTCAGGGTCATAAAAAATATCTGAAGCTTGCAATAAAAATCTGAGTAGCTGGTATGATGGGTTCTATTACCTGCTCTTTCTGGCTGTACAAAGCTTGTGCTGATTGAACGTCTTTATCGAAAATTATGATTTACGGGAAAAATGTCAAAATAAATTGAAGTTGTCTTTTTGAATTACTTGCTCAAAAATCATACTTTTCAAGAAATGTTCAATTAGCACAAACCTTGCACAATTAGAAAGAGCAAGTAATAGAACCTGTCATATTAACTGCTCAGATTTTTATTGCAAGTTTCAGATTTTTAATGACCCTACATCGAAAATTCGAATTTTGACTAATTTTCTTCTACCGCTCCTATCTATGCAAAAGATGATCATTAGTAAGCAGCTAAGACGCCCTTATAAAGGGCATAACTTACTCTTTTTTACAAAAATAACGGCAGTCAAATCGGCTAGAAAAAAGTTATGAGTTTTTGAATTTAGCACGAGAACTTTCGAGACGACCTAATATTCAAACTATTGAAATCGAGTTGCACGATGTTACAAGAAAAAGAGATATTCTGATATTTTCCTTAAAGTTTATTTTAGCAAAAGGTGTTTATGCACAAAGTACTCGATTACATTGTCAACCTCAGAATCGGAATAGTCGTAATCACCTCTGTGTCAGAGGTGGTTATTCCGCTGGACGATTACGATAAAAATGGTGGAGCTATTAGGTAATGGCCAAATTCTACTCTTCAAAAGCCAGATTCTACTATTTTACGTAAGCAAAATGGTAAATGCTATCAGTTGGTCAGTTTTTTGACTGGTAGTTTGAATCCTCTGCTAGTAAGAGTTGACCCATGATGGAGTTCTGGAGAGCGTATCGCTTTGCAGCGTACTCCCGGGTCTTTCCTCTGCAGTCTCATATTTCCCTTGTGTACAGACCGGCAATGGTTATCAGGTTGTTCTCAGCTATGCTGAACGAAGAAATCTGTCAACATCTGCATATGCCAGCGTGGAAACTTCTCTCTTATACACTACTAACTGGCTTACCCGGCTCCGCCGACCCTGTAAAAACACTGTCATAAAGCTCCTTCTCTATGTACAACCTTCCCCTGTGCTCACTTCTACATGCCACTTCCCTATTCCCCCTATGCTAGTAATCAGCATGCTCACTTACATCTCCCCTCCCCTCCCCCCCCCCCCAGCCAACTCCCAGCCCCGTATCTCAAACTTTGCAAAAAAAATCGATAAAATCAATAGGTAACAGGTGATTTCAAAAACCAATATTGTATTTGTAATCAGCATATTCCATTACCCCTGTGCCAACTCCCAGCCCCGTAGCACAGACTTGGCAAAAAATCGATGAAATCGTTAAAAGTGACGGATAATTTTAAGAACTAATTTTATATTCGTAATCAGCATGCTCGATTATCCCGCTACCAACTCCCAATCCCGTAGCTCAAACTTTACAAAAATCGATAAAATTCGGTAAAATTGATATCGGTCGATAACGAAAAGTAGCCTATGACAACCGCCCCCGCCCAGAAGTGCATGGTGCCAAGTTTGGTCCGGATCGGTTCAGAAATGGAAATTTTTATTCGGAACATACGTACACACAGACAGACATACAGTGCTGGACATAATTATACAGCCACTCTAGAAATCGTCGTAATTTTTGTTCTTGTCAATGAATCTGTCTGAAACTTTGCTGTATCGTGCGCATGTCAACCTACCATAACCCCTCAAAACGGCTTCCATCTTGTTGAGTTTGAACGGAGAAAAACGAAAAAAATCGAAAAAGCCCTCTTTGAAAGCTGGACAAAATTATACAGCCACCTGGTTTTTCTAATCACTATCGCATTCGTTGACTCTCAAATTTTTTCGTACAATTACATCCCAAAATATGAAACTTTGCGACACTTACGGCCTGTCTTCCTACTCAAATAAAAGCAATCGCTGCATTTCTTGCTTTCAAAAGCATTAAAAGTCAATTTCCTTCAACAAACAACTGCTTTAAAGAGTTTTCAAGCTCTTGTTCATTCCAAATGATAATCATGGAATCTACTGATCCTTTTGGATAGATGAGGTGAAGAGCGCTTTCGTAAACTCTGCGTAATCGCTGATTTTGACGAACAGACTCCAACCTCACCATAGGGTTGACGCACTTTTGCACCACAAAACTCGATTTTCAAGCGACAGAAAATACTGTAATGTAGCCATTACGACAGCCATACAACAGTGAACTCGTGTGCATGACTGGGAAGAAATTTCGGGACTGAGCACTCTGATTCAGCCGCAGTTGACATTCACTGAATGTTGAGTGGAGCACCCTGTACAATCAAAGCCAACTTAGATCACGAGATAAAACCGGAGACGCTTAAAACTTCAAAATCTTAGCTAATCTCATTCATCGGGTGAAATATGACATGAAACACAGACGGAAATAAGGAGATCTAGGGTTATATCGAATCTTCCGCTCGCAGGGAATTTTTGTGGAAAGTATTCCAGGTCTAAATCGCTACCGCATCATTAAGAGAAAAATCTGAAAGTTGTTGCGAAAGCTGTATCCCCATGTAGACAATGTGATAAATCAAGTTCAGCACTTTGTGGACATTGCAAACTGAGTTTTATGGTTTAAAAGCGTTCCAAGAGTATGTTGAGGTTGGAGTCTGTCCGTCAAAATCAGCAATTACGCAGAGTTTACGAAAGCGCTCTTCACCTCATCTATCCAAAAGGGTCAGTAGATTCCATGATTATTATTTGGAATGAACAAGAGCTTGAAAACTCTTTAAAGCAGTTGTTTGTTGAAGGAGATTGACTTTTAATGCTTTTAAAAGCAAGAAATGCAGCGATTGCTTCTATTTGAGTAGGAAGACAGGCCGTAAGTGTCGCAAAGTTTCATATTTTGGGATGTAATTGTACGAAAAAATTTGAGAGTCAACGAATGCGATAGTGATTAGAAAAACCAGGTGGCTGTATAATTTTGTCCAGCTTTCAAGAAGGGCTTTTTCGATTTTTTTCGTTTTTCTCCGTTCAAACTCAACAAGATGGAAGCCGTTTTGAGGGGTTATGGTAGGTTGACATGCGCACAATACAGCAAAGTTTCAGACAGATTCACTGACAAGAACAAAAATTACGACGATTTCTAGAGTGGCTATATAATTATGTCCAGCACTGTATATACATACATACATACAGACAGACAGACAGACAAACAGAAACAGACATTCATTTTTATATATAAGAAGATTGATATCGTCCTCTGTCTCTATAGCGCGTTTTCGTCACTTTCACTGTCTGCGGTGCTCTCAAATCAAATGCAGTATTCAACACTGTTCAGTCTTTGAGGGCGACAGATCAGCAAAAACTGCAGTGTGCCCCCAAAAACCTTCACACCTGTGGATTCTCCCTTCATATAGCCGTTTGAAGTGCAAAACGTCGTTGAAATTCATAATTCAGTGAAGCATGCACATAAACCCTCAACGATGTTCGGCTCTCATACGTCGTACTTTTATTCCTTCGAAAATTCTTTGGCATTTGAGTCTCAAGTAAAGATGATAAACATGTCAACGAAAACCTTCTGCCAAGCTGAATGTGTTTAGGGTAACACTGAGACTGGAAAATTATAAGTGCTTACTCAAATGATGATCAGGCACGATCTCTCTTGATTCAAGGTACCCACTGAAGATTGCTTAACACTCGCAAGGGGTTAAAATAGCGAGCTTTGACCATCAGAAGGCCTTTAAATGCTGATTCATAAGTTTTGCATATATGCAGAACAAACGCGTTAGCCATGCACTCCGAAAATCTTTTTGAGATGCTTCCGAAAATCTTTGTGGGCCCATAACCCTAAAATCACTCCCCCCCCGAAAAAGTTTCCTTATCTAAATTTTATTTAATTTTCATAAAATATTTCAATTTTGAGTATGGACATGTCACTTGCAATTTTTTCCAAAAACTTGCTTTTCAAATTTTGCATAACTGAAGAGTCCGTTTTTTGGAGTTACTACTGCTTTTATGTCGGGCTCGTGCTGCTTGAATCCCTCTAGTGGAATTCATATCAACAAAGTTTTTACCTTCGATTCATGAATTTGCGAATATTCTGAAGTGCGGGTTACTATTGCATCTTGTAGTGTGCTTCTGTCACGCCGTATTTCAGCCACTTCATACAATACCGAAAATACCCTCACTCGTGGACTGCAATGGGCGCGGCGATGTACGAAGCACGCATGATGCTGCAGGTTTGTTCATTAAGTCCAGCAACCGACTCTTCTTCAAAAGCTGACAGATAAGACATCTGGGATAAGTTGTTTACGTGAAGTGTGATTTATATATCAAATGGTTTTCAAAACGCCCATTAAATAACTCATCTTTTCCCCCGCAAAACTTTTTCGTGAGAAGTTGCTTTCCCAGCCCTATGTTCATGGCAAATGTTGGGTTATGTTAGTATGCTAAATCTGCGCTATAAGTAAGTTGCGAGGAAAGGCGGCAATAATGTGTACATTCGATAGCTAACAAGAGGACGATACTCGGTGTTTGTGGCATTTGAGAATGAAATGTGATTACACTCCTTTTGGAACGGTGATTCGGAATCTGTCTTCTATTTCTAGTAATCGTTTCGAAATATATTATGAAGGATTTTCGCGTCTAGTCGGGTGCACAAGAGTAATATTGTTGAAACGGCTGGCACCAATGTGACGTTGTGTAGTGGTTAGTGCGATAACATCAACAAGTTGATGGAGTTGTACGTTCGGTTCCTTTTGTGTTTCGCAGTTTTTCATTGCCTCAGCTAAGCTTTTTTTTGCAAGTTATGCATCTTCGAGGTGAATGTAAGCTGCTGTACTCAGAAAATGTGGAAGATTGGGGAAAATGATTACTATTTGCGCTTAAATGTATCCATTGACCATAATTCGAGTAAAATTACTCGAACAAAACAATACGGCTTAACAAGTGAGTGAGTCATGCATTAGGCGACCATGACGTGCACTTTTTGACCCACAATTGATATTAATACTCTAACAAGCAGTACTTCCACCAGGGACCTGTAATCTCAAGATGTTCTGTCCGAAAGTGGTGATTTTGCATCTACTGAAGAAGTTGGGTCCATGTAATGTGACGCGCACTTCAGCAGGAAGGAGCAGACACTTTAGCTTAATCCTACGTGAGGCAGCTTACGGTAACTCGAGGGCGAAAGTGATAAATGCAATTGAAAAGTTTTCAGAAAGTCCGGTATCTTATCTAATTATTTTCAGTGTAATCTGCAGATTAAGGGCGCCATCGGGATGCGCTCATTGCAAGCAACTCCTACGTTTTAATCACTTTTTCAGAACTTTTCATCATCTGTTCAACATGCATTAACTTTCCTTTCCTTCATTTTTATGAGCATCTTTTAGAAAAATTATATGAAACACTTATATGAAAATACTCGTTCATTTTTCAAAGATTAGAGGCATGCATTTACCTCGAGGATGCCGGACTTCCAGAAAGAAGCTTAATTGAGGCGATACAATTGAAAACACAACGGGTTTATCCGTAATGGCTTTCTGACCTGCTAGCTTACTTACAAGGGAAGGATGATCGGTCGAAGTGGCCATTTGGAAGGGGCTGTACATTAGGAAACCGTCCTCGGTTAGGCAAACTCAAAACTACTTTCGCTAGGTGCCGAGCGGTTTTGTGGAGGGAGTTACAAGGCCATTTTCCTCCGGCGCAGCCGGTGCACCCAGTGATGAGCAACGCGCTAGAACAATACAGCAGTGTGGCAGTGGCGCAGTGGCAAGACAGGGGACTACGAAGCAGATGGTGGAAGGTTCGAGTCGTGTTGCTGCTACTTTGTTTTGCAGTTCTGTAAAAAGTCTATTGGGTGACAGTGAACGAAAAATACTTGTTTCTAGGCACTTGAAACAAGCTATTTACTGCAAAAAAGTCACTATTTCTATAATAAGCTATAATCTTCTACAATATGTAAATCTGTAGAGGTTATGATGTCACAACAATGGATTTAAATGATATATTAACATGTATGAAGAAAATTATTAATTGTATGAAAAAAATTCGAGTCTCCTATTCAGTACTGTTTTTCACCGACTTTGATAGGCAATTGTTGAGCTGCTGATTGCCTTCGTTTATATTTTATCCGGTGTACGCGCTGCGAGAAGCTCTTCTGCTTTGAGCATTTTGTGGTCGTATTCCATACATGTTAATATATCATTTGAGTCCATTGTTGTGACATCATAATCTCCACAGATTTGCATATTGTAGAAGATTATAGCTTATAGTAGAAATAGTTCAAGAGGATTAAGGGCTAGAGAGCGGGATTGGTTGGGCTTTGCCCCTCTTTCGTGAGCGTGCTCTCTAATTACTTTCTCATCACGAGCGTGAGAAAGGGAGCTTAAATCACTAAAAAGCACGATCGCGAAAAGAGGTGCAGCGTCAGGCGAAGCAGCTGCGAAGACGTGAGCCCCACCTACCAGCCGCCAATATTGTTGAATCAGAGGGTAGATTGGTATTTCAAAATGAGACTCAAACAGGGATGTCTCGAAAAAATGTGCCTACTGTTTGATTGTTATCAACTCTCATGTGATGAAGTCTTTTGAAAAGCTTTTGGTACCATTTCGTAAAGCTGGCTTCAAGTAGATTTTAGAGTATGTAGCAGATTACCGACTGATCTCCATTACCGTAGATTACGGTAAGGACTTTAAAGAGGGTTATGAGCCATGAAAGGTCGTATTTTGCTTTTGAAAGAAAAAAAAACAACTTAGCAACTTTCACACTGGGCTAATTAGAGTTGCTGATTTCAAATGTAAAGTTCACAACTTATTATAATGCTTCATAAAAAAAGTTATGCGAGGTAAGCCGTATCGCGTTTTTTTTTTCAGTATTCCTAAAAGTGCGGTCACACCGTTCAGAAACCTTCGCAGTCTTGTACATAGTTGAGTATTGAACACAGGGTCTAGAAAAACCCTATTACACAAATTTTCGTTTTGAAATTCTTTGAGATGGCAGCTTTTTTCACAGTGACACCATACCCTTAAAGTATTTACAGTAATACCTACTACAGTAATGAAATAAGAAAAGCGATCGTGATTCGCCTCATAAGGTAAATCTAAGTTGAAGCCAGCTCTACAAAACGGTATTAAAGCTTCTCGAAAGGCTTCATTACGTTATTAACAATCAAACAGTGCCATCTTTTTGAGCCACTCTTTACGTAAGCAGTTTGAAACGCTGAATTCGAATATGTAGTCCTTCGAAACAACACTCTAATCGAGTAATAACTTTTTAACGCATGACATATTCGAATATGAGGAAGCGGCCTGTAGGAAAAATCTGCTTGAAAAGGGCGCAAGGATGTTAAAATAACTCACAAGGAGTGGATACTTAGTCGAAAGTGCCAATTCAGATGAGACATATATCATCTTAAAGCGCTTGAAACATTGATTCCAAATCTGCAATCTCTAGCTGCGGAGCGGTTTTGTAGAAGGAGTTATGAAGGGTGTTTCCTCTGGGGTTTAGGCGCCCTCCAGCGGTCTCCCCTTATCTGTAAGCACTGCAGAGGAGTATCAGCTGATGGCAACTGACCCAATGGTAAGTAACTTGAATGAAGATTACAGTAAAGATTATAATACTCATATTACTTTGGTTTTTTTCTAAACACTTCTAACTTCGACTAGTATCAATATCATCAGAAGTTTCAGGGCTCTAAAGCCATCCAGAAGTTTAATTTAGCATGCGCAGGGGATTAGTACCTTGACACTCTTTATCAAGCACGTCACTTACCACTAGGTCAGTTGCCACTAGTTGGTACTCCTTTACAGTGCTCATAGGTAGGGAGAGACCTGGTGGAGGGCGCCTCAACCCCAGAGGAAACACCCCTCATAACTCCCTCTACAAAACCGCTCCGCAGCTAGAAAGTGCAGATTTGGAATCAGCGTTTCAAGCGCTCTAAGATGATATGTGTCTCATCTGGATTGGTGCTTTCGACTAAGTATCCTCTCCTTGTCAGTGCGATTCTTTTGTTGCTGACAGGAACCTTGAGCAATTACCACTTGCATATTGTATCGTATCCGTAATACCAGTAAGTCCACAAGAATAAAAGTTCCGCCCAAAAAATTCCATTTTTTCAATTCTGCTCAGAGTAAAATCGCAGCTAGGGACAACAAGATGTTTGCGTCCTGCTAGATCACGAAAAGTAAGCATTTTTTATCCGTGCTGCATGACCGACGAAAGGTTGCTAGTGTCGAGTGTTTAGAAACTGCGGTTAAGCGCTCTGTGAGCGGTTTGCAAAGCCTTTAAGGTGGCAACGGTGTCGGCCCATGTCGCGGCTGCGTAACAGAGCGCAGGGAGGACGGGTGAATGAAACAAATGAGCGCGAAGCTCGGCGTCAGTTGGTCGGTGGCTTCCTTCAGAGCTCGAACGTGGCCCAGACTGCTCTTTTTCTCGTCAAGTTCTCCCTCACTCGTTCTCCATGTTCATCAGTTTTCCAAGATGCACTTAAGAAAACGTTATCGTTTTGGGAGTGTTTTTCAGTTCCATTTTCGCATTCTCGCAAAAGGCTTTCTTTGTGAAATGAGTCTTCTTCCAATCTACGTGCAATCAATCTTCTTCGTACTTGGTTTAATTCTTTCGGGAACGTCTTTTCTCCAGTAATATTCCTCAAAAGAGAATGATGTCGGCAGGAAGAGAGGATTCTCGCATAAACGTATGCCTCTCTCATCCCAACCCACTAACTTCATCACTCCCTGCAAGGCCGCTGTGACTAGCTTCGGTGAGATTGTGTCGCCTTGCCGAACTTCCTTAACAGATGAGATGGGGCGATGCGAAAGCTGCATCTTCACTGTACAATCCTCGTAGCCCTCAGCCAACAGCCTGACATAAGCCGTTTTAGGCCTTGTTCGACTATCACAGAAGAAGGCGTTGGTCGACGCAGTTGAAGGCTTTCGTAGTTGACGAAGGTTTCGACGAGAAGCAGTCGGTATCCTCGGTAGACATCTACGACCCTCGATATCGTCTAAATGTGGAGAGTGCAGTTGAGTCCCTTGCAAAATTTGGCTTGAACTTGGGGTTGGACTTTAATCAATGTCCTTGATATGCGATCGACGAAAATTTTGGTGAGAACCTTATACAGCACGCTCAGCAGGTGTATTGGACGGTATTTCCTAAAATCCTTCCAATCACTGAAATGCGGTGCGCACTCAGCAAGAAATATCCGTAATGATAATTCTTTAGCGGGAAAAACGGGAGACAGCACGGTTGATGAGCGGATGAGATCAGTGTAAAAGCGATTGATTGCGTCTTATGTCAGGAATAAGTTGGGATCCCGTCTTTGTTCAATAGTTCAGCCAGCAGTAAGTAATATTCGCAGACATCTCGGCACTTCTTCAGACTTCCATCCTACCGCTGCTTCCATATCTTCGCTTGCCTGTATTTTCAAAACTCCTCCTGCGAAGCTGTTTCGCATTTGGTGCTCGCCACTCAAGTAATTCCTTGGAGGTTATGTAATGCGTCCCCAATTCTTCTCGGAACTCACTATGGCGCATTCATTAACTACTTTTTTGTCCTCTGAAATACTCTTAGCAAATCAACTGCGCGCCTTTTGACGTTACCAAGTTGTCATGCTTTAATGAAATGGTGTCAATGAAGGCCAACATACCTATTTTATCCTGCAGCAAAATACCAGTTTCTTCTCTGACTCTTTTGCTTTAAGTTGATGACGTGCATCGCTAAAAGGACGCTTGCATGAGTGTAATCATCTCGTACGTGCAAAATCAAGCATTAATGACTAGGTCATCCATTTTTTGTTGAGCCATAGCCATCTGAGCCAATTTGAACTTTTGATATTTTACCCTATTTTCAGGTGTATAAGCCGCACCCTTTTCACTCTAAAGGCGAACACGCAAAAAGACTGACTGTCATCATGGAGCGCGTTAAGTGAGAGCAGTATGCGATAAGGCGACCGCTTCGCGAGACATATGCGCGGCGGCACGCCTGGGTCTGCTCACGTTTAGAGCAAAAAGGGTGCGGCTTATACACCTGAAAATAGGGTTTATAAAAGCCTAACTTTTCGTAGAAGCATGCAATTAACACAAACTTTGCTCTGTTAGGAGATGACTCGTAGCAACACCTTGAAACAGACTGCTCCGCTTTCTATAAGTTTTAGATATTCTACGACCAGACACAGTAAAATCAAAAATTATGTGAGTTGTTTCTGCCAATCTACTCGTGCAATGTGTGCTTATCTGAGACACGTCGCCGCGTGATTTTGGCGATTAGCTTCAAAAGCTTCAAGCTACTCGAGAGCATCAATGTGAATTCTCCATTATTGATATTTCGCTGCCAAAAACAGTAATGCACGTATAGTTCATTTATAAAATCGTGACGACGAATTTAACTGCGGACTTTGCTCCCACAGAAGCATAAAACGCTCTTACAAGAACGCATTACCTCAACGTTCAGCTCAGTCACTTCCAGGGTTTAAATATCATCATACGTAAGCAAAAAAACCAATCAGCCAGAGATGAAAACCAAAAAAATGTGATTTTCGGAAGTAGCGTGCGCTTCGCGCGTAGTGACGCCATCGTCACGATTTTTCAAATGCCCATAGAAAAAACACTGAAACTCGATGAATCAACCTTGTCATATCAACCCCGTCCTGCAAATTGAATTCGAAAAATTTTTACAAAATATAAAAAATTTAGAAGGAATGAAAAACCTATTGTTTTGAGCGAAGCAATGGGCTGAATACACATATGAAAGTTTTTGTTTTTCCCAGTTCGTACACTTTTGTGATCAAGTGAAAGCATTCCATATACTTAGCAACTTGATTTTGGCCACGCTGAGAGAACCTGTCACATGGATGAGTTTAATTCAACTTTCTACAACAAGAGAATGACCATGTTACTATGGTCTGGAAATACTTTCTTTCACGAGTCAAACTTGGCAAAGCAAATGTATACCTCCACTGCACATTGCGAATGTTTCGGAGCTAATGATAGATGAAGAAGATAGTCCAGTCCTTAGTCCAAAGCTTGATTAAGAGGCGCGCACCCTGAGCACTCAATCCAGCATGCAGGAGAAGGTAATTTATAGAGCCTAACTCGCATTATCTTTATCCAATAACTAGTCAAATCTGTTTCAAGGTCATAACCAATTTATTCAGAACGAAACCAACGAGAAGGTTATTGTTATGATCTCAGACGGAGATCAGGACCACTGTTCTGATCCCAATCCCGAAGTTTGTCCAGAATTAGCATTGCAAAGAATAAGAGATCATCCGCAAGAGAAAGAGGCAGACGCTGTGAGTTAAGATTGAATAGCACCCATTTTTTAGTTTGCGATGGATCTCTGTTGATCTCTTTTTTGCAGAAGTTTCGAAATCCGTTCAATTTTAATGCACATGGAGAGTTTCAAAGTCTCCCAGCTGCAATGTCAATTTTCTCTTCAAGAGCAGAACTTTTAGTTTATTGCTGAATACTTGTTTTGTGGTCATTCCAAACTATGGAGTGATGAATTCCCGAGTCCACAGAGTCGAGAGATAGGCCACTGACCCGATGATGTGATAATAGCAGAAGTGTTGGCAATTATGTAAGTAGGCGCCAATGAGAAATGGTGCAATATGAGTAGGTTTTTGTAGGATTGACATCTCCAAAACAAGCTGTTTTTTCTGACTTTATGACCATCATTCGCTTTTGCGTCCATTGTTCGCCCTTTCTCAATGGTATCATTATTTGACTAACTGGCAGACACGGTCTGCCTAGAGAATATCTCTGGAGGATCAGGAGGAGAAGAGATTCAGCCATCTAAATTAGACATCCAGGCTGTTTCCACGGGATTTTTTCTCAACTACTTGAAAGCAAAAATGCTTATCCAAATCCGTATTAATTGCTCTGAAAGAAAACTTGTGAGGGTCTGGGAGAGGATTTGCTAGAAATTAGTGTGCGCATCTTGAGAATTATTTGAAGAGGAGTAGCTGCTTATATGAAAGCCAGAAGTGGACATCTCAGAAGTAAAGTGACGTAATTCAGAACTCTCATAAAGAATATAATGTTTACCAGATAAAGACAAAAGCTTTTGAACTTAGCTTGCAAAGTTTGAAAAAGAATATTTGGATGAGGGAACTTATTTACCCAAAGACTTGCCGCTGCGTACCTTCGGTACCATGAGTTGCCAGCAACACTAATTAGCACCTCATGCAGATGTTTGTGATTCCACAAACTATCAACCAATATCTTAAAACTGTTTAGTAATTCTCTTTAGATGCACTTCAAAGCTATGCATGTTGAAAACTTAAGCAGACCGCTCTTTGTTTCAGAATTGAACCGCAGATTGTCACCCATTATTATTCACGTATTGTTCTACAATGTATTGAAAAGTAACTAGCCGACCGTTTCATGCTTTAAAATCACTTAAGAATAGCATTAAAATTTTTGGTAAAGCGCTTTTAGCACTTTTAACTTCATATCTTTCGCTGGTCATTTGATAAAAGAACGTACCATCTGATGCGATTGGCTTTTCTCCCCATCGACTCAATAAAGTCCTATCCACAGCCTCTTCTACCACACCAAAGAAGACTAATTCGGAACAGCAGAGCTGATCAGTCCGGATTCATTTTCAGTTTTAAAATATGGTTTTAAGCTCTTGTTTATTGAATGTTGGAATGTAATAGTTCGATAGAATTTAGATTCAGCCAGTTCTCATAAATGAAGCAGTTTTTTTCGTTTGTTTTCAGTCTCCCCAAATTCCCAACGAAGTCTATTGTAAGAACTACATCATAAACAGAGCTGCTAATATTCGAGGATAACACTTAGAAAAATCTTGATTACCACTTTTCACCTTGAACGGACATATATGGATACTGATTCAGTTCAAAATTACAGCTTAATTGCGGGGTTCATGCGTTATTGGATGGTAACGGGCTTACTGTGATAATGTTGCTTGAAGTCTTTCGGGTAGGTAATTTCCGTTCCTCAGAATATTTGCATTATACTTTGTATGATGCAAATATACTTTATATAATCCTATATGCTAATCGAAGAACAGGACAAGATCTGCAAGGTGATCACCAGATTTTCGCGATCTACCCTGACCCTTTGACCTGAATTTATCCGCATGATCAAAGAAGCCTTATTCCTGTTGCTTTTCACTTACTACCGTATGAATGACATCATGGCGGATTTTGGAGTCTTTACAATTATAATGACTGTTTCTTTTTGATTTCGCTTTTTTGGTTTTGCTTTTATTTTCAACGTTCAAATTGCCCTCAGCAGATGTGGACCCGCGAGCAGTTATGAACTGTATTTGCATAACATTATAGTCAAAGTCTCCGATTTTTGGCTAATAAACGAAATTACTGACATGGTTGCTGAAGCCGACCCAAATTATTGGAATGCACTTCAATTGTGTAAAAGTGATATGTTGCTGATAGGAAAACAAATGAAAACGCGGTCTTAAAGCTGAAGTTCAAGAGCTACATAAAGCGATCTATAGCAATGAGTAGTAAAATTATGTTTTTGCGCCAGTAAACAGGTGTCTGAATTGATTTGCTTGCTACCACCGGGCCAAAAGTTGAGTTGTAAAGCAAAATCAAAAGTGTTATTTATGTTAGTAATCCATCCTCCTTCAAAAAGAACTTGCAAGCCTTCACTTTATCGACGTAGTTGAGGTTAACCCGAGAGATATGCAGAACAATAATCGTCTAATACCAAGAGACTTAATGTACTTAATTAATTGCCACTCGGGCTTGTATGTGATGAAGTGTACTCAACTCAAACTTGGGTAATTAAACCTTTTTATTCAGAAAGATAAATGAACCGATGAACAAATAACGTAACGGATGTAACCTCGAGTCATTTACTTAATATGTTAGACTGCACACTAAGCCCTCTTAGCGACGGCACCTTAACTAGTAAGCTTTCTGTGAAACATTTTTCAGCCTAACAAAGTGTAGAAAATGTTTTGTTGCTAACGTATAACCAACAAAAATAGAATAAGCAAGGAAACAAGGACAAATCACTGACTGAATAGGTTCTAGTCAGAGGTGCGATAGTCGGAGCCGAGTCTCTGCCTACCTTCACTTTTAAGCCAGTACAGGGTGACCACCTCACTTTTGGGTTTGAAAAGTTTTCTTGCTGATTAAAAGAAGGAAAATAAGCAAGACGAACGCAAAAGAAAGTATTGAGAGCATATATCTATGTTAGGTCGATCTCACAAGGGAGGTGCAATTGGTCGAAGTGGCCTTTCCAAATGATTCTTATACCACTTTGAAGAGCATCAAACGCTGATTCCAAAGCTGACTTCAATGTTTGCCGAGCGCCTCTGCATGCCCAGTTATGAACATTTTCTTGGTGCGAAAAATGAACGTATAATCTAGGTAAAATCGGATTTTACGGTATTTTCAGCGCTCAAATAGAGCACTGGTAAGTATGGGTGTTATGAATGGAAGGCACTGTTTAAGTGGAGTGCTTTGCTAATCAACATTGGACCATTTGAGTAATTCTGTGTGAATATTGTGCTAAGAATGCATTTAGTTTTTCAACTTAAAAAACGCTCATAACTTGACTTCCAGAGGCGCTCGGCAGATAACAAAGGCAGATTTGAAATCAGCGTTTGATGCTCTATATAGCCATATCAATTTCGTTTGAAAAGGCCACTTCGACCAAATCGACCTTCCTTGTCAGAACCAGAATTTCGAATGAAAAAGTAACGTAAAATCATGCGAAATTTCCACTGTTATAAATCTGGTAGTTGAAGATGTCAGCCAATGCAACTTCATAAGTTTTGAAGGGTAAGTTTTGTTCTACTACATAGTAAGGAAACAAGTCGATTTGTGCAGCGACCGCCGAGATCGAGAATTTCAAGAAATCACGCCATTTTAGCGTGTTTATTGACAGCTGAGAGCTAAACTCATATAAATCTTGAATGTGAAAGTGTGTGATGTTGCGACTTCATAAGTTTTATAGGGTAAGGTTTCCTTTATTTGAATATGTCTTAGCCCTATCGATCCATTGAAACGGCGCCGAGATCCAGGATCTTGAAGAAGCAAAACTTTAACATCTCATAACTTTTTCAGAACTGCATGAATCATGTTGCGACTTCATAGGTTGAATTCTCCTCTTCAAGAGCTTTCAGATGTTATCATATGGGGGGGGGGGAGGGGGTCGATGATTTTTGCGGCTCTAACCCGGGGTGGATACTTTTCGTACCAAAGTCTCCACCTCGCCCATTTTAATGTATTGGCTGGAGGTCGCCAGTGAAGACTTTGTGATGAAAAGTCTCCTCCCCCAGGCATAAGTCGTAGGAGGCCCTAAACCCCCACATATTATTTATCATCCGAAAGCCCTTGAAGAGGAGAATCTAACCTATGAAGTTGCAACATGATTCATGCAGTTCTGAAGAAGTTATAAGCTGTTGAATTTCAAAAAGCGCTTTTTTACCTGCTTTTTCAAGACCCTGGATCTCGGCGCTGTTCCAACTGCTGACATCTTCAAACAACAGATTTATAACAGTGGAAATCCCGCATGATTTTTTGTTACTTTATTATTCAAAATTCTGGTTCTCGGCGCTTATTCCTTAGATCGACCTACTTTCTTCGCAGTACATTACAACAAAATTTACTTGATAAAATACGTGATGTATAGCTGAGTTTTAGTCGACAGCGAGTTTCTATAAGTAAATTGAACGAGAAAAGAGCTTTGAGTAACCTTTGAATTTATTCTTCTTAATTCTTTTTTTTTATTATAAAGAAGTCAATGGAACTTTTGAGAGAAAAATTTTTTTGCAAAAAGAAAAGTCGAGCTGTGCTTGCTCCCCTTCCCCCCCCCCCCTCCCCCTCCCCCGGTCGACGTTTTTGAGAGGTGAGTGTCCGGCACTTCCACCTTCACTTTTGGCTAGCCACTGGTAGCTGGAACCACCTTCACTTCTGCGGGGCTCGGCTCCACCTATCGCACCTCTGGTTCTACTTTCGCAGTTTGTCATTAGTGTGTATAGTGTGCATTACGCATATTGAGTTACGAATGACTCGACTATAACTAAAACTACATAACAAATTGTCAATGCACAAGTAATGATGACAGGAATAATGACAAAAGCAAAATATATGTTCATATCAGAACAAACATAAAATGTGACGATACTTGTTATTTCTTCCTCTACAATACTTGTAGTCATGCTTGTCTTTCAATTTTTCTTGTTTCTTAAACAATTCGTAGAAAAAGGAACGCAAAACCCCAAACTCAATGTAAGAAATGTGATTTTGCTATGACGACTTATACAGCGACCGCCAAAAATTGCGGACAAGCCGCCTTCGTTTTTTTCATCGCTCATTTTCGGATGGAAAACAAAGATGAAAAATTGATTGGATTGCATGCCGTGATAGAGCTCATCAAGAGCTACAACACATGCCTTGTGCTTTCTGGAAAACATTATTATAAAGATTTTAAAAATATTTTTCTAAAAAAATTCCGAAAATGGCCGCGCCACATTGTCGCGGACAATAGTTCTTCGAACGCGAAAATTTTGTTTTTAGGTCTTTTCTAAGAGCAAAAACGGAAGTTTTCCGGACAAGTTAGCATACTATGTTATAGAGCTCACCAAGAGCTACAACCCATGCCTTGTGCTTTTTGGAAAACATGTATTATAAAAATTTTAAAAATATTTTTCTAAAAAAATTCCGAAAATGGCCGCGCCACATTGTCGCGGACAATAGTTCTTCGAACGCGAAAATTTTGTTTTTAGGTCTTTTCTAAGAGCAAAAACGGAAGTTTTCCGGACAAGTTAGCATACTATGTTATAGAGCTCACCAAGAGCTACAACCCATGCCTTGTGCTTTTTGGAAAACATGTATTATAAAAATTTTAAAAATATTTTTCTAAAAAAATTCCGAAAATGGCCGCGCCACATTGTCGCGGACAATAGTTCTTCGAACGCAAAAGTTTTGTTTTTAGGTCTTTTCTAAGAGCAAAAACAGAAGTTTTCCGGACAGGTAAATATACTATGTTAAGAGCTCATCAAGGACAATAATTAGGTAGTGGTTACTTTGAGAAAAGCAAGCTTGAATTGTATTTTGCTTTTTTTCAAAAAATAACTTCTAATTTCCCTTTTTCCGAATTTCTTCACATAGAAACCTACTCGAAACAACCTAACAAAGCTGTTTAGATAAAATGATGCTTTTCGCCATCCTCTATGCATTTGACGTGTGCTGATGAGTTTCTTTGCTGAAAACGGCTCCTGACAATGCATGCACATGACCCCATTTGTACCTCACCACTGATTTGCACCACTTTGCAGTGTTGTAGCTCGGCTGGCAGTCAATCTACGAGCTTGGGCTTAGGCCCATTCGAAAGAGCTTTTTTCGATACGATGCTATGCAAATGGGTTGAGTTTGGGAGGTTCCGGAGATTTGACGGATGGGGTGAAAAAACGCAGCCTTAGAGTTGATTGAAGTGAAGGCTCCTATCAACATCAGAACAGTCTTAGAGCTTCGAAATGGATCTGTTACAAGAAAATTGACAGTTTTAGACCTCTAGGATGGAACTGGTAGCGAAAGGAGCTCTGTTCAACCTTAGCTGAAAAAACCTTAGCCTACCACTGAAGCTGCGCTTTTTCACCCCATCCGTCAAATTTCCGGAACTTCCCAGACTAGACTCATTTGCATACCGTCGTATCGAAAAAACTCTTTCGAATGAGCCTAAGCCCAAGCTCGTAGTGTGACTGCCAGCCGAGCTACAAGACTGCAAAGTGGTGCAAGTCAATGGTGAGGTGCAAATGGAGTCATGTGCATGCATTGTCAGGAGCCATTTTCAGCAGAGAAACTCATCAGCACACGTCAAATGCACAAAGCATGGCAAAGATCATCATTTTATCTGAACAGCTTTGTTAGGTTGTTTTGAGTAGGTTTCTATGTGAAGAAATTCGGCTTGAAAAGGATAATTAGAAGTTATTTTTTTGAAAAAAGTAAAACACAGTTCAAGCTTGGGTTTTTTTAGAGTAGCCACCACTGGATTATTGTCCTTGATGAGCTCTATAACATAGCTCTATAACAAGACATTAACTTGTATATTGTGGAGTAATCCTTGGGTAGTGTGAGTAGTTTCATGGCAATCGATTTATATAGTAGACACATGGTAAAATCTAGACACAGCTGCTGATATTTTTTAATGTTAGAAGTTAATAAACAAAAATATACTACAAGTATAAAAATGTCGTCTTTCCTAGGTTTTTCATGCTAAATGTAATATTTTTCAATGGCTGGGACGTACACAGGGATACAATTTTAATGGTCTCACTACCGCAGTTAGAAGTATACATAGGCGGTTAAACAGTTCTTGCCAATTTGTCGAGCGATTATAAAGAAAACCTCGAAACCTCAGGGATCGTTCAGACCGCGCCAGTACCCGTCCAAACCCGCCCGAACGTCCGAATCCGCCCAAACGCGCCCGAACACTTCCGCCCAAATACGTTTGAATCCGCCCAAACCCGCCCAACCCGCTTTACGTTTGAATCCGCCCAAACCCGCCCAGCCCACTTAAACGTCGGAACTGCCAAAGCGCAGCAGATATGCGTGCAAATTGGCATATTGCAGCATGCGTGAAATAATGCGCACGTGGTGCACATATCATCTCACACGTAGCTCGACGCTTATCTGGCGCTATGGCAGTTCCGGCGTTCAGGCGGGTTCGGGCGAATTCGGACGTATTCGGACAGGCTTGGACGGGTATCGGTGGGATCCGAACGATCCCTCAGTGGAGGAAATAAAGCAAACGATTCAAACACTATGGGGCGCAACTTTTCTTTCTCTTCCACATTCATGTTTTTGAGCTTATTGCTCTTTTGGTAACTATGAATCGCCAAAACTTTACAGCCCGTTTTTATCATGTACAACTTTTAGCATTTTCAAAACTCTCGTTTCGGAGTTTTGCTCTGATATTAGCAGGATCACTAAACAAAATACAGTGCGTCGCACATCCTCGACATCTAATGCTGTATTATTTTTTCGCTGCCCCGAATTCCATATTTGGTCATCCTCCCAAACATAAAGCGTGAAGTGGCAACTGAGGTGTCATTTGATGCAGCTCGTTCTTTTTGGCTAGGTGTTTCTTTCTTTTTCGTGAAGGCTTTGAAGACAATATAATAATCAATCATAATCTTTGTTCCCAAACGCGCCCCGAGCCATAATAGAAACATTCGTTTATCATTTCAAGAGTTGAATGCCCATTTGTTCCGGAAAATTGATGCTCAGTCACAATCGATTTCTGGGACTTCGAGAATTTATTAGCAATTCAAATTCGATCAAAAGCAAGGAACTTCGAAAACCATAAATCATTCTCTAACTGTAAAACAATAGTCTTCGCTCTAACATCAGGTCAGCATTTTTAGATTCATGATGCGGGTATAAATTTGATCTTCGTTGTGGTTGGAGAGAGGTACAAGACTGATGATAACTTCAAAAAAAGAGTGGATCATATTGCACGAGGAGTTGAAAAAGCAATTCCTGTGACCGATTTTGAGGTAAGATACGAGTAAAATAGTGTGTGACAATGGATAGTATTCTTCGAAATACAGTGAATTTTAACTCAGTTTATGCGGAAATAGAATAAGGTGGGTTTGCAGCGTTTTGCAGCTACAGTACCTATTCATATCATGCAAAAAAAAATCCATGTTTGCGTCTCCTCATTCTCTCGGTCTTTGCTTGGCAAAATGACACTTGCTGGACGCTGACAAAGCGATGCGGACGCGCTGCTAATTCAAATGCTTCTCCTACTCTGGGATTGGGTGTATGTCGAGAGGCGCGATTTTTATTGCCAGATAGATATAGGCGATTCCCATGCGTATAGCGGGCGTGGCCGTGCAGACATTTTAACACGTTGGAAAACTTGTTAAACCTCCATTCTAAAGCATTAGCTTTTGTACTTTCTCGGTATCAAAACTGCGATGCGGATACGTTGGCAGCGTCGGCGAAGCTCCGCCCGCTATACTGTGGGGAATAGACGATACTAAATGCCGCATTTTTAGTGTCTAACAATGTTCTAAAAGATTTTCAAAATCCTGGAGAGATATGCAACCACTGCCAGGGCTGTTTATCCTCATATCTTGAAATAGAGTTCAAAACATGGATGTTGGAGGTCACCCGCGAAAATGCGGCTTATCGCAATTTCATGGATATTTTGATCAATTTTTCACCAAAGCCGTCGGATTTAGTTAGTGGTAACATCAAATAGTAACTAATCTAGAACAATCTTCTAATATTTCTGGAGGCTCGCATGACCCTGAATTGGGCTGTTGCCTTAGTGACCTTTGAAAAAATCGCGCCTCTTTACCGTCTCCCCTCTGGGTTGAAACATTCTACAGTCTGAAACCATTTGTTTACTGACAGCATTGTGAGAAGTGCATTTGCGTCGTAATTGTACATTATTATAGACTTTGCTGCTATCGTTATGCAACCATTACCACTACCATTACCGTTCCGAAAGTTTTTTCTGTTTATTCTTCCTATTATAATACGCAGGAATGATGAGCAGACTTCTTCGTCTTTTAGCAGTAATGTTTTTGGGCTACATTGGTTTCTGGTTATCAAGATGATCACCATTCCAAACTCATGGTTTTTATGCCCAATTTGACAACTTTTCAATATTTTCATCTTGAACTTCTGAAGGGGCATCGATGAAGGTGATAAACAAGGTACAAGACAGTATTTTGTTGGATTCTCCAGCTCACTTTTCAGTAATTTCTAATGATTTCTCCAAAAATACGCACTTTTGCAAAGTGGTCTCATACATGCATCAAAAAAGTCTTTAGTATTCCAGAATTCCAAACTCGGTCACCGTTAAACAGTAATTGTATTAGGACGTTTCAAAAGTAATTTCGCCTTTTTTCAAAAGGGCGCCATCTGATGGAACAAAGCTTTCTAAGATATCTTGGTAGCATTCGGAACAGCATTTCATTCTTTTTCTAAAGGTTATGAGATTATTGCAACATAATCAATGAGCTTTTAGAAAATAACCAAAATCTGCGGCACATGGTTTTTGAGATGGTCTAGTTTCACAATTTTTTAAAACTTTCACATCAATCCTCAGAGAAAACTTAAGCAACGATTCGATAGAGCAAACCTTGTAGAATACAGTACAACTATTCTCTTTTATTCATAGTTCGCCGTATTTTTTTTTTAAATTCAACAAAGCCATCGGAATTTGGCAGGCCTACTTTAGCCACAAACGCATCAAACATCATAATTATTCAAATTTGAGACTACCAAGATGGTGCTGTGAGTTAGCACTAATTTCACAAAGCAAGTGAGTACGAATTTGAAATATCAAATTTCGAGTTTTACGGGCACAGCCTGGGTCTCGTTGGAAAAAATGAGTTATGAGGATTTTAATTCCGAAGACTGAACGAATCGGAAACAAAAAGCACCCATTAGAAAGACGAGAACAAGCTGCATCGAATACCGCGCGAGCTGCTTTTCTTTTGATGTTCTACGAGGATTTAGCTGTCCAAGTATGGAAATCGGTAGCATCAGTTAAAATTTTGTTAAAAATGTATAACAAGCTATGGAAAGGAGAAAAAAGTCGCACTGTATTCTATAAGAATTGCTCTATCGAATCGTTACTTGAACTCCTTCTGAGGAGTTGATGTGAAAGTTTTGAAAAATTGTGAATGGCTGTCTCAGAAAGCATAGGTCGCAGGTTTTGGTTATTTTATGAAAGCTCAGTGACAGTTGCAACAATTTCATAACCTTTAGAAAGAGAATGAAATGCTGCATCAAATGCTTCCAAGATATCTTGTAAATCTTTTTTCCACGAAATGTAGCGTTCGTTTGGAAAAAGCGAAATTACTTTTGAAACGACCTAATATAAGGCAAGTGATCGTTCACCGCTTCACATAACGAAGTCAGAGATCTCGTATACATCTCATTGACGCTTCTAAAGTTTACGAGTATGATTGTTTCATCTGCGCAAATTCACAAAATAGGAGGGAAACACATTCATCAGAAACAGGAGGAAAAATTGCATCGAATATCCAAGTTGCCTGTCGGTTAATTTTCGTTGATTTCTGGTCTAGCCAAATATGGAATCAATTAGCATCAGAAAGTTAGAATGAGAAATCTTAAAAAAGTGAGCTGGAGACGCCAAAAGAATATATTGTATTGCATTTAGTTTACACTATCCATCTGTCATCATAGCTCTTCAAGCAGTTCAAAATGAAAATTTTGGAAAACTGCCAAACTTGGTCATGGTAAAAATGGTTTTCGTGACTATTATCCTACTGTTAGCAACCGCAGAGGGAAATAGCCCGAAAGCACAACAATGAAAAGAGGAAAAAACTGCATCGACTAATTTTTGAAACCTTAGCCTACCTTTATTCCACGTGTTTTTATGACAGACTAGTTGACTTACCCGGCTCCGCCCTGCCCTGTCATTATTTTATTCGTAATCAGCATGCTCGATTACACCCTGTGCCAACTCCCAGCCCCGTTGCTCAAATTTTGCAAAAAATCGATAAAATCGATATCGATCGATGACGAAAAGTAGCCTATGACGCCCGCCGGGGCCCGAAGTGTATGTGTGCCAGGTTTGGTCCGGATCGGTTCAGAAATGGAATTTTCTATTTGGAACATACGTACGTACAGACAGACAGACAGACATAAGACAGACAGACAGACAAAAAGACATTCAGCTTTATATATAAGATAAAAAAAACGGAAAGAACCGGAATGACTCAATATTAAGCATAGGGCTTACTCCACGCAGCTGACAATCACGAAAAAGTAGGGAGGATAATTTATGAGTCTTAAACCCAACAAAAACATGAAAAGGATAAAGTAACAGTTGGATAGATTAACAATTACGAAGAAGGAAAAGGTAAGGATTAAAACAATAAGACCGCAGATTTCTTGGAGACTGACTATCGCATCCAGTTCAATGTGCTTCGCAAGTAAATGTCCCAAACGAAGGCTTTACTAATGGAGAAGACATACGCAAGCGTTGAAAGCTTTGCTAATGCAACGTTCAGACCACGAGTTTGCACCCACTTCTCAAATTGAACAACATACCTTCGTCAGGGATTAGAATGCATAGAAAGCATGACAGCCTGGCGCTATTTGTCAACTTCCTGTTGACCTGATCACATACTAAAATTACTGCCTAAAAGGTGCGAACGCTAGTCCCGAAATAACTGGAGCGGTAGTAATCTCCCACGTCTCATCAATCAATCAATCAACCACTCCAAAATTTCCGCTAAAACGGCCGAATTTTTCATCGTTTGGCCTTTTGTAAGGTCGTCGTTGTTTTGTATGCAAGTTGAATTTTCTAATCGCTTGGTCTCGATCAGCACCGCCGCAGTCTTACATCTCCTCCGTCGTCGTTGTTTTGTATGCAAGTTGAATTTTCTAATCGCTTGGTCTCGATCAGCACCGCCGCAGTCTTACATCTCCTCCAAGATCTTGTCCTTGTCCATTTTGCGTCTTCGTTGTGCACGACGATCAGCTGTTTTTGCAAATTCTAAATTTCACCATACACAGCATTGATCATGCATACACGCAGAAACCACTTTCTCTAGCATTTTTTGCAAGTGGATTGTTTATCTGTGGTCGATTGGATAGCGTGCTAGCGCTTGAGGTCAATGCATGGAGGTTCGAGGGCGCGTGAAGGGAAAGTTTTGCGGCGTATGCCAGTAATCAGTCTGCGGGTTCACGCCAGAGTTGGCATCTTCTTAGGATATGTGCGAACTTGCCGGCATCTCTGATGTTATTAAATACCCCTGAAACTAACAAAGTTGCTGATTGGGCTCTTCTTTGAGGAGTTTCAAAGAAATTAGTTCCAGCGATGCCACCTGATGCGTACTAACAAGAAAGCAAGCTGGCGTACTTGTAAGCACCTCTAGTAGACTCGTCAGCAACAGTATAGCCAGATTAAAGAGTCAAGCCAATTTTTTTCTGAAAGAGGCGATTCGTTTAGATAACACTCATTTACTGAACCCTGCTGTAGCGGACGACAATCAAGAGTATTATAGGTGTACACGTTTGCAAAATGGTATACTAGATGGTAACCTTTCAAAGCAGACCGCTCAAGAAATTGTCGCACCCGCGGCCGAACGGTTCCTTCTGACACCGCGCTGATCTTATATTCTTAGATAACCGTGGTCCTATTGATGCATTCAAAAACTGCGGCCCGTTTCTTCGGAACACCCACGGCCAAAGAAAAAACGCTCGAGCATAATTAGCCCAGAGCTCATCGAATTATTGCAGTAAGCAAGTTCTGGCCTTTATCATCTATCTTGATTCAAATCCGCGGGTTAGAGAGCGCTATATTATTGGAGCCTTCCCAAGTTACGGCTTAATAGAATCACTGGCAAGGCCAGAATTTGCTTGACCTCACAATTTTACGCACTGCAAGCGGAAAGGTTACTTTGCAAATACGCCGCAGTGATAAAGCTGTCCGTTTGAGGGCAGTGGCTTGGAAATATTGACTGCAAGTTTTCCATTCCTCCTTGGCCTTCTGTGGCCGTGTTCATCAACGAAACCAGTGGCTCCACAACCCATTGGGTAGGCTCAATCCACAAAATCGGTATTCACGAAACTATGGGTTCCGGAACCAATGGTTGAGCCTACTCAGTGGGACCAACAGCCACTTAACCGGTATTCACGAACGAACCCAGTGGGTTCGCGAACCCAAAAGTCAAGCATACCGGTATTTACGAAACAAGTTACCCAGTTCTCATGGATTCCGGAACCCACTGAGCGCTGAATTGGCGAACCAAGCATGGTGCAAATTCCTCTGTGGGTTACATGCGAACCCAGTACTTTTGCTGAATATTGCGCGGTCTTATATAAGCAGGGATGGTTAATACTAGCGACACATATAAGTTAATAACACTTTCCATATTTTTTATGACTGATAGAAATTTTGTTGGATAAATTTTGATAAGATATTCCACTGAGATGTGGACCAGCAAACTTGATGCCAATCATAATTTGGCAATCTTTGAAAAGTAGCAAACAAGCTTTTTACGGAGATTTCTGGTGAAAACGTGAAAGCCTCTACATTTTTCGATGTTTGTGCATATCATCTCGGAATTTTTTAGATACTGCTGCGGCTCAAAAGGGAGCCTCATATAGGAAGCAGAGCGTCTGCCTGCATTTGTGTTATGTATTTGGTTGTCCGTATTTGTTCACGTTTGTCTATGTTCGTTTATTCCGCAGATTAGTAGCGGAAAAAAGTTTCTAATCAAAATCATTTGTTCCTTTTTTTGTGGAGTGAAAAGTGGGAGGGGAACAAGTAGTAATCATGTTAGTCACGTATTAGTTTTCATGATGGTGAGAATTCTGTACAACGATTATCCCTTTGCACATTTCAATCCAAGGAAAACGTACTTCTCCTACTCTTCGGGCGCCCTCGCCAAGAAATACAAAAAGATAATTTAGACAATTTTCACAAAGGCTATTTCATTTGTCACCCCCAAATTTAATCCCTTTTCTCAAGCCAAATGAAACCGCTCAAACAAAAAATCTAAAAACTGATAGAATTGCTGCTTTCGATAATAATTAATTTATTAGTGACACAAGCACCAAGTTGCACCAAGTTGCACCAAGTACCCTGCACCAAGTTTGGACAAGTTTCCCCAAAAAGCCCAGTACGCACTTTTTATATTTTGACGCCTGAGGGAACGGCCATATGCCGGCAACGGTTATCGAGGTTGTCGAGGTTGTCGGGGTTGCCGAGGTTGTCCGTGTTGCCAGGATCAGAGACAGCTTAGAGAGCGCACGAAACTTGGAGGCTATCGTGAGGTCCTACAACGACCGGCAACTTCGGCGACCTCGGCAACCCCGACAACCTCGACAACCTCGACAACCGTTGCTGGCAACCTATGGCCGTTGCCTAAGTCAAAAGCAATGTCATTTTGACCGGGATCAAAACAAATGTGAATGAATATGACACAAATCAAGCAAAAACGACTTTAGCGCTTCCTGCGAATGCCACATTGTCACTGATGTGAGGATTCCGTTTAAAAGGCGTACGTATACTTGTTATGTATAGCAAAAACGTCACTAAAATAAAACTTAGCTACGCCTCGCACCATGACAATCGTTTCAATCTACGTTGATTCATGTCAGCTATGCCATGCAATCCTTAAAAGTATGGCTAATATTCTCCTTACGAGGTAAGAAACAATGCCAAAAGAAAGATCACTTGCACAAAAAAGCGTAGAGCCCAAGCAACAGTCAAGTCTGGGTCCTAGAGAATACTCAAATAGAGAAGGATAAGGAAATGCAAGTTTTGTCGCACAAAAAACATTGATTGATACCATTCCGGACATAAGAGTTCCCGAAAGCGTATCAAGCGTACTGGCGCTTTTAGTTTAGCGAGATTTCTGTGTGTCAGAGATATGTAAAAATAGTAGACAGACTGGAGAGGCACATTGGTGACGTCACGGGTTGGCGAACCCAGCCGGGCACTAGTGAATAGCGATCTTACCCGATGTCCGCGAACCCAATGGGTTCCGAAACCCACTGGGTTCGTTGATGAATACGGCCACAGGACTGTGCTTGAAATTCTCAAAGTTGTCAAAAGTGCTTTTTAAGCGTTTTGCCGCCTAGAAATTGCTGAAAGGGCGACAGATATGAAGAGCGATTGACTGCCTGAGCCAATCAGCCAATTGCCCCCAGAATGGGTAGGAGAAATTTCACCGATACGCTTTCCTACCGTTGGTCGCTGCTTCTGGCAGGAACCTCTCGTTCAGTCCCTTCAGCAATTTCAGAAGCCACAAAATGCCTCAAAAGGCACTTTTTTGAAACTTTGAGGGCACTTAAAGGCAGTGGCTAGGCAGAACTGAACATGCCGGAGTTTTAATATGGTAGCTTGCTTACATCTTAAAGGCAGTGTCCAGGCTGAACCTAACCCCCTCCGATTGGTGTCGGTTCTGAATGTAGGCCCCAGAAAAGGGGCATCTGCGTTGGTCCGGTCTTCTAACGTTGTCTCTGAATGGAGACAAGGGGCCTGAAAGTCCCTGGCTGGGCGGAGTCTGATATCAGACTCCGCCCACCAGGGACTGCTCACTACCTTGTCAATACGTGCCTCCCGACACGTATTGACAAGATAGTGAGCAGAAGCTGCACACTGCACACTGCAATGCAACTGCACCCATGCAGTTGCAGCTCCTTCCCGCTGGACTACCGACGGGGACGAGCAATTCGGAACTCGTCCGCGCCCTCAAGACTGGGTCCCCAAGAATCGGATTTTTTGTGAATTTTAGAGAGTTTGAAGTTCGGAACTGTAATCAGGGCCACGGAAAGGCTCCAGAATGACGAAAACATGGTGGGTTAAATTCTGGGTGGACGCTGCCTTTAAATATGAAAACAGAGCTAGTCTGAACGCACGCCATGCTGCACCTGCCAAGAAAGCTGCCCCCTGTCAAGAAAGCTGCACCAAACCCGTGTGCGCAAGCATTCATACACGCAATGGGACGAGCTTGCGATTCCCCTTACCGTAATAGGTGGCATGCTGCAATGTTATAACCATAAAAGTCCCGCAACGACTCTGCGTCTCCAGCCTTGGGGGTAAATGTTGTACTCGTCCAAATTCAAAACGAAGGGCCTCGAAAAATGCTTGCTCTAGCCATTTTCGCGCTCGTTGTGAATTGGGATGGAGAAGAATAGGTCGCCAAGGGGCCTTTACCCGCGCATACCTAACGGTCAGGCTGTAGTGGAGAGAAACAACTGTTGCAGATGTCGGAGCGGGGTTTCCTCTTTCGGCCACCTAATTTCCTCTACCCGGTTTTCGGGATCATCTCGTCGGATTGACCATGGACCCCAGTTAAGCAAAAGAATTGAGTTGAGGATTTTCCGAGCCACTGCCTTAAGGTGATGGCTATTCTCTCTGTCTCTGACTGCAGTAAGATCAAAGTTCTGATTTTTGATAGTGTCTAAAATGAGTGCAGTTGGGATTACGTGACTTCGAGGTGGTTTGTCAGCCCTCGCGAAGGCTGGCTTAGATGTCGCAACGAAAAGAAATGAGATCTTCATGTGAATCGGTGTTCAGAAAAATTCAAGAGATGAACTAGACAAATGTCATTCTCAGACAGTCGACGGCATACCTCCGGAGCAGAAATTAGAGCCGCGGGGTTTCCCCAGCGGGGGTTTGCCACTCGTGCTCCGGAGCCCTCCCATTTTGTGCTCTAGAGACCTCCCATTTTGTGCTCCGGAAACCTCCCATTTTGTTCCGGAGACCTCCCATTTTGTGCTCCGGAGACCTCCCATCTGTGCTCCGGAGCCCTCCCATTTTGTGCTCCGGAGGTGTCCCAAATCTGGCGTACCTCCGGAGCGCAAATCTGTGCTCCGGGGCTCTCCCAAATCTGGCGTACCTCCAGAGCAGAGATTTGCAAGCCCGCCGGAGGGGTCCCATCTGCCTTCTTGTGACGTCATCGTGACGTCACAGAAAGGGACCGCCCCCCCGCCCCGCTCTCAAGGGTCATTTGGATCCTCCGCAGCTCTGCTAGATTTCGACTGTCCTCCGGAGCTACGGCACCGATTGTCTGAGTTAAGGCGAGAGCTCGAAATTTTGATAAACTATGGATTCGGCGCTACCTGGCAGGACTTTTAAGACCGTGAATTAGCTTGATTGGGATAAGATGGTATTATAAATACCGCCCCTGATCGCACAAGTCAACAAAAGCATACCCTTTGCTTCAACGAGATCGGCGGCTGGAAGGCGGGGCTCCGTGACTTAATTAAGGCTAAAAAATGATCAGAGAGCATGTTCGGAAGGAGGCGCAGATTGCGTCGCAGACGCGAGCAGGCGCCTCCTAGGTCATGAAGCTCCGCCTTCCAGCAGTCAATCTGGTTAAAGCAAAGGGTATAATACATCTCACCTAGAGAAGCGTGAAAGTGTTGGCTACGCTTACGTAACCTAAAAGGATGATAATCTGCAAAGAAAAACTGAGAAATACTTAGTGAATACTCGACATAGTTACGATAGATGGCCTGCAGTGGTTACATACAGGGCTTATCAAGTGCAGTGTCGGGTGTCATAAGTATCTCCACTGCGCGGGACTCTGCAGCCTTTCCATGAACATGCTCTCTAATCATGTCCAACTGATTGAGGCTCCGCCTTTCCCAGGTTCACGGTGGGAAAGTGATCAAAGACCATGTTTGCAAAAGAGGTGCAGGGTCCAGGCGAGGCAGCCGCGGAGAGGCTGGTGCACGCGACAGTGCAGTTGATAGTCCTGCATATCACTTTGGCGCGATCATCTTTTCATTTCAGAAGTTCGAAAGCAAAAAAATCTTTGAAGAAGTCGTGGATGCAATTTGCAACTATGATGTCTCTGATCTTTAAGGATTATAGTGTAGAATTGAATAAGTTACGATTTACATTGTACTATACTACTAAAACACTCTGAAATAAATTTCATTTGAATGTGGAATTCTTTGTCCTCTCCTCACATGAGAATTTTGAAAGTTCTTTTTTGACGCTGCCAAGCTCACTAAAAGGATTATATGGCAAAAAATTACCATTTCTACAAAATAAAGAACATAAAATTTTGAGTCTTGCTTACGGGGAAAGGATACTGGTGATCGTAGCGATTTATAAATAGATGTATACTAATAGAACAATGTTGGACGTTAAAACCCTGTCTTGTTTGTCCAGAAACAAGTTTCTAGACAAAGTTACATAGCTTCTCCAAGAGCAATTTGTAGTGTTGTTAAAGGTCAAAGTTGCGATTTTCTCTCTCTTTCGTCCATCAAATTTAGTATAATTCCAGTTCAGTGATGTCATACTGCTTTAGTTTCTGCTTTATTGTGAGTAGAGTTAACTACCACCCTATGAGCAACTAGCCCAATACCGATAACTCTTGAATTCAAGCGAACTTTGCAAGAAAAACGCTCACGAATGCGAAAAAGCATTTTGCAGGTGATAAGCAAAGCTCTGAAATGAGCATTTGGCTTACCTTACCGGTCATAGTCACATGTATTCTTTTCTCGTTGAAGAGTAGTGAAAATGGGCAACATTTGTAGTTTCTGCCTGAAAGAGCCTTATACAAAACTGTTTATGAACATTGTTTCTGTAGTGTTTGAGAATGAAGCGAGATTTCAAAATTGCAAGTCGCTGTAAAGGTGTAGTCAATTAGACGATACCGTTGGGGAAAATCAAAATTTTTCATCGAATGAATGAACACCGAAAAAATTCGAAAATGAAAAATTTTGAATAAATGAATATTGAATGAATTTAAGAATTGAATTTTTTTCGAACGAATGATTTCCGAATAAAAACGGGAAATCAAGAATGTCGAATAAATGAATAATTGATTATATTTGAACATTGGAAGTCGAATTTCGAATAAGTATTTGAATGATATATTGAATAACTAGAGGTAACTAGAGCATCATGTCTGAAACTTGCTGACATACCCGGCTAAAGCCGAAATATTTTTAAGCAGCACCCACACACCAACTCCCAGCTCCGTAACTCAAGATTTTTCAAAAATCGGTAAAATCGATAGAACGAATTTTCATTCATAATTAGGCACCCTTACTTACTCTCCTGTATCAACTCCCAGCCTCGTAGCTCTAGATCCAAAGACGGATGAATCGATAAAGTAAATTTTCACTCATAATCACCACCCCCATTTACCGACTGCGCCAACTCTCAGCCCCGCAGCTTGAAGTTATCCAAAAATCGATAAATGCCTGCTGCTGCATGCAGTGCCTGCTTATCGGAAACTTTCGTCTTGTGTGGTATAAGCTAGTCGTGGACGAAAGCATGTGGTTTATTCCGCGAAGCGAGAACGAATGTCCCTATAGCCCCGCTACTTCAGGCAAATGTAGTGGAGACGTGGTTTGGCAATAGTCGAATTGTTCACTACATATCGTAGGCGCACTCTAAAAGTACAGAAAGCAGGACATTCATCTATTTAGAAAGCTATATACACTATACATCTGTGGTAAGCTACCGCTACATTTGCAGGCATCTGGGCCTGTCATAAGTAAAGCTCGTACTTCTCGATTCACCATAATTCTTAGGCTGATAACGCCCGGTATTAAAATGCCTGCAAGTCTCTGTAAAAATCTTGATTGCATTGTTAATAAAACTATCATGTACAATTTACTCAACAAAATTTTATTGCAGGGTGATGTAATTGCAAAATTCAGCAATCATTTAATCCGCCACTACAACTGCAATGTCCTTTACTTAAAAAAACCCCGTCATTCGCGAAAAATCTCTAAGATAAAGAATAGAGGCAGCTGTGCAACATGAGTTTTCATAAGTAAGAGTGCTCACTAGTGTAACTAGAGAAACGGGCATGTCATCACACTCGTACTAGGACCATGAATTTGAATTCGGTAGCTGTTGTTTGCTGATCTGGTGCCAAAAGCAGTGCGAACTATCTCATTGATCGATAAAGCAATCAATCAAAATCCATATCCAATTTTGAACTGTCGCAAGGAGATGGAGAATTGCGAGTTTCCATACAGTTCGAAAGTGATCACGGCTGCTAAAAGGTGCATTATCGAGTTTTGCGGAAAAAAACGCAGACGAAACGAGTTTGGTACTCAGCAGTTGGCTCTGCAACAAACTCGAAGAATTTGAATACGGATTTCATTCAAATACGAGTTCGAATAAAACATTCGGATAAAATCTTCGAAACCCTTTTTTTAATTGTTTGAGTTGTCGAATTTTATCCAAATCCTCGTTTTTTGATTTTTCGAGTATCGAGTTTTGTTCCAAAATGGAAAAACTCAGAATTTCAAATTTCGAATGTGAATATATTTGAATGTTTTATTCGAATGATCGGATTTTTATTCAATTCGAACTTAACTATACAATACCGCTCATAATTCGTCAAAAAAGTCGCCGGACTGCGGCGCACTCCGCCACACTCCGCCGCAGTGCGCCGGAGTGCGGCAGAGTGCGCCACACTCCGCCGCAGTGCGCCGGAATGATCGTCAATCTAGCCATATCTCGCTTCAGAATAGACGAATCCTGAATCCGAGGACACCGTTCGATTCAGCTCGGCGAGACGCATCATCTTATATATGAAGCTGAACGTCTGTTCATCTGTTTGTCTGTACGTATGTTCCGAATAGAAAAGTCCATTTCTGAACCGATCCGGACCAAACTTTGCACACATACACTTCGGGGCCGGGCGGGTGTCATAGGCCACTTTTCGTCATCGATCGATATCGAATTTATCGATTTTTATCGGTTTTTTTGCAGAGTTCACCTACGGGGCTGGGAGTTGGCACAGGGAGAGGGTAAGTGAGCATGGGGATTCCGAATACAATATTAGTTTGCAGAATTATCGATTATTATCTTGGTTGAATTCAGTGTGCTGATAACAGTATTACCATTGATCTGTCGCTGATGACACATAGACAGTATACTACAGGAGTATGGTAGAGAGCCACTCTAATCGAATTTGTTCTAAGATCTGCTCAAGATCACAATACCGCCCACAGAATGTCAAAATTTCCGTGATCTTCACGGAATTCCGGGATTTCCGCCAGAGTGCGCGATAATCCGGGAAGTTCGCGACATTTCAGGATCCGCGAAACCATGCGAAACCGCAGAGTACGCAACGCCATAACTTCCTTCGGAATGAATATATTCCGAATCCAGAAGCAGCATTGTATTCAGACCGTCGAGGCAAATATTATAATATACAGTATGCTCTCGATATTCCATTTCCAGTTTTTTCAAATTTTTTCTGTGGAGGTCCTTTCGCAAGAATGTAACGCAGCGTCTGTGTAACATAAAAGATTCCAGTAAGCACTGTTCGATAGTACTGTCCTCGTAGGTTATCGTGCGTTCAAGAGTAGCTGCAGACTGTCTTCCAAAAGAGATAGAAGCGTTGGTGAATTTTGGAAAAATCACGCGTTTCTAAATTCTACTCGCCGTAACTTTTTTCGGAATGAACATATTCTGAATTCGAAGAAAGCTTTGTGCTCACATCAAGGCAAGTCTTTCGATGTACAGCGTATCCTTGATATTCCGATTTCAATATTCTCAAATCTTTCTGTAGACGTCTTTTCGCGAAGGTGTAAAGCAGCGCGCATTGCCCCTAGTAGACTCCAGCAAGGAGCTTTCGATAGTACTTTTTCTGTAGATTACGTAGCGCTAAAAAGTAGTCACAGGCATCTTTCCAATGGAGGTAAAAAAGCTGGTAAATCGTAAAAAAAATCTTGTTGTCCCAAATTGTACTCGTCGCAACCCTAGAATACGAGGCTATCTTGCTAAGCAGATGTGAGTTGTAATCACCAGGTCGGATAACCCTTATGAACAAGTTTTCCGAGATGTTCGGGTGATTTCATTTTTTCTTGTCTGATGCTCTGAAGCTGGTCGGTGGATTTTGGTCAAAATGTTGATGATCTTCAATTGTTAAGAAACGTCGCTCATAGAGGTTTTCGAACACGCTGCTTATGAAAATCGTGTTCTCTGTCAAGTATAAGGTCTTTTTGCAGAGATATGGTGAGTGCAACGGATTCACGAAAGCTCGTAACTTCGCCTCCACCTCTCACGTATGTCAAAAAACTGTGTGTACGTATGTCAAAAACCTCTGTCAAAAAACTTGCCTGCTTGCTTTTCTAGTCAAAGTTACTAGGAGATGTGCTATCGAATGGCGCATGACTCAGGCTCCATTCTATAAAATTCGCCGAGTTACGAGCCTACGAAAACACGTTCTCATGAATTTTGCCCAAAATGTAAAGATCGCAAATTTCATCGAAATTCCTCCGTGAGTGCTTGTACAACACGCTGATCAAATCTTTTCACATTCTTAATGGATCTTATTGTGTTAGATTTGGTGGTTTGAGCTCTAGCCACAAAACAGCTTTGATATTCAATTGCTGAAGCACACGCAAGCACCATATTCAATACAGTGGAGTCATTGAGCGAAGCGAACATAATATCCGCAATGCGAGTGTCATACAAGCACTCACGGTGGAATTTCGACAAAATTTGCTATCTTTACATTTTGGGCAAAATTCATGAGAACGTGTTATCGTAGGCTCGTAACTCGGCGATTTTTATAGACTGGAGTTTGAGTCTTGCGCCATTCGATAGCACATCTCCTAGTAACTTTGACTAGAAAAGCAAGCAGGCAGGTTTTTTGACAGATACGTGAGAGGTGGAGGCGAAGTTACGAGCTATCGTGAATCCGTTGCACTCACCATATCTGTGCAAAAAGACCTTATACTTGACAGAGAACACGATTTTCATAAGCAGCGTGTTCGAAAACCTCTATGAGCGACGTTTCTTAACAATTGAAGATCATCAACATTTTGACCAAAATCCACCGACCAGCTTCAGAGCATCAGACAAGAAAAAATGAAATCACCCGAACATCTCGGAAAACTTGTTCATAAGGGTTATCCGACCTGGTGATTACAACTCACATCTGCTTAGCAAGATAGCCTCGTATTCTAGGGTTGCGACGAGTAGAATTTGGGGGCAACAAGATTTTTTTACGATTTACCAGCCTTTCTACCTCCATTGGAAAGATGCCTGTGACTACTTTTTAGCGCTACGTAATCTACAGAAAAAGTACTATCGAAAGGTCCTTGCTGGAGTCTACTAGGGGCAATGCGCGCTGCTTTACACCTTCGCGAAAAGACGTCTACAGAAAGATTTGAGAATATTGAAATCGGAATATCAAGGATACGCTGTACATCGAAAGACTTGCCTTGATGTGAGCACAAAGCTTTCTTCGAATTCAGAATATGTTCATTCCGAAAAAAGTTACGGCGAGTAGAATTTAGAAACGCGTGATTTTTCCAAAATTCACCAACGCTTCTATCTCTTTTGGAAGACAGTCTGCAGCTACTCTTGAACGCACGATAACCTACGAGGACAGTACTATCGAACAGTGCTTACTGGAATCTTTTATGTTACACAGACGCTGCGTTACATTCTTGCGAAAGGACCTCCACAGAAAAAATTTGAAAAAACTGGAAATGGAATATCGAGAGCATACTGTATATTAAAATATTTGCCTCGACGGTCTGAATACAATGCTGCTTCTGGATTCGGAATATATTCATTCCGAAGGAAGTTATGGCGTTGCGTACTCTGCGGTTTCGCATGGTTTCGCGGATCCTGAAATGTCGCGAACTTCCCGGATTATCGCGCACTCTGGCGGAAATCCCGGAATTCCGTGAAGATCACGGAAATTTTGACATTCTGTGGGCGGTATTGTGATCTTGAGCAGATCTTAGAACAAATTCGATTAGAGTGGCTCTCTACCATACTCCTGTAGTATACTGTCTATGTGTCATCAGCGACAGATCAATGGTAATACTGTTATCAGCACACTGAATTCAACCAAGATAATAATCGATAATTCTGCAAACTAATATTGTATTCGGAATCCCCATGCTCACTTACCCTCTCCCTGTGCCAACTCCCAGCCCCGTAGGTGAACTCTGCAAAAAAACCGATAAAAATCGATAAATTCGATATCGATCGATGACGAAAAGTGGCCTATGACACCCGCCCGGCCCTGAAGTGTATGTGTGCAAAGTTTGGTCCGGATCGGTTCAGAAATGGACTTTTCTATTCGGAACATACGTACAGACCAGTGGCGTACCGAGGGGGGGGGCGGGGGGGGGGGGCGCGCGCCCCCCCCCCCGAGAATGGGTCGCGAAATTTTTGAAAGTTACTTATATGGGTTATAAAAATGTGCAAGTAACTTGTTTATAATTGTAAATAATTAAAATAAATTTTAAAAATTTTTAAAAATTCAATTTAGCCTTGTGAAAAAAAATTTTTCGGGGGCGTGGCTGACGCCACGCCCCCTTTTTCCAGATTTCAGGGGTTGGGGACCCGCAAAAATTTTGAGAAGCACCCCTAAAAAATTTTCGGAGTGCGTGGCTAAGGCCACGCACCTTCATTCGAAAAAAATTTTTGTCGCGCCCCCCCCCCCCCCCCCCCAGCGGAAATCCTGGGTACGCCACTGGTACAGACAAACAGACAAACAAACGTTCAGCTTCATACATAAGATGATGCGTCTAGCTGAATCGAACGGTGTCCTCGGATTCAAAATTCGTCTATTCTGAAGCGAGATATGGCTAAATTGACGATCATTCCGGCGCACTGCGGCGGAGTGTGGCGCACTCTGCCGCACTCCGGCGCACTCTGCCACACTCCGGCGCACTGCGGCGGAGTGTGGCGGAGTGCGCCCCAGTCCGGCGACTTTTTTGACGAATTATGAGCGGTATTGTAGTAGACGACCGAGTAGGATCAGTGTGAGGCTGGAGACCTTTGTTTTTCCTGATTTCATGCCTTCTGATTTTTCTAGGTAATTCCTAGATTTCCACTTTTGCAATTAGTTTCCTACACAAAAGCAGCAAACAAAAATAAACTTTTACACGTAGCGCATTTTACACGGAAAAGAATGTTTTCGAGGAAGAATGCAAAGTTTTCAAAACCCTCACTTTGTATGTACGCGATCAACTGTTCGAACGATAGGATCGAACATCTTCATGCAACGCTCAGATGTTTACATACATCTCGACACTTCCGTTGCCTAATTACGCCAAGAATTTTCCATGACGTTCCGAACTTTGAGAAGGGCAATCACATGGGTAAATCAAGAAAAACTAGTAAGCAAATATAAAGGACTATGGTAGCAAACGAACGCAAATTGTGTCAACTTTGGAGGACTTAGGGTAGAGAACACTCAAAAAGTATTAATCATCAGATTATCACGTATATTTAACATACAAACAGTTATTTCTGCTAGAATGAGATTTCCTCGAACAGCACGACTATATGATAATAAAGTAAATCCTATCACTCTAATTTTACACGTATAAGGCGCGGGGAATTTTTTTCCAAAATCGACCAGCCCAGACAAGCCAAAGGACTTCACAACCAAAGGACCCTATAATGTGCTGTATATTGCTTCAGAGAATCGTGCGATGTAAGGATTTCTTTCCGGAATACAGTGAAGCGGCTGAGCGGCTCGCTTGAAAATTCGAAAAAGTGCGCCTTATACGCGTGAAATTAGGGTACTAAAAATTTCAAAAACTGAGGAGTTTCTGCGCAACAAATAATTTTTTCTTACAGATGTTTACTTATTGCCCTGAGAACTAGTTATGCAGTTTCCTTACCAAATCTCGGTGGCGGTCCTAGAAACATTTCAAGAGTGAAAAGGGAGGGGTGTGGGGGGGGGGGAGGATATCGACAAAAATCTGCGAGTGCAAGGAGATAATTATTCAAGCCTTTCGAAAAAAATTTTGGGATCCTTTGACTTCAGCGATCTGTACCCTCAGTTCTTAAGAGGGTGACATCAGCCAGCCCCTGAAAAATTTTACAAATTTAATTCGAAATTTGAGAACGCTCGAAAAATTTGAATTACTTGCAAATATTAACAAATCACTTGCACAATTTGATAATCATGTAGTTTTCAAAAATTTCGACCTCTGCGCGAGGGGGGGGGGGGAGGGTACTGCTTGTCGACCACTGTCTCCCTAACAAAACAATTCACTTAAGGAAGTGATGTCCGAAAATGCGGCCCATGTTTGATTTTGACGAGCCACACGTAGCGAGACGAAAGCACGGTGCGAAGCAGAGATCAGCATCACTCGCGCTGTTTGTTGTCCGAGTATAAAGAGCCGTGCACTTCGCCACTGACCCTCGAACACCCCTCGTGCTCTGTTAGAACATTCGGCGGGTTTTGCAGTAACCCGCATCACAGTAGCTGCTATGTGGATATTTTTCCTGTTATGGCTACTTCTACTTCAAGTGCAAGCTCAGCAAGAAGTACAACTTCCGACTGAGGAACAACAATTGTTTGCTCTTCTCACTTTTCTCCCAGATGTTGAGCCATTGGTACCACCACCCGAGCCACCGGGGCCTTGGCGACCCCGACCCCCAGGTATTTCGCATATATTTGTTCAAGGTATTAGGAAAGCTTCGACTTGCCTTCAATAGTAAGTTGGATGGATTGGAAGCTTTATTAACGAGGAATATTTTTAGAGAGAAACATATATTATAACGCAGTAGTCCACACAAATTACAGTCTGTGTCAATCATGTGCTCCCTTTTCCTATGCGCTCGCTACGCTAGAATTTCGTGCTACGTCCGCGCACGCATGGCTTGAGTATTCAGATTGCCCCCATCGATTGGACTGTATGCAGAAAATTGCACACTTATTGATCAACATTAGAACATAGACATCACAAGTTATCTCTCTCACTTTATAATCTGAATTAGAAAGAATACTTATCCTGCATATTTTTACTACTATCTCTTGAAGTAGAGCACTATGAATTATGGCACTCTCATTTTTGAGTTGGAAATCTCTCCTAGAATCCATCTATCGCCAAATAATTTAAAATGTACGAATTGCACACTACGCGCGCTACTTCACGACTTGTGAAAACAGAACCTCCTCATAGGATTTCTCCTCCTTTTCTTTTCTCTTCTGGATATGTATTAGGTTGTAGCACACACTCTCACAATTTCTTCCAGTAGAACAGGTTTTAATGGTAAGGTGTCGCCGGTTGCTGCGCGCAGTGTGCAAACTCACATTTGATTTACGATTGACTCGCGCATTGGTGATTTCGATTTTATAAACTAATGACCAATCACTTCATTGAGGGAAACTTAGCTATACGCGCAATCCAGTTTTCATTATATGCATGTGAATCCTTTTTCTTCTCCTAAGTTCTAGCGAGCCACGAAAATCATTGAGAATCAGTGTCTATCGCAATCTTTCAGCCAATCAGACTTCACAAATTCCCTAAAAAATTTGTTTTGGGTATTTTTGGGGTCAAACAACTCACACTACTTTTTAATGTGTACCAATTCCTTCAATAAATTCCTTCAAAGTTCAAAGATTTCGTATCTGGAGAAAAATTTCTCAAAAGGCATGCTCGCTATTCAACTTTATGTACCACCTAATAAACCAGATCCTAAGCATTTTATCTGGAATTTCATGATTAGAATAGCAATTCTGATCCTCTGTTTTTGGTGATTCTAAACTGCACGATTGATTTGAGGAATTAAGTTTCGAAGAAAAATAATAGATATGTGTTCCTCTAATCATTAGTCACTTCCTGTCTCTTCGGAACTCCGGTAAAATGTTGTTTTGGATTGACTAAGCACAAGAAAAAAAGCGATTTTTTCCGTTATTCCACATGTCTCGGCGAATTTCAAAAACGTAGGAAAAATAGAAGCAAACTGCATTGAATGATACCTCAGTTATCTGCTACTGTTATTGCTTCGTAGATTCTGTGATTAGTCAAAAAAAACGAGAAAATTCTGCAGTCATTTAATAAGTGCGACTTCTATTGTGAGTTCAGTCCAAGCTGCCAACTGCCGAATTTAAAGCAGATTCGTAAAAAGCATGACGATTATGAGATCGAGTATGAAGAATATGAAATAGTGGTGATTATATAACTTTGACTTCAACGTAGGCATAAAGATACTTTTAAGACAAGTGACTAGAAAAATATCATCTTTTTGATGCAGGACCTCGAGACGGTTGCTCAAAATGGGGTCAGTGGCAGCAAGTGACGTGTTGGTGGCCAGATCAGCCATTGTCCTCACTAGCACCGGCTTGCGCCAACACACCAAATCGAACAAGATTTCCAGATTATGTGAATAAGGTATGAGCTAAAATTTTCGCTTGTCGAAGTTTTCTTATGCTTTTTTTCTCAGCTCATACAAGCCAAGTCTGAGGAAAGATACGCAATGATTGTGGATGAGTACACGAGGAGAGGCAAACCGCCAAAGTGTGGGTACTGTAGCAGAAGCTTCGAATGTCGAGCAAGAAATGACACTGAAAGCAGACATCCATGCTCGTGAGTTAATTGCCTAAATCTCTAGATTTTGAAAAAGATATCAAGTACTTCCAGGCTAAAAGAGGTTCGCGAAATCCAGAGAACCTGTGATGATTCTAAACCTTGCGAGCTGTCCCTTGAACATGGTGGCTGCCCATCTCCAGCGTTCCTGGGTAATGGACGAGCCGGTAAATTACAAAAGCTCCTGGGAAGGGGAATGTTTGAGGTTTGAAAATATCCTCTGTGATTGATCAGCTCACTTTAGAAGTGACATTTCCAGGACTTTGCACTGCAGTTCTACGATCTAAGTGGTATAGATGTGATGAGCACGAAATTCAATAGGAAAAGATCCTATGATGACTCAGAAAACTCAGTTTGGAATGATTTTGACATCGTTGAAGACGACGACAATGACGATGCTGATAGAAGAATCGATTTTAGGGAGGATTGGCCATCTGAACCGCGAATCCGCGAAAGATCAAGTCCGTTTGGTCCCGAACAAGATGAAAGAGACGATTGGCCATTGAAAAAGGAAGATCGGAACCGAGAAAGTGAAGAAACCTCTATGTTCCCAAGAGGAAGACCATTTCAACCCGGCCCTTCACCTTTTCACCCGCCTCAACCTCTACCTTTTGGATTTAATGGTCCATTCCACCCGGAACATTACGGAGAACCGGGACCGCACAGACGTAGACCTCCTGGCTTTGGTTTTGGACCACAAAGAGGAGCAAGCTTTTTTAGAACTGGACCATTCGTCTTTGGTGGCATGAGGGGGCCACCTCCATTCGGGCCAGAGCGTGCTCGAAGACAACCACCTTTCTTCGGGTTGGTGGACGGACCACTAAGTCCACCTCCATCTCCACGTGGTCTAAGAGGTGACGACTGGCCCCGTCCACCTCCACCATCCGGAAGCAATGATGAAAGGCCTCCTCCACCTCCTCTACCGCCTGGACCGAGACGTGAGGGACACCACCTTCCACCTCCACCACCTCCAGACAATGAAATGTTTTATCCTCCACCTCCAACACGTCGAATCAGAAATGGTGATTGGCACCCTCCACCACCTCCACCACCTGGGCCCAGAGGTGAGGGACCACATCCTCCACCTCCACCACCCGAAGCCCGTGATGAAATGTTCTATCCTCCTCCTCCTCCTCCATCACAAAGAAGCAGAAATGGTGATTGGCACCCTCCACCACCTCCACCACCTGGGCCCAGAGGTGAGGGACCACATCCTCCACCTCCACCACCCGAAGCCCGTGATGAAATGTTCTATCCTCCGCCTCCTCCTCCAACACGTAGAAGCAGAAATGGTGATTGGCACCCTCCACCACCTCCACCACCTGGGCCCAGAGGTGAAGGACCACATCCTCCACCTCCATCACCCGAAGCCCGTGGTGAAATGTTCTATCCTCCGCCTCCTCCTCCATCACGAAGAAGCATAAATGGGGATTGGTACCACCCACCTCCACCACCTGGGCCCAGAGGTGAGGGACCACATCCTCCACCTCCACCACCAGAAGGTCATGGTGAAATGTTCTACCCTCCACCTCCTCCTCCAACACGTAGAAGCAGAAATGGTGATTGGCACCCTCCACCACCTCCATCACCTGGGCCCAGAGGTGAGGGACCACATCCTCCACCTCCATCACCCGAAGCCCGTGGTGAAATGTTCTATCCTCCGCCTCCTCCTCCATCACGAAGAAGCATAAATGGGGATTGGTACCACCCACCTCCACCACCTGGACCCAGAGTTGAGGGACCACATCCTCCACCTCCACCATCTCCAGGCAGGAATGGTGAGTGGCCTCACCCACCTCCACCACCTGGATCCAGAGGTGAGGGATCTCATCCTCCACCTCCACCAGGCAGAAATGGTGAATGGCCGTATCCACCTTCACCACCCGAGGACAGAATCACCGAACATTCTTCAGCTTCACTGCAGGACATTGACGATACGTATCCCGAAGACACATTCAGGATGAGACGAGACTCATTCAGCGCATTCTTCGGAGCTCCCTTTTACGATGAAAGAAATGAACTTTATAATTTCATTCAGCGGCGATGGCGACGTAGTATCTCTGGACAATTAGGAGACTGGAACGCGTTTCTGAATAACTTTTTGGTTTCAAACACTACAGATTCTAACCAGATGATGGCTAAAGGAAAAGGTCGCTTACCGAAACCGCGCCGCAACAAGAAGCCACAGCTTTCAACTGATGAAACTCTCAACATGCTGAGTGAACTTTTATATGGCACAACCTGCGTAAGGTAAGTAATGACTGCTTATGACTAAGATAGGCAGAGATATGCATGTGAAAAATTTTAGAAAAAAGTTAATTAGTGCTTTACGATCGGTGGCTAATGACTCAGTGCTAGTGTATGCATTTTGCCTGCTCTATAACTGAGAAATGACGATAGACAAAACCACCAAAGCAAAAATGTGTTTCAGCTCTGGTGGCAAATGCTTGTGTTGCTGCGGTTCACATGTGCCGAATTTGTTGAGAGGAACATGTGAAGACATAAGGAGCATCATGCCTGGTATCGATAGCGCCTACCAAGAACTATCAAAACCAAGGAGAAAACAAGGTTAATAATTCCTTAGGAAGTCATTTACGCAGTAAACGTTGTATTTTCAGGTTGAAGACATGAACTTCTTAACCTCTGTAGTTTTGATACTGTGCCTTCTTAGTTTCTCTTTATTGTGCTCATCAATTTGCCATTGGTCAGTTATACGAGTATAAAGTAAAACTTATCTTAAACAGAAGAGATCTTTCGTTCAAACATGGTGCTCGTAAAGGTCAAAGCTGGGTGGGTCAAAGCTGGCTCGCAGAGGCAAGTGATATTTCACTGTGTGATTGCTCCTAAAAGTGCATATTATGGGCGCCGGAAACAACTTGTTTAGAGTAATCTCTTATGATAAGGTGTTGAAAAGTATTCCTAGTGTTCAAAAAGGTTGCGAAAAGAGGGATCCGCTCTAAGGTGACAATTTGATTGTAGATTTTCTCATGTACCACAATTACACGCTGTAAGGCGCGGGGGATTTTTTTTCCAAAATCGGCCAGCCCAGACAAGCCAAAGGACTTCACAACCAAAGGACTCTATAACGTGCTGTATATTACTTGAGAGAATCGTGCGATGTAAGGATTTCTTTCCGGAACACAGTGAAGCGGCTGAGTGGCTCGGTTGAAAAATCGAAAAAGTGCGCCTCAAACGCGTGAAATTAGGGTAACTAAACATACGACTTTACCAGAACCATTGTGTGTCTCTTGCTTTTGCATCTTTGGTATGGCTTTTTGCATACCTTTTGATAGACTAGCTGGCAAACCCGGCTCCGCCCGTCCCTGTCAATAACATATTCGTACAGTTGAATCATTTCACATGATCATGTCATTGCACACACTGCCCATTTTAGTGTTCCCGTCCTGGATTCTTTGAGCCGACAGCCCTTCAGAAACGTGTGGATGTGTTTTCGTTATTTTCTACTCTTTCTAAACACTAGTCACCTCGAGGTGATATAAGCGATAAGAATGGGTCAGAATCTTGCATTTTTGTGATTAAAATCCATCATGAGGACCCCAAAGATGGAAAGTGTGTACAATGCCACACATGACCATATAAAATGATTTGATTGTAAACGTGTCACTTACCCCCTGTGCCAGCTCCCATCCCCATAGCTCACTCTTTTTTGAAAATCAATAAAATCGATATCAATCGATGATGAAAAGTAGCCTATGACACCTGCACTGCCCCAAAATGTACCATTTGATTCAACTGGCTTGGCTTCGGGAAGGCGGGGCTTCGTGACCTACTTAAGCTAAGTAATGATCAGAGAGCACTCGCGCGAGAGAGACTCAGGTGCGCCGCGGGCGCGAGCGGCCTCGATTAGATCAACAAGCCGCACCTTCCTGAAGCCAAGCCAGTTGATTCAAAGGTTATGTGTGCAAAGTTTGGTCCGGATCGGTTCACAAATAAAAATATTTATTCGGGACATACGTACAGACACACACACATAGATACATACACACAAATAGATTTTTACATATAAGATATATTTGCGAATTCCAAAATGTTGACAAACAAGCTTTCTATCAAGTATTTTCGTTCAAAACAACTGCATAGTGTATCGCGATTGAAATGCACTATGCTTATGTATTAGGATTGTTTCATATTGCAGTCGCTGCAGCAACTGCAGTCACAGTGGGGCAGGCAAAAGATATTGATCGATCGACGGTCGGTGCTGCAGCGACTGCAGTATGGAACAACCCTTAGGGTGATCGGTAAAAATGGGGCAGCTTGATTTTCATTACATTTTGACTTTTTTGTTCTCACCAACAACAAGCAGGCTGCAACTCAAACGTCGCTTACATAAGCGACCTTCTTTACCGCTCCTCTCTCATAACCGTACGCGTTTCGCCATGAAGAACTCAGACAGGGTTTTTGGAACATTTTTGCGCTGCTATACCGTAAAGTCATAAAGCAATTGACATACCATTCAAAAGGGCTCTTCATGCTCTTACAAACAATATATTGAACCAGCCGCTCTCTGCCGCTACGCGGCAGGTGGTTCGGCTGGTATACGGCAGCTTCGCTTCCGGTAAATCTTTCGTTTTGTTCTTTATTGAAAGTGAAATGCAAAAAATTTGCCATTTTGCACGAACTACTTCGTTTATAACCGGCGCAGAAAGAACAACCGTGGACAATTTCGGCTTTGTCAGTTTATTTCGAATTAACACTAAGCAATGGATATTACGCGAACTGCGAAAAATCAATAAATTGAAAGGGTCGATCATTATAGTTGAACAAACGGCTCATTAAAACACATCCCACCCATGCGTCATGCCTGTCAAATTTGGTCTATATTCCATAACTCCTTCTATCGTTTTCAAGCAAAGATAATTTCTAGGCAAAAAGTGCAAAAATCCATAAGTCGATAGCAACAAACCGTGTCTATCGAACAAATGGCTTATTAACAACGGCGCACACCATGCATTACGTCTGCCAAATCTGCCTTAAATCCTATGATTCTTTTTCTATTCATCGTGAACGAACATAAAAAAGGGGTGAATCAAATCTATAAATTTAATCTATATATCTAATCTATATCTTTTTGGAAAGTGGTAGTGCTGGCGACAACGAAGGTATATTACGTGCACCGGGGCAAGCTCTTCTTGGGCCTCTGGTGCTTCCTGGCCATGATGAAGACGGTTATGTGCAGTTACGGAGCTCCGCATTGTGCCACGTGCTCGAGTTCTTTGCGCAATGTGCATCTGCGGAATGGGGGTGGAGGTAGGTGCCGGTTCAAACATCACTTGTTGCCGCGAGTCAAGCGTAAAGATCGTTTGTGCTGTGTTCGATTGGCTCGTATCCTCGTTGGCCAACCCGTTCTGGGCTCGCACCATGCCTGGATTGATCCAGTGTCTCCTGAAGGTGTCCGTTGCGCTGTCGTTCCTGATGCCGTCGACGAAGATGACGTTCACGCCTTGAGGCAAGACGCCGTTCTCGTTCCTCTGGTGTTTCTCGGCTACGACGAAGGGGCTACGCATGGCTTCAGAAGTGCGCCTTGCTGCGGCACGGGCTCGGGATCTCTGGGCAATATGCATCTGCGACTGAGGTGTGGAGGGGGACGGTCCATTGCTGGAGGGGGTCAATGTCGGCGCCATGGTCTCGGGAGTGACAGTAGTCGAAGGAGGTACGACCACGATGAAGGCATGGTATGAATGAACCGTAAGGCCGGGATAGGGTATTTTGATTTGGTGGTCATATTTGATCTCGCGGATGAACCATTCTGATTTTGTTGATGAGCCATGCAGTCGACGAAACCCGTTGCGAAAGGTGAATGCATAGTTAAATATCAGCTAGCCTACAGAATGTGGCATACAAAAAATTAAGAAAAAAGGTTCAAAAAGTTTAGTGGTTAAAGTTGTAGATAATTTATTCGAATTGACCATGCTTAGCTATCCCTTCCTGCCAGTTGCTCAACAAAGATTGAAACCCAAAATTCGATAAATCGATAACCCCTATGGTGAAAAAGCTTAGTGACACCGGCCCCACCCCGAAGTTCATGTGTACAAAGTTTCGTTTGAATTTAATGAAGTTTTCTAACATTTTAGGCCGGTCATAACGAAATTGCTAGGCAAAAAACGCAAAAAAAAACGATAAATCGATAGCGCCACTTGGCGATTTTCGGTGAAAAAGCCTAGTGACAACCGCCCCACCCCGAAGTTCATGTGTGCAAAGTTTCGTTTGAATTTAATGAAGTTTTCTGACATTTTAGGCCGGTCATAACGAAATTGCTAGGCAAAAAACGCAAAAAATCGATAAATCGATAACGCCACTCGGCGATTTTCGGTGAAAAAGCTTAGTGACACCCGCCCCACCCAGAATTTCATGTGTGCAAAGTTTCGTCCAAATTCCTTGATTCTTTCTACCATTTCAGGCCGGTCATAAAAAAAGTGCTTATTCAAATAAATGCTTATCCAAATATTATATAAGTATTGATTATATAAAGTATATTGATATACAGGATTTCTTTCTTCTGGATAAAAAAAGCGAAATACCTGAAAAATCGCAATTTTTTGGCGCCGAAAAAATAAATCATGTTTTGCCTTATATTTTCCGAAGATAGATAAACTCTGAGATAATCTGCATATGGATGGACCAGTGCGTCACCTCCGCTTCGCGGAGGTTCGCACTGGCTCTCCCTCCGTATGCCTTCCTCATGTTCGCATAATGATGACTTTGAAACTCACCACGTGATGCTGAACATCACAAATGAATCGTAAACAACTGTTCATTTTTGAAGCATCTCCATGTAAGATCGGTAATTTTGAGAGAAAAACTTTTTTGCCGAGGAAATATTTGAATGGATTACTCAATTTGTTTTGGCTTGGTAGTCGTCATAAGGATAGCAGTCATTTTGGGCTACAATTCCGTGCAAAAATCTTTCCAATCCAAGCCAAAACCTTGCCAAATCGACTATATGGCGATTACCACTTTTTGGCGCTGTTTTCGCAGAAAAACAGACTTTTTGAATACCATTTGGGCTAGAATTCATGGCACGCAGATTTACGTGTCAGGCAAATCATGACTTTGCAAAATGTCGAATTAGCGACCTAGTTCCGCCTGCCAAAAGCCGCGTGGACCCGCTCATCGAACCGACTCGTCCTTGTGCATAGTGGACCTACATGCTGGTGCGGTATGTTATGCAAAATTGTAGCTCGATAGCTTGGCTGCAGCTCCCTCCATGAATTTCGTGACAGACAGACATGCAGACACACGCACAAAAAGACAGACGCTTAGCGCTTTATTATAAGTCATGATAGAACATAAAAAGCTCTATCAGATGATACCTAGAAAAATGCGTTCAACTACAAAGAAATGATAACGCGCATCTTTGTTCTCGAAGCTGCTAATGGCCATGTCTCCTGACTTTGAAAGTCGAGGTCATCAAGCCGTCGTGGGTTTAGTTATTGTCCCACCACCCACTCCAGCAGTGGCACTTTAGGTGGTCTGGTCTCACATGATTTACTGCGCAGATACTGCCCAAAGTTTATAATTTGTCAAAGTGACTAACTTTGCATTTCAGCCACTATAAAAGTTATTACGTATGTAAATGGCCTTGTATAGGTATTTTCTGAAAGAGAATAATTTATTCTAACATCTATCAAGATTAAGAAGTTTCACCACTTTTCTTTTTTGAGAATTCTACAGTTATTCTCTAGGTGCCCCACTTTTTACCGATCACCCTGATAGAAGATGGC